CCCCGTCTCTCTCGTTTCATTTCTCTGCGCTTCGTATCCTCTCCCGCGTCGTTTCCTTCGCCGACGACAAATACAACGACCATTACTTGCTAATTTTTTACGATCTAATCGTTGCAATTTTTTACGCTCTTATTTGTCTCATTTTTTTTTTTTGTTGGTTTTTCTCTCTAGGCTTCAGCAGCCTCGTTAATTCCGAAGATCGATTTCTTTGAACTACCGTTTCTTTTAGATCCCAATAGTACTCTTCAATTCTTTTTTACTCTCACCTATTTCTGTTTTTTTTTTTTCAAATAATCTCTCATTCGCGTTCTTGATCTTTCGGTGCTTTTGCCGATTGATTCTTTGAACATGTCGGGTCCTATTGATCGTTTCGCAAGGCCTTGTAAGTGAATTTATCTTCATAATTCAATTTCTCTGCTTTCTTTTTTGAAATAAAAATTTATGATATCAGTTATGAATTCCACGGTCTGTTAGTGTCTCGGTTTGATGTCGGTTAATAATTTCATACTTATTAATTTTCTTGATTGTTACTGCCGTTAGTTCTGTTTTATTTCAGAATATCCGTTTAAATTCAGTTTTAGAGCATCATCGATGAACTTCTTTTTGATTGCTATGTAGGTTTTGAAGGTATTGCTAGTAATGATGAAAAGAAAGATAGGAAATCGGATTTCGAAATCTCTGAAGATGACAAGAAGACTAGAATTGGGAATCTTAAGAAGAAAGCGATGAAGGCATCAAGTAAATTCAGACGTACTCTTAAGAAGAAAAGTCGTAGGAGGAAAAGTGACCTATCTGTTTCGATTAAAGATTTTCGAGATATTGAGGAGTTGCAGACTGTTGATGCTTTCCGTCAGGCATTAATCTCGGAGGAGTTGCTTCCTGCTAGGCATGATGATTACCATATGCTACTAAGGTATAGGTTGCAATCTTCTTTGATTTTATGAAGAATTACTTCATCAATTGTTCCTATCAATACAAATTTTTGTTTACTCTGTACTTATTGAAAGTTCCATCTGTGACAGATTCTTAAAAGCAAGGAACTTTGATATCGAAAAAGCGAAGCACATGTGGGATAATATGATCCAATGGAGGAAAGAATTTGGTGCTGATACTATTTTGGAGGTGATCTCATCTTTGTTAGTTACTGCATTAAATATTTGCCTCTAAGTTTTAAGGACATAGCTACTTTGTTTCCAAATTGTTTATTCAGTTATTGCCCGGTTTTATATGGATCAGAGCTGACTCATTTTTTAAATTGTTATTATGATTAATCAGGATTTTGAGCTCAATGAGTTGAATGAAGTTTTGAAGTACTACCCTCAAGGTTATCATGGGGTGGATAAGGAAGGAAGACCTGTTTACATTGAATTGTTAGGAAAAGTTGAACCTGACAAGCTCATGCGAGTGACAACTTTGGAAAGATATGTAAGATACCATGTTCAGGAAATTGAAAAGTGTTTTGCAACTAAGTTTCCAGCTTGCTCCATTGCTGCAAAGAGACACATAGATTCTGGCACAACTATTTTGGATGTTCAAGGCATGGTATGTTTTATGTTGTTTCTTAGATTTTACAGTCTTCCCTGCCATAATTTTATGTTTGGCCTAATAAGATTTTATTACATTTGCATGTTTCTCATTCTGAGTCATTTTTCTTCATAGGGTTATAATGTGTTTAGCAAGTCTGCACAAGATCTTGTGAAGCGGCTGCAAAAGATTGATGGTGATAACTATCCTGAGGTAGATATGGTTGATATTTTGTGAAATTGCTCATGTTTTCTGTGTTGGTAGAAATTTGTCAGGAATGTTTATCATCAATACTCCCTTTGCAGACTCTTTACCGAATGTTCATCGTCAATGCTGGTCCTGGTTTTAAGATGGGCTTGAAAGCTGTCAAATCTTTTCTTGATTCCAAAACAGCTAGTAAGATTTCTGTAAGTTCAAAATCTTTATGCAGTTTGGCTTTTTTCTAGAGTTAAAGTATCTACTCTTCTCAGTGAATAGAAGTTACCTCATCTTAGAAATTGTTCTCAGGTTCTTGGTACAAACTACCAGAATAAGTTGCTTGAAATTATTGATGCTAGGTAATTAAATTTTTTGGTTGCAGATATGTTGGTTACATTTAATTGTACTGGCTACTAAAACTTTTTGATGTCTTGAACTTGGTTAGTGAGTTGCCACAATTTCTGGGAGGTAGCTGCACCTGTGCTGATCAGGGAGGTTGTATGAGATCAGACAAAGGCCCCTGGAATGACCCCCATATATTAAAGGTCTGATTTGCGCTTTCTGCAAAAACTTACCCTTATTCTCCAATTCACTTGTTTTTCAGTGCTATCTCATACATGTTTATTGAATATCTTCATGCAGATGATTGCCAATCGTGAAGCACTATTTTCCAGACAGATTGTGACAGTTTCAAACGGTGAAGGAAGTGTAATTGCGTATGATAAGCCATGTTATCCTGTGGTATGGTTTACTAGATTGTCTTTCCCTGTGAATATCATGCCTGCTTAGCTTTGGGTTTTATATTGTTAGAATTCAGTCAAATATTCTCTAATTTAATTCTGCTTTTCTTTCTTTTTTTCCATCCTGGATCAGATAAAGAGTAGTGACACATCTGCAGCTGAGTCAGGATCTGAAGCGGAAGAAATTGCTTCTCCTAAGGCAACTAGAAGCAATTTACATCCAATATTGGCTCCTGTTAGCGAAGAGGTATGTGCTTTGCAAATGCGATGAATGTTTGAGTGGCATAAAAGGATTTTATTCATTGCATGCCAGATTCATGGTTTTAAACATCACCTAAAACCAGGATAGTCTTTTCATCTATCGAAGGGTGCTTCACTTACAAGTGTATACATGGATGCTTTGCTCACTGTATAAAGTAACATGCTAACATCCTAAGATGGCTTAGTGGAAGTAAGCTTACAGTCTCACGCTATAAATTCTTAAATCTTGAACTCATAACAACATACCATGATGATTGTATAGGCTAGAATGGCTGGTAGGGGGATCTCTGCTGGTGGTTCGTCTGAGTATGATGAATATGTGCCCATGATTGACAAGGTTGTAGATTCGGAATGTGAGATTCAAGTGTCCCATCAGAGTCCGTATATTTCTAAAGGTTAGCAATGAGCTGTGTTTAAAAGCTTCTATTTTACTCAACCAATGTGACAGGAGAAACTATTTTGTGCTATTTCAACTATAAATTGTTCTTCTTTATTCTACTGCAGGATCATCCTGCATGTAAGTAGATGCTTAAGACCTAATTTTAATGCGTTTTAAATGGTATTACAACCATTTATTATCCATATTCTCATGTTAGACATATGGTATCAATGTCAAGATTTATTGAGAGATAATCAACACCCAAAATAAACAGAAAGTTGCCAGGCTTTGGACATCTCTCTTGTCTCTTTCTCTCGCTCACTGTTTTCCAAGCCTTTTAGCTCATTTTCACTGATTTAATCAATCATGAGTCATGAGAACAGTGTAACCAAAACCAGAGCTCGATTATTGCTTTCTATATTTTTCAATATGTTTGACTTTGATGAAGTCTACTGGCTTTAATTGCAGGGACTCCTCTGCTGCTGGTAGAGCAAACTCCCAAAGGAATCTATGGTCATATCGTTGCTGTGGTTATAGCTTTCTTGACCTTTTTTACTCTTATCCGAACAATGGTGTTGCATCTGATGAAGAAGCAGAGTATAACTGATTTGACATGTAGCATTCCTGACCAGCATGTTGAACCGACATACAAGGAGGAAACTCGTCCCCCTTCACCTGCTCCTAGGTTTACCGAGGCAGACCTCCTGTCATCTGTCTTAAGAAGGCTGGGTGATCTAGAAGAGAAGGTTGAGATGCTACAGTCAAAAAGATTTGAGATGCCTCATGAGAAGAGGAGTTGTTGAATGGTGCTGTTTATCGTGTGGATGCATTAGAAGCAGAGCTAATTGCAACGAAAAAGGTAGTTATTCATGATTCCAACTTGAGTAGAGATGATTTCTTTGATGCCACCACCTTGTTTGATTTAAGATTGTGAAAGCATTCAAGCCTCTCTTGATATTGTCCCCCAACTGTCACGCTTGTTTATTAAATGACTCGAGCCTGATGTATGATGCATGTCTTGTTCTTTTTTTATGAGAGTTTTGATATATTTGGCTGGGCGTTGTATTGATTATGCTTTGTATAAATGACCAGGCTCTTCATGAAGCTTTAATACGGCAGGAAGAACTCCTTGCATATATAGATCGTCAAGAAGAGGCCAAGTCTCGGGTAAGTCAAAAGATTATTATATTCAGCCATCGATACATGCAATTGGATTCATTTTCATTAGTTTGCTGTATTTATGTTCGTATGCATGATGCAGAAAAAGAAGTTATTTTGCTGGTGAGATGACCAAAAAGAAGGCAGAATTTCGATCAGCATTCAATACTTACTATACTCAAGATGGATAAAAAACTTTCTTATGTATTGCCGGTGATGTATCACAGTCACAAACGGAAATGCGATGTAAATAAAATACCATACACATGCGCATAATGGTTGTCCTTTGGACTGTATTTGGACTTGGAGTGATGCCTGGTTATTGTTTTTCGGGTTTATCGCATATTCTGAATGTCGTAATACATTAAATAGTGTTTTCCCTTCTTATATGCTAATATCCATAACGGGTACTTGGGAATTGGGATAAAAGGTTTTATAAATCAGATGGATAAAAAAAAAATTGCAAGCTATAACTGGTTTTCTTTTCCTTTTTTTTTTTCCTTTTTAAATGGGGTAATGGACTCCTCTTCTTTGACATGGAAATGGGAACTGATTATTTCCAACTCAATTGCAAATTTCTTTTGGTAAAGCCAAAATGAGAATGTAAAAACATTTTTTTAAACAAGTTATCAATAAAAATTATCGTAAATATCATTCGCTTGACTACCCGACTGTAAACAGTTTCGGACATAGCACAGAGCAACTGCGATTCGTGGTTTCTGCCATCCTTGATTTTCTTCCTTTTGGTTGTTTGTTCCAAAGTTTAAGATTTTTGGTTCTTGGGTCTCGCTTTCTTCTCAATTTTTATGCGTCTTCAGATGAACTTGCTTTTCTCCAAGGTTTGTATAATTATATGGGTTACTTTTTACATCTTCCCCAGTGTTTTTAGTCTCGATTATATTAAATATTGTTGTCACGATTTGAATTTTTTTTTTTCCATTTTCAGGTTCTTCTGGGTTGTTACACAAATGGGTTTTGCAATCTCATTTCTGGTTTTGCATCGTCACAACTCTTAAGAGGCTTCAGTGAGACTTCAAAGAATGGATTTTCTGCAATGTCGGCTGATAATTTAAGGAGCCTAGCTAAGAGTGATTCCCTGAGGAATTACCATGTTGTAGTGGCTGCAACTCGTGAAATGGGGATTGGAAAAGATGGCAAGTTACCATGGAGTTTACCTTCTGATCTCAAATTCTTCAAGGAACTTACAAAGACAACATCAGATCCTGAGAAGAAGAACGCTATAGTAATGGGTAGAAAAACCTGGGCGAGTCTTCCACTTGAGTGTAGACCTTTACCTGGTCGCCTAAATGTTGTCCTGACTCGTTCCGTGTGTTCTGATATTACTATTGGAGAAAATGTTATAACATGTAGGTCCATTCCATCAGCTTTGCAATTATTAGCAGCGTTTCCTTATCGTTTTTCAGTAGAGAAGGTGTTTCATTGGAAGTTGCCAGATATTTAGGTAAATTTTAGTTAAAGTTGTTGAATTTTGTTGCATATTGTTGGAAGAGATATATTTGATGTTTTATAATGCAGGGAAACAACTAATGCTCCAGATTGTGAAGCCATCCACATTACTGAAATTTAGACAAGCATTAAATGCGATATCTTGATTCCTGCAATTGATTTGTCTTGTTTCCCGCTGTGGTATTCGTCCAAGCCATTAGTAGAAAACGGTATCGGTTTTCTTTTGCAACTTATGTTCGTGTGAGAACTGCTGCGACTGGTTCTCCTTCAAATAGTGAAGTTAAGTATAATGGCAGTTCAAATTCCAATAATTTTGAGGTAAAAAAACTTCACTTTCCTGCCAAACATGATTCTTGAGAGACATGATTACTAAATATACCTGAGACTTACTCGAAATTATCTCATGTGGCAAACAACGCAAGATTCTGACTGGATAGATACAGAATTCAGTTGCCAGGTATTCTTTAACTTCGGTTATCTTCCATTTTATTCATGTTGTTCTTGCTGGTATTTAAATGTGAATATGAGCATCTCCATGTTGTGATTTTGTAGATGCAATTCAATCGATGCAGATCTTTTCAGCTTCTTACAACTAAGGTACTTTTGTTCTTGCTGTCTCTATTGATGTTTCTTCTGTCTTAAACCGATTTTTTTCTTACTTTTCTAACCTGAACAAATGTCTTTGGTACAAGGATTCCCTTGTCTGTGAATGCAGATTTTGAGGATCAATGAGCTGAAGAAAGACATATCTTCATTTGTTGCTTCACACTTTGCATCTATGATCCATACTCAAAGGTATAAAGGAACATAGGGTTTAGAATGGTCGTTAAGAGAAACAGATTTTCACTGCCCTGTTTTAGCATTGAATTCACTGCCCAATTAAGGAGCTGAAGAAAGACATATATACACAAATTACATTTTACATAATTTTACTAGGAAGAATGGTACTACTTATGATAATTGCGGGAAATAATTTGCTTTATTTTTATGACACGTTAATAAAATATTTACTATTGGCTTGCTTGACATCTAGAATAGGTTACCAGTGCCAAGTTGATGGGAGCTACTTAAAGGCATAGATTTGGGTTTCTGCAGATCTTTTTTATGTGAATGTTTTCCCAGAATTATCAAATTTAAATTAAGGAGCACGACACAAAAATGCTTCAGAAATCGCAATCTACCAAGCCTACAAAAGCAGTTTATATAACTTATAATCTTGAAACTAGAGTGCATAAGGAAATACTAAGCCTTTTTATTTCTTTGCTGGGGGGTGGGGGTTCAATTTAAGACATTGTAAACGACTTTCCTAAACTTGGAAGGTCCTAATATCGGTTCTAAGTTCTAACTTTCCTGCTGCATCTCAGCGTTTGCCCTGTTATGGAGGCACTTGATAAGTCCTCGAAGAGCAACATCTGGATCTTCACTTTTCATCAACTCTCCTGCAACTTCAGCTGGTGTTGCCTGAACCTTCTCTAACAACCCCTTGATTTCCTCAAAAAGTGGATGATCTTGAATTTGCAAATAATTACAAGCAAGTGTCCTGAAACCGCTAAATGTGCAATAAGACATATGGAGATGCATATCCATTCGTCCTGGTCTTAGCAGCACTGGATCAAGATGGTCCTTGTGATTGGTTGTCAACACTATTATCCGCTCATCCCCACAACTTGACCACAAACCATCAATGAAGTTCAGCAGACCAGAGAAAGTAACCTGTAAAGCCACGGACTATTGAGTAAAAAACCAACGTTATAAATATGAAATTAAGAGAAGAGCTTTTCTTCATTGATCCATACCTTGTCATCTTCAGCAGAATTTAGTGAATTATCGATGTCCTCAATGACTATTATTGATCGATTACCTGTACCGATCAATAATCTCCTCAAATCGGAATCGCACTGAACCTCCTTTAAATCCAAATCATAAACATCAAACTTGAGATAATTAGCCATGGTAGCAACCAAGCTTGACTTTCCCGAGCCAGGTGGTCCATATAACAAATACCCACGCTTCCAAGCCTTCCCTACTCTCCTGTAAAACTCTTTCCTTCTTGTAAACCTATCAAGATCTTCTATTAGTGCCATCTTCATCTTCGGATCCATTGCCATGGTATCAAAACTCGCTGGATGATCAAGGTTGATCGAACCCCAATAATCAGTACCATTATAATCAACCGTATGAAGCTTAAGTGTCTTTTTCTCTTCTTTTATCTCTTTTGCTTTTTGAAGAATGTAAGGTAAGTATGAACTCAACACCATCTCTCTGCTCTTCTTATGAAAACTCAGCTCAAAGTACCATATTTCCTCCCTTAACATCCCATTGGTGTTATTTTTCTTGTTAGAAACAAATTTACGATTCCGTGAAGAAGACAACAATACCCACTTCAACTTCACACCTCTGAATACATCAACCAATTCTTGATTCTTATCAGTAATCACTTGCAGTCTTTTCTCTTTTTCGTGCTTGTTAACTTTGACCCTTCGCGTTGATGATGACAACTTTTCACCCAAGTAAACATTAGCAGCCTGGAAGATTTGGTTAGCGGTGAGCCCATCAGACTCTTCAATGACAACCGTGAGCTGAGAGGATAAACACAATGAAATCTTTTGAAGGCGCAAAAAGAACTGATCTTTCATGGAATCCGGGATGAATTCATTGGCAATGGTTCGTAAGAGAATGGCAGAGGCTGCGAGAGAGGCAACTGCAGAGAGAAGAGCTTCATATGAAGGCATTGTTTTGGTTGAAAACCACACCTTTCTTTTTTCTAGATGAGTACGCTTTCAGGGTTTTAGAGAGGTTTCGGCTAAGCAGAGGAATAGGCAAATTAGAACAGTTTTGCTTGCTAGGAGAGAAAGCAAAGAAAAATCTCTTAAATAAGGAGGAGCTAGAATCCTCTGGGACTCTGGAGACTGGAACCAATAATGCATTAGTCCAAAACTTGCCTCCCGTCCGGGCCGAATAGAGCAATCCAGCATTTTAAAAGAAGCCCACAACATAATGATGAAAAAGCTAAACGGCGACCCCAATACTAGATTTGACAGCCCAAACTGGTTTACCTTGAAAGCCTGGTAACTTGAAACTATTTACATGCAAATTACAGACTCATTTTCCCGCTCGAAACCCATCAAAATGTAACAAATTTTCTGGAATAAAGAAAAGGGTAATCAAATGATTCAATCCCATGCAAAGATATAACTAATTTCTTTCGTTTTTTTTTTAGCATATAGTTGGAAAGGATGAGGTGCAAGCAACGTTAGTAGCCACCTAAAAGGTGAACAAATTTAAAAACATGTGACAATCTTTTCCAGTCTTTTTCCTACAAAAAAAAAATTGGATCAAATGAGCTTTTCATGTTGAGATATCATGTATTGATTATTTTATAATGTTATATAGTTTCATCAAATCAACATCTCACTTTGTATGTATGGTGACCGATCCATTGTCGGCAATCAGGATACATTTTTTTGTTTTGCCAAAGCTAACCACACACCCACCGACTTAATTAATTTCCAATTTAGAGAATGAAAAATCTATTAACCACACACCCACCGACTCACAAATATATAAATACACACAACCACAAGACATAAATCTTTAATAATCTTATGAGATGTTTATTCTTTAAAATCTTATAATTTTTTAACATATTTTTTTCATAAATAACCCTATAAAAACTTTTATAAACTTACTTATTAAAAATTTATTTTCTCTTATGAAATTTGAATAACTATTTTCGTCAATCACTTAGTACCCAAGGAATTGAAGAATTTGATTGAAGGCCTCTCACCACATCGAAAAGACTTAACTATTTAGCTAAAACAGTTAAACAGAAATAAACTTTGCCATTTTCTAACCATCATGCTTTGACAAAACCCAAGAAAGGGAAATATTGCCATTAATTGAGACTTTAAATATACTAAAATTTGCAGAAGCCATTTGTGGAAACATTGGCAGTTTATGCTTTATCCAACCACTGGAAAGAAAGGGAGTTCCTTTCTGAATTTATCATTTGCAATGTATGAAACTAGGATTTATCAACTTAATTACAGAATGGAACAGTGATTATAAAAATCATCAACATACCAAACATCACATTTCTGGCATATCTTTGGAGCGAAAATCACAATATCTTTCTTCTCATCCTTCTTCTCGACCTTCTTCTCATCCTTCTTCTCGTCCTTCTTCTCGTCCTTCTTCTCATCCTTTGCAGCCCCTATACTTACGATTGATGTATGTTTTCTAAATTTCCTGACTTTCTTAATGATCTTAAACGGATCAGCTTCACCGGTAACAGTTACTGTATTTTTGGGTGGATCAAGGACAATAGAGGTTATCCCTACTATGTCAGAGATTACCCTCATTACCTTCTGCCTGCACCTCGGACAGAGCAGCTCCACTGACAGGACTGTTTTCTGCAACAGAAAAAAAGAGTCAGATTCTACGGTAATTTGTCTGAGCGTGGAACAGACAATTCATTCAAGCATCCTACGACCAGTAAAAGTACTGCAACATTTCAGTGCAGGGTGAGAATGGCAGAGCAGAATGATGAGTCAAAACTTAAATGCATAGCAGAACAAACATCAAATGACACAAATCAATATGGAAAGCTAAACGGGGTTCCAGGGGATAGGAACCTTTGACATAATTGTAAATTGTTGGATGAGAACAAGCTTCTCCAGGGAAAAGTAATGGATCCAAACTTCCTATATATAAATCATTACTACATCTCTCTAGTGCTGTAGCCAAAATTATGGGGTCAATCAATTGACCCCACTCAATTATCCAAAACTTTAACTTAATATAATTGTTTTAATGAATTTTTGTGTAATTTACTTGCATTGGCTCCATAAGAACTTGATAGAAATCTAAAAAGAGGGTAAATTTTTTTTCTTAAAAAATCTTATATTTATATTAATTATATATAATTATAAATTTTTTATTTAATACGATTTGATCACTAATAAGAATATTAGATTAAATTGGGAAATGTAATATATTTTCAAATATATTATCAAGTAATTAATCTTCGATTTTTACTTATTTAAAAATATTATTTCCTTCTAATGAAATATTATTCCCATAGTAAAAAGGAAACTTTCAAACCTTTACATCTTTCTGTTCAAGTTTCATTAAAATTACATATTGTTTGATTTGTTATTAATTCGGTTTGCTTGGTTTCTCTTCTTGGTGTATATTAAAAATTATTTAATTATGATTGTAATTCCTTTTAATACATAAGATTTCATAAAAATTGTTTACTTTTATAATTAATCACATAATTTGTCTTTTTTTTTAAAAAAAAAAGATAAATAATAACAAAATAAGAATAAAATGAAACCCATAATCAAATTATAAACTTAAAATAATATCTTATTATTAATGTATTAACTTTTTATTGAAGTAACGAGATAATATATATACTCTATAATCTTATATACATAAAACTTTCAGATTTAAACATATTTTTTTTAATGATATAATGGTATATAAAATATCATGTTTATAAAACAAAAGTTAAAATATGATCACACCGAATTTTTTTATTCTGGTTACGCCCTGGCATCTCTCAACTTCATTTGATTACTTATAACTTTAATGTGTTTTTGACTATGGTTTTTCTTATGTTTTGGAAAGAAGTTTGGTTTGGTTGGAAACTAAATGGACTGACGGTGTTAGTTGGTGAAAAATAAATGCAAGTCAGTAAGGTTCTTGATTGGGCTAGCAATGGCGTCTTGCGCATTAAATGTGAATTTTGCAAGGACCCCAATCACAAGAGACACACATGCAAACGTATATGAGTAGAAACATCAACATGACTTCAGAATTCTCACTCATAATGACCTTGAATCAGTTTTAAATGAAACATACCTATGCATAGCAGTTTCCCTGGCTCACAAAGTAACTCCCTTGTCTTGAGGAAAATTCTTTCTATTGCAAAAAATAAATCATACAGGCAGTAGTTCATACAATATATGACGTAGACTATATGAAAAGTTCCAGGGAGGGTCAAACAATCATTTGTTCGGAGTTCAGACAGTAGGATGCTTTGTCGAGGATGTTGTCAGAGCAACCAGATTGAACATTTCCTTCTGATTACAGAAGCCTGTCAGCCATATGACCTTGAGTTTTCCAGTACAACTTTAGCTTACCTGTGTGTGTATCTCCTCGAGGAGAACAGGCGAGAGTGAGTTTGTGTATTTGTCTGTGTGTGTGTGTGTGTGTCAGTAGTGGGTCAAGCTGAATGGTAAAACTCACAGTTATACAGTTATACCAATCATTTAGGTCCATTTTTACTCAAGCCTTCAACTTTAAAAGGCCTAGAGATTATAATGGGAAGAGAAATTTACCAACAAGATACAAGCAAACCTTCTTGACAGTCTCAAAACTAGCTGATTCTTTAGTATAATTTGCTCTGCAGCAGAGATGGACATTCAGCGTTGAAGCCCAAAGGTTAAAGTTTCTAATTAAGCTATTGAAACTGAGACCAGAATCAGGAAGTTGTTTTATCCTAATCAAACGTTAGTAACTTTAGGTTTTGATCTTATACCCTATTACTGTGGGAAAATAAATTAATGAAAAAAAAAGAAGCATATATCATTGTTAGACAGGCAGGGGACTCAAATAAAGAAGGCAAAGAATGCTAAGAAAAAACTCTGAAGCATTGAAATGTCTTCTTATAAGAAAGTCTGGAATCATCTGAAACTATAATAACATGGAATATTGAACCTATACCTGGCAAGCCAAAAATGTGGCGAAATTGCAGATATAAAACTGTGGGAGCCAGAGGGCCTCCCTCCAATGGTCCAAGCATTTTAGAAGTGGCACCTCCAGCTCTCCAGCTCTTAAAGGTCTACAAAACTTCATCACAAACTACCCAAAGGGGAATAATTTCAGAAAGCATGAAACTTCGAACAAAGAGGAGTCAGAATCATTCTGATTTCGCACATATGCTAGGCCCCAAAACATTGTAGATCTTTCACCAAGAGGTCATATCTTCAACTCAAATTCTTGTTTGAGTTACAGGCTTATGGCTGAGGATATCATGGACCATGCAAACCTCGCACAGAATATTAACACATAATCAAAAAGACAACAGAGCTTCATTCTGTCTACAAAGAAGCACCACTTTGTTGATGAAAAATGGATGCAAACATTACTGTAATCTGAAAAAAAATGACTCCTTTACATGCTCTTAATGTCCTTTCCATGCATAATGCAAGCTGCTGTTCTAAGAAGTTTATCATGTTAAATTACTTCACATGCAAACATTACACAAATTGGTCAGGATTAAGAAGAAAATAAAGAGTGGAATTCATTAATCAGGCTTAAGAAGGAAATAAAAAACGGAATTCATTAGTAAGGCTTTCACACAAAAATTATGCTTTAATAAGCTTTAAAGCAAGAGTATAGTTAAGAAAATCTGCTAATAACTTCAATTTTCATCACCATAAAATACCATCAAAGTTTCCACTAAAAACAGTAAATTCAATATCCAGCTGTATGAATTAATTGGCCATGTGGGCTCAAGATAAAATGGCAGTGAGTAGTTGATACATCATTTTCCCTGTTAGTCCAAACCCTAGTGGTCTGTCATTTTCTCATTTTCTCTCCTGTTAAGCAATCTCCCACTAGAAGTGGAATATTAACCAGCTCTCCCTCAGAAACCAGATGAGACATGCATGAATAGTAGCATTACAATAATATAACATTGCAAGAATTAAAATGAATTAACTCTTTCAAGTATGGATAATCATCTTTCTCCACAATACTTGCAAATAAGAGAGATCCAAAGGAAAAGTTTGAAGTTCAGTTGCAAGAAGGTCTAGCATAACCCCAGCATAGATGATTATTGACAACTTAATACTTGAAAAGCAGAAAAGAATTTTTGGTAAATATTATATCTTAAAAAATCATGAGAGAGATTATTTGTAGACTAGAAAGAACAAAGTATAGGAGTAATGTTTTTGGTAAATTATCAAGTAACAAATCTCTGGTAAGAGTAAGACAAACTGGACATCGAGTAACAGAGTTACGCACATGGTTTTTATGATTTCAAGGCAGTCCACATTACACTGGACAATTGTACAACAAAATGGTAAAGGATTAAACTCCTTCCAACAAGTAGTCCCTCACATAGATGAATCTGACTATAAATCAGAGAATATGCAACGGCTGTGAAAGTAGAGGACCATTCAATTTCTACATAAGAAGGAAAACAAAAAAGAAATTAACTAGTATAAATCTTTAAGCAAAAGATACAGACAACAGATTATTTTCTCAAAGGGAAATCCAAAAGCCTCAAAAATTGGTGAAGGAAGAACTTTGGCCTAAAGATGATCAATACTCATCTTCACTCTTACAACCTTTAATATTACAACAAAGTTTAGGAAACATATAAGAACTACTTGCACTTACCAGTACAATCGTCAGCATACAAACTGTCTTCTAAGGCATATCTTTCATCTCAATACTCTTCCATGGGCGTCCATTAACAGCATTATCTGCTTCACGCTCAGTTTTCACAGTCTGAGAATAGCAATTAACGATCTTCTTATCTAACTCGTAATAGTACTCCATTTTCTTTAAAGGTTTCAAATCCAGATCAATGAAATGCACCTAGAAATTTGCAACTTAGATAAGATACACATGTAACATGAGAAGAAAATAAGAAGCCTTGCCAAATAGGACTTTGATTTCAGCCCACAAGAATTTCCTCAATATATTAAACACAGAGCTGTATAATGTTTTTTGTAGGTTTGTTGGAAAGATTGAGCAAATTAGTATGGCCCTAAAGAAAATTATATTTGCAAACCATTACAAAAATTTGACTTCAAATAGTTTTGAACAACAAAATCAAAGCATGCACTAGAAAAGTATTTTGGGAGATTACTTTCAAATGCTACAAAAATACCGAATACAATATTTTGGCATTCACAATGAACAGTAAAAGTCAAATAAAAATGGCAAGAGAGTCTACCTTGTACTCAAAAACTTGGTTAGTTGATCCTAGATATACAGTACTGTAAGAAGTTCTTGATAGTAAATCATCATTTTCCTTTGGTCTAAAACTAATCATCAAACTACAGTCCTTTGCACTTGCAGCTATCAAATAGCCCTTCACAATCTTCAAGCTTTCATCCAATGGAATGGAGTGCAAAGGGGTATAAAGGTGTGATAATTTGTCTTTACTCAACTCTCTACAAACCATGCAAGGTTGAGAAATTATGTTATAATAAGCATGAATTGCCCCTTCAATGTCATAAGCATCGAGCTTCTGAACTTCAAGAAGTTGATCTAATACTCCGGAAGTATAAACTGTCTCAGCAACAAGCTGTATAAAACTAGTTGTGCGCAGGCCATTATCTGCTTGAATGACATTCTTAAGTGCATTTTCAAAGGCCTCACCAACCAGAATAGTACTGCAGTCTGTGCCACTGCCCAAGCCCCCAAATACAAGAGAACCATTCAAAAATACGCGGAAGTTGTTCTGAGGGGTGGCATATAGGGCTTCGATGGCTTTACATATCCTGTCTCTGGATCCAGAGAATAGATCCAGTGGATTATATTCACTATATTCTGATATCTGTAAATATTTTTGAAATATCACAATTATTAAGAATGAACATAAATATAAACAAAAATGGCCATAATAGCTAATATATGGGTGAGAAAGTTGCTAGAATAGACACCCTTCTCTTGCATGTGGACATAATAACAAGCACTAAAAAACACCTAATAATATGAAGCAACAAAAGTTACCTCTTGATTATGCAACTTCAGTGCTTGGTGCATTTTAAACCGAGTTATGGTTCTTTTAACAGCATTTTCTTCAGCAATGAATCTTGAAATTGGGAGAAATCCACATTTGGGCTTCGTCATTGAAACAAATGGAAAGAAAAACTCAGTAGAGCAAATCAAAATGCATAAAAAAAAAGTTGATGACACAAAGAAAATGAGGAAAAAAGCATAGAAAGAAATCCACCTTTATCTCAACAGTTATACATGGTCCACCTTTAAGAGTACCTGAAATAAAGAACGTGCAATGATATAAGAACCTAATGGAATCTTTCTATATTGCATAAACTAATTTCTATCATTTGTGATGTAAATCTAGGTTCAGGTTTACTTAGATTTAACTACTCGTATTCGGACATATGAGCTGAGTTCTAGGAAAACAAAAATGAGGAAGACCACATACAAATTTCCAAAAGCATAAACTAGCAATGTAGTTATTAAAATCACATTAAGAAAAAAAGCTGCTTCAACTGGCCAGTTTGCTCAAAGTAATTTTAGATATACAAATTCCAAATAGACCATATATGGAAAGCTACTTCATAGTCCTTTCCCTACTTCCAAACCTCTACTAGGCAAACATTTTGACACCTACATTCTAGTAAAAGCAAGTCTGCTAATGGTACTTTTGCTCTCCTAAGGATAAGATCTGAAGGCAGCTACAAACTTCTCTGATTAAGCTTAGCTGAATAGGATTACAAAGTCCTGTTTTCCTCTGTCTATAAAAGTGACAAAGAAGAGATCATCCCTTTACATTTATAAGCACAATATCCGAAATACATTAAACTACATCAGGAGAAGACAAAATCACCATTAGGAAAGATTGAATGATCTGACATGATTAGCACGGAATCACGATTCATATCAACCTGTGATGAATCAACTCGCCAAGCAGGCCGGTGACAAGTCACATTCTTGTCAACAAACTCAAGGAATTCCTTAGCTACAAGAACACGTAGCTGCCAAACTCAAAAGACCCAGAATGCAAAGTCAGTTATAGAGCTCATCAAAACCAAAATAACCGAATCAGAACTATGATAACAAGTAGAGATACATATACCCCGGCATCAACATTTTTTGGGCCTAACAATGGGCACATGACATGCTTGACGTAAAGGTGATCTACAATCTCGTTGTTTGGCGACGCCATTAGCACCTCATTTTCTTGCCAAACAAGCTGTTCATGCTTTGTTAAAGCTCCGTTTCCCTTCACTTCATTTTTGCCGTTCCGTTGTGACTTTTGAATTCGCATCACTTTCCCAATCTTATTATTATATCAATGAAATTCCAAACCCAAAAAAAAAAAAAGAAAAAGAAATAAGCAACCATTATACTGACAATTTCAATTTTATATTCCACTTTCCATTTTTAAATAAATTTCGAAATTCTAAAAAAAAAAAGAGTTGAAGAACTTACAAATGCTGGAGATGATCCAGTGTAAGCGAGAACAAGATTAGCAGCTCCTTCTCCTCTATAGACCCAATCAACTGCATCTTTTTGCTCTAAAATCAATTTTTCCATTTATCTACGGCCGCTGCATTCACTCACCAGCAAAAGGAAAATCTAAAAACAAAAAAAAAAGAAGCTAAAAACCAATTAAAAAAACTTGAAATGCATTGGATACCTGCTCGGAAAATCTAAGAACAAAGCAGATTAAAAATTAAAAGTTCTAAACAATCGAGACAATCGCATGCAACTAAGGGTGACAAGATAGCGTTGGAGCTCAGCCATCTTCAAAAGTAGCTTTTTTAAGAAGAAAAGAGAGAAAGAGAAAAAAAGGAGACCTTGTAATTTAAAATAACGGGAAAAAAGCGACACTGTCGTCAGTAATAGCTCAGCTTTCGGTAGACTGAAAAAGAAATTAAATATGTTGGCATAAAATAGCGTGCAGGATTTATGGTCGTTTTATAAAAAAAAAAAAATTAAAGAGAATTTTTTACGATTACCCCTTTTGGACTTGAATCGACGAAAAAACCGGGTAAGAAAACGACATTTTCTTTGTTTTTTATTTTATTTTTTGGTAAACAAAAAAAAGGATGTACAGTAAAGTCCAAATCCCAATAACGAGATACTGCATTTTAATTTTTATAATTTTATAAAAATATAAGATAAAATTAAATTAACGGAATAATAAAATTAAACTAAATTTTATATTCAATAATTTTAAAATCAGTCATAAAAAAGATTAAAGGAGAATCATATTAAATTTTAATTGTAAATTTTTATGTTATTAATTTTTTTTAATTTTTATATTATTTTAAATTATTTATATTTACATCTTTCATTATTTATTTTTAAAAATTTTACTCTTTTCTAAATTTAAAAACTCTCATCTTTTAACCGGTACACAAAAAATCAATGATCTTTGACTCAGTCGTGAAATCATTTACAAGTGGTTTCCGACAGAAATTAATGTTCCGCAAGTGGCCAGGGGAAAGATCGTTTTTGCTGCCCAACCATCTTCTTCCACATGCAAATCAGAAAATAAACGTTTTGATTGAGGGAGCAAGTGGGCTTGTATGGCCAATTCTCTGGCATATATGCAAAGGATAGAGTTATATATGGGAAAACAAGTTTGTTTCCATTTTCCAATTTCAATTTCCTTGTTTTTGAATAATCAAAATGTTTTGAAGGAAAGCAAAAAATATGTTTAATATATAAAATTATGATAAAATAATATTATAAATAAAATTAAATAAAATGATATTATTTTATTTTATATTTAATGTATTATGAATAAGATTAGATAAAATAATATATCATATTTTATGTTTGATATGTCTAAAAATTATAATAAAATAATTTATTTATTAGTTAAAATTATTTTTTTAAATTTAAATAATTTAAATTATTGATATAATTTTTAAAGGTATAATAAAATATATAAATTCAATTTCATAAATTAAAAACAATTATCTCCATTTATAAAAGATTAAATCATCTTATAATAAGAAGATAATTAATTATTTTTATAATTTTATTTTATTTTTAGATATAAATTAAATATAATATATAATTATTAGTATTATATCATATTTATTATCTTATATACTAAACATGAACTAAATTTTTTTACGATTCAATAATTTATTTTTAGAAAGCTACGCAATTAGAGATTTTCTTAAAACACAATAACCAAAAATAAAAAATAATAGAATGGTGGTTGGGTTTCGATGGCTCGTGTGGTTATCCCTTGTTCATTTCATAATTAATGATGAATAGAGATTAGTGCTTGTTGTAACGGTTTTGAGATCGTCAGACGTAAATAAGTTTTAAAATCGAAAAAAAATAAAAGGAGTCGTCACCAAGTTCGTATAAACCAGTTCAAAACTGGCTGAAGCGGGTCACCGAGTCGGGTTGCTCAAATCTCGGGTCGGATCTCGGTCAACATGCGGATCCTCCTTGGCCTGAAACGACGTCGTTTTGGTCATATGTTCAAAACGACATCGTTTTGCTTTTAATGTTTTCTATAAAAGTCAATTTTTTTTTTAGGTTCATTTATGTTTCAAAGGGAGAAACAAAAAGGAAGAGAGGGCTGTGGGGAGAGGTTCGGCCGTCAAAAAATCGCATCGTCGTCGCCTGGTCACCGTCGTCGGTAGTCAAAAATTTCAAAAAGTGATCAGGAAGCTACTTTTAACGCGATCTTTTCAGATCTGAAGTTCGTTGTACCAGAAACAGCCCCAATCAACGTAGATCGAGGTTTAAAGCTTTTGGTTTCTTTTTTTTTTTTTTTTGAGAAACTGACTTTTTATTTTTTTATTTTTGCAGGGCTTGCTTGACACTGATAGTTCCTCACTGTAGGTAAGAACTGTGTTGTTTTTTTTGTTTGTTTTCTTTGGTTTGGGTATTTGTTTGGTTTTCTGATGGGTAAGAGATTTCGTGAGAGGTTTGGGTTTTTCTGAGTATGGGAGGCTAGGATTTTGGATATTCAAAAACTTGTTCAAAGGAGGGGGGCTGTGTGTCCAAAAAAGCTTTCGAAAAGGGGAGTTCCAGAGAGATGTTGAAGGGGATTTCGAGAGAGAGGTTGAAGGGGTATTCTTTTTTCTTCAGAGAGCCTTTCAACGAGTTTGAAGGGAAAATGGCTGAAGATTTTTAAGGGCTTCAATTAAGAGGATCTAGGTGGCTGTAGGATGGCTGTAGGTGGGCTGAAAGGGAGCTGGTCAGGGGGCGTCAGGAGGCTGTAGGGTGGCTAGTTGTGGGGCGGCAGCAATGCCAGCCACCCTACTTTCTGTTTTTCTCTTTTTTTATTTTTTTTGTTATTTTATATTTTTATATAATTAATAATTATTTTTAAATATTATTATTAAAATTAAAACAGTAGACCCAAACAAAACTGGTGTCTACATTACTCAATTTTGTGAGCCTGCTGAGGTCGTTCTCCAGTGGACATGGAAATTATTAGTGAGGAATAAGCCTTCGGGTCAAAGTGGCTTAAATTTTCCACAAGTGAGGGTCCCCTGGTCGCTCTCTCTGGAAAGGTGTTGTTGGTCCGTTGGGGTTGATAAGTTAGGAATCAGCTTGCTCATGACTGCTTGCTTACATGTTTTGCAATGGCATTTAATCAAATAATTTTAGGCGATGATTGATGCATAAGGTAATAAATAAAAAAATAATAATAATTTTATATTATATTTAATTTGTATATAAAAAAATAGATAAATTATAATTTGTAAAGATGATTAATCATTTTCTGAGCATAGAATAATTTAATTTTTTTAAAGTAAAAAAAATTACTTTTAATTTATGAGATTAAATTTATATATCCTATTATATATTTAAAATCTACATTAATAATTTAAATTATATAAATTAAAAAAAAATAATATTGATTAATAAATAAAATTATCCTATCTTAATTTTTGCTTACTTCAAATACAAGATAAAATAATATTATTTAATCTGATAAAAAATTAACTTACATCAGTATAAAATTAAAAGATTTTACGCATTTTTTAATAATTAATTTTAATAAATTCAAAAGATGAGAGAGACAAGTGAAAAAGTGAAAATTTTGCTTTAATCTAATCCCTTAAATTTATTAAAATCAATAATTTGAAACAAGTCTAAATTTTTTTTGTGTTAGCTAATCTCTTCCTATGTAATCAAATTTTATTTATAATATTATCTTATTTTATTTTATCATAATATTGTGTATCAAACACATTTTTAATGTATATTTTCTTATTGTTATTATTACCATGTAATTAAATGAGAGAGTCCCACACATTTCGAATTGTGTGGTTTTTAATTAAGGGCAAGCTAGAAAGGACTTGGATTGGTTGAAAATCTTAGAAATATATGGATATGCTTTGACATATAATATGAAAAGAATAAGATAAATTCTACTTTATAAGATGAAAAACGAGGACAAAACAAAAAGTTAATCAATCAGATAAATTATTCTCTTATAATTGGGGAACTCTTTTTATTTTCTTTCAATCCTCGTGTCATTTTGATAATGGCAATCTTATTATCACATGGGATAAGAAATTGAGAATATTATACAAAATTTCTACTACAAAATGTTCATAAAATTTAGTGTAAAATAGTATATGTATCCAATCATGCATAGGGGATGTTTTTATATATATAAGATTGAATATAGAATCATATATAATATATCATATATTTCAATGCTTTTAACTATTATTTATCTTAATTAAGTATCTCTATCATCATATGTACCCATCATAAGTAATTAGTATCATACCTTTTTTAACAAGATTTTTTATTTATCCTACACTCTACACATTTAATCTTGCAAAATCTTACAACTTTCTTTCCATATTTCTTTCATAACTCACTAAATATATTTTAGATTTTCTCTACTTACCCATAATCACTTTCCTTTTATAATTTTATCTAAAAAGTTTCTCTTATTCATCGAGCAATATTTTTAATAATCTACAAAAAAAATTAAAAAAATTACAATCATGCTTTTTAAGATTTGAGGCATAATTTCTAATAAAATAGAATATAAAATCATAGTATACCATATCATGATATCAATGTTTTTTTTTTTTTTTAAATACCCTAAACCTAACATACGGAAAATCGATATTAGTATTACTACATATTTTTTTTTAACAAGACGATTAATTAATCTTATTGTGTATAAGATCAGGTGGATAATTAATCATTCAATAATTTTGTTTTATTCTTTTAAGTTTTCTAATAAAAACCTAAATATAATTTTATATAATAAACTGTTTATCTTGTTTTCTCCGAATGGATCGTACCACATCCACATAACTTTTTCCTTGGACCCAGCTCAGGCTCTATATATAGCGGACCAATACCCTCCAGTCTCTTCGTTCTGCCTTCTAATTGCATAAATAAGAGAGAAAGTAGTCAGGTAAGAAAATTAAAGATGGAAGTGATGCGAGTGCTTCACATGAACAAAGGGAATGGCGAGACTAGTTATGCAAAGAACTCGACGGTTCAGGTTTCTCTTCTTTTCCGCCATTGAAACATCATCATACATGTTTTCAGTTTAATTAAGTGTGTGTGTGTGTGTTTTTTTCCTTCCTCAAACCTATGTGTTTGCCTTTTTGTTGTTTCGATTTGTTAGAGCAAAATCATATCTGTCGGGAAGCCAATCATTGAGGAAGCAATACTAGAAATCTCATGCAACAATGTCATAGAAAGCATGGGGATTGCAGACTTGGGTTGCTCATCGGGACCAAACACCTTAGCCGTGATCTCTGATATCATGGACATGGTACAAGCAACAAGTCGTCATCTTGGTCGTCCAGTACCGGAGTTGAGAGTGTTCTTGAATGATCTTTATAGCAATGATTTCAATGACATATTCATGTCATTACCGGCATTCTACAACAGACTCAAAGAAGAGAAGGGTATTGAAGCTGGATCCTGCTTCATAGCTGGCATGCCAGGCTCTTTCTATGGCAGACTGTTCCCTAGCAACAGCCTGCACTTCGTGCACGCTTCTTCCAGTCTTCACTGGCTCTCTCAGGTTAGTGTGAATCGGTGATCATAAAACGATGAAATTAAAAGAGTTCATCTTTCAACTTTACATACCTATAATCTCATGAACGTTACAGCTAGATCTAATTACTTATAGACCTATAGTCTCATGCACATTACGGATCAATAGATCATACACCATAAATTTTATTAGTCTACCTTTTATTTAGAGTTTTCAAAAGAGTATAAATAAGTTATTAAGGTCATGTTTGGTACGTAGAATTATATATATATAAAAGATAACATAATAATTATTTTATATTATATTTAATTTATATTTTAAAAAAATAAAAAAAGTAATCATTCTTTTCATTTAAGATGATACAATTTTTTTTTAATTAAATTTATGTATCTGATTATACCCTTAAAATTACATGAATAATTTAAATAATATAAATTTTGTAAAATGATAATTTTAATCAATAAATAAAATTATTCTAATTTAATCTTTATATACATTAAATATGATATAAAATGATATTATTTAATTTAACTCTATTTATAATATTATTTTATTTTATCTTATTATAATTTTATATATCAAATATGTCCTTAAAAATAAAAACATTAGTTTATATTTTCAATAAACACCAAATAAATATTTTTATCGACAACTTCAATAATTATGCTAAGGTTGCATCATCGTACAGTTGTGGGCCAAATATTTATAGGAACCATATATTATATATATATATATATATATATATATATATATATATAGGTAGCTTACCTGATCAATATATATTAGGAAAAAATTTTAAAAAATAGGATTCTTAAAGTTTGAGATTCAAAATTTTTAAAATATATTTGTAAAAATTTTAATTTAATGTAATATTTAAAAATAATGATTAAAATTAAATTTATTTGACAAAAAAATTTAATAAAAACATACAAAATGAAACAGATGGAATATTTTATTCTAGCATTACATTTTTTTTGACAATATCAACAATTTCTGTAAACTTGTCTTTCTAGAATTAGTAGGTATAATTTCAGATTTTCAGCTAATTTACAAAATTGTATGAAAATTAAGTTCTTTTGTTGAAAATTTTAATATCTTTAAACTTCCTACTCTTATATTTATTTGTGTAAATAAAATATTATACACATAAATTCTTTTAAATTTATAATTTTTAAATATAAATTCTAATGACATACCAATTAATATAAAAGTCAATTTGCATAAAATTTAAGTTACAGTATCATACACTGATTTTAAGTTTTTAATTTCCTTTTTTTTTTTTCATGCCTGATACATATTCATCAATATTAAAAAAAAAATTCCTATAATATCTATGGCTTAAAAGTTGATATATTCGATGAAAGGGCAAAATCTAAACATAAGGTGAGAAATTAAAATGGTGAACCCCATCAATAGGGTGGATCCACATTACCCTAAGAATTAATTTGCAATCGAATCTCATTATGTATGATATATAAATGCATGGTATATATTTATGTATGATCAGTACTAAAATGCTCCTGAAATCAAGAAGTTTGAATTTCATTACTATAAAAACAAAACGTGCCAAATAGATGTCAAAACCAAACGTAAAAGGAAGTTTAATGAAGTCAATACATAAAACTTTATGGAAACTTTAGTATGGATCGAGGTCACTATCATAAGTTTAGACAGACATCAAATTGAACTTAGCATTAATTCAACAATAGAGGCATATATTTTTTTATTCAAAAAAATTAAATCTGAAATTTTTTTATTTAAATAAAAAAAAAATTCTTTGGTATGCAAAGAAGATTTAAAAGTTTGCATATATTCGTTAGGGTAGTTAAATAATACTAAATCAAGTTAATTATTAATCGAAGATTAGGTACTCTGTTTTTGAAGTTTAAAAACCCTAGATCATCTATGTATAGAAATAAGAATTCAAACATGTAGCAACTCTTTTTTCTTAAACTAATTTTCAGCAATTATTTTAGGATATATAATAGTGATGAAATCAGGGATTTATACTTGGATGGAATTGAACTAAAAACTTGTATGTGATGCAATTGTAAATATATATTGAACAATTTAATGGTGCTTGGGTGTGTGTAAGGAAGAAATGCTTGATTTTAACAGGTTCCAGCAGGCATGGAGAGCGATGCTCTCAGACATTTAAATAAGGGAAAGCTCTATATTTCAAAGAGCAGCCCGAAGAGCGTGTTGGATGCGTATTCATTGCAATTCCAGAAGGATTTTTTACTGTTCATAAAGTCGCGTTCCCAGGAATTGGTTTCCGGTGGCCGCATGATCCTTTCTTTCATGGGAAGGAGATCCGCTGATCCCACAACTGAAGATAGCTGCTACCATTGGGAGTTGTTAGCCCAAGCAATTATGAGCCTGGTTAGAGAGGTATATGCTGCAAAGGCTTTTTCTTTTAATTTTTCATGCATGTCATTTTGTTTCGATTGGTAAGTTCACTCTCTATAAGTAAAGTTCGAAATGTGAATTAGGTCAAACAATTCCCTTAAAAAAGGAATCACGTGCAGAATTGGACTAGAATCAATCCTTGAATGGTACAAATAAGTAAGTTGTGAAAGTGGAATGAGCTTTCAAGGTTGACTAACTAAACTAAACTAGTGAACTTTTTCCAGGGTCGAATTGAAGAGGAAAAGGTCGATTCTTTCAATGCCCCTTACTATGCTCCGTGTGCTGAGGAAATTAAGGTGGAGATACAAAAGGAAGGATCTTTCATAATTGATCGCCTTGAAGCTTTTGAAATTGACTGGGATGGAGGTGCCGTTAGTGACATCCATACAGCAGAAGGGAAACTATTGACAGGACAACGAGTGGCAAAAACCATCAGAGCCGTGGCGGAATCGATGCTGGAATCTCACTTTGGAATTGGACAAGATGTAATGGATGATTTATTCAGCAGGTTCGCGGTCATTGTTGGGAATCACTTGTCAAAGACTAGAACCAAGTACATCGATTTGGTGATGTCCCTGATTAAAAAGGGGTAATCAAATCAAATCAAATTAGAACCACAGCTTAAGAACAGTCTGCAATTTTATAGTTAGTTTCCTACTTTTGTTTCGCTGGATTCTACAAAAACCAAAGAAATTAGATGCAAATACAGCTTCGGCTATTGGAAGCCTTTTGTTTTCTAGGATAATTAATGGGAATTAATATATTAATAGTCCCTGGAGAAATAAAATTCCTGAATTTAAACTAGTCTAATTTTATTTTATTAACATGAAATTAACGACCAATCACAGCATTTTAAAGTTTGTGAAAGCAAGCATTTGAAAAACACATGTCGGGTGACAGTACTGCAATTTCAGTTAACCTCATTCTTCTACTTCAAATGGTATGAATTATACTCATTCGGTCTTGGTCAGAAATATCAACTATGAATTCGTTTGGATGTTTGATTAATTAGTGGAACTCTTTCAGAAGTTTGTAATAAAAATCCGTGGCTACAAAGGTTCTCCTATATCTTTTTCCATCTCGCCCTGTAGTCATTGTCGGTTACCAAAACCTTAACCTTTGAAACCAATTAATTGTCCAATTTCAAAACTAGGTCGCATTGTCTTTGCCCACGAAATCAAATATAAATACTAACATGTAGTATACAATCATATATCTAGCCACTTTCCAGGATACCGTCAAGGATCCTGTAAGTCAGGAGCCAAACAAGGCTAATAAGGCCTGTGGAAAAAGTGTATATAACGAAGTCTATGATGAAAACACTTTCAGAACTTTTTAATAAAAATCTGTGGCTATAAAGGTTCTTGTACATCTTTTTCCATCTCGCCCCGAAGTCATTGTCGGTTGCCGAAGCCTTTGAAGCCAATTAATTGTCCATTTTCAAAACTAATTACGGCGTATGATATATAGTTAAATCGCCATATTTCAATATCTTCAATATCACTGCAAGTCTGCTAAAGTTGCATGACTTTGATAGCTCATACCAGCGACTGGCTGGCTTTAGAGAGTACCAACGTCCACTCAAAGAGTACTTGGAGTTGAAAGGGGAAATTATTTCAAGCACTGGTGGCAAATCTTTGTAGGCCAATAAACCGACACACCATTTTTGTACCTAAAACGTGTTTTCCCATTCAATTTCAAATGTGAAATTCATGGTTCAAATAAACATAAAATGATGAAATTCTTCATTTTTCCTGCCAATGACAGTAGAGACTAGGAAAAATGATTCAGCTTTTGCTAGATGTTGGTCCTTATTGCCTTTGTTTTTAGGCAGTTTTGGATCTTTGTCCCTCGGCAATCAGGAACACGGAGCTGATATTTCTCCAGGTAGTCTAGGATTGCTGTTTATTGGGGGTAAGTTTATGGCTGCATCAACAGCGACAATGGCTTTTTTTACTTTGTCCGAGTTCGCAGTCTCACGTGTCCGCTTTTTGAGTCATTTAAAACGCAGCTTTCATGGAAAAACTCTGAATTCTGAAAGCTTATTTTCTGAACCACACTTCTTTGGAGAATATGGTTCAATATTGACACATGTTTTATAAGTAGCTCATGTACTAATATCTGTTATTTGACACTTGGTCAATATTCACCGAACAAAATTTCAAAAAAAATGATTCAATAAACCAAAACAAAATAATATCTTTTAGCATCAGATCGAGTTGTTACAGAATATAGAATTTGTTCAACCAAGCATGCTTTGACTGTGGAAACAAATGTGTTGTTTTGAAGGGTCGTTGTTTCATTTTGCCATGAGTCTTTTTACAGATATGAGAATTGCTTCAAAGCCAACATATTCGGAGAGACGCATGTATTTGTGTCGAGCACTGAATCAGCTAAAGCAATCCTAAACAATGACTTGGGGAGATTCACAAAGATGTAGATGAAGTCAATTGCAGAGCTAGTGGGGAATCAAAGCTTGCTTTGTGCTTCTCCCCACCATCATAAACTGTTCCTTATTGCTGTTAGTTAAACAGTTAGATGAACTCATTGTTAACGCTCCTGGTAAGGGAAGATGGAGGCCCTGTCATTGTACTTAATGAAGCTCTTAAGGTTTGTTGATAGAAATTCTTTTCCTCAGAAATATACATGATTTGCCATGAAAGGTTGCACAGCAAATAGGGAATAGTAAAATTTACCCTCGACAATCAAATATGATTTTGCCCATCTGATCAGGAGTCTGTGGCTCTAATTCAATTTGATGCATATAACCTTCGAAGCAATGTGCAAAATGTTGCTGAGTTGGCGGCCTTCAAGTTTTGTCGAAATCACTTTGCTTATGGGCTTTCAAATGCTAACAGTTGGCACAAACCTAGCCCAAAAACCATTGAATGAGAGCTACTGGCCTATTGATTCACATCATATTTTAGCACTAAACCTTCTGGGTTTATTTTTAATGACTTAAGCAGGCTGATCAACTTCATCCTGCAGAAAAAGCTTCAACAAAGTTCTTTCTTATTCTGGATGATCTTAATCAAATGCCCTATGCTTCTAAGATAAACAAAATTTAAAATATAAAAATTATTCTTATTATAATAATAAATTTAAGTTTTACATTTATTCTAAGCAGCCTGTTTTTGTATTATGAAAAAAATTTTAAATGCAGCTTTAAGTTTCCATCTTTTAAAGTTGTATTAATTATATTTTGCATTATAGGTAAAATTATTTAAAGAACCTTTTTACTGAAAATAGTAATGATATGTGCTGCAATATAAGGTCAAAATTTTGCTAAAATTAAGTATATATAAAATGTATAGATAAGACTTTTAACAACTCAAATTAAAAAAAAAAATCATTTTAGCTAATACCGTAATTAAACTTTATGTAATATTTTAATATTAATATAATTATGTAATCAAACATAATATTAAAAATTATAATAATTATTAGAATAACATCTAAAATTACAATAAGATATTGTAATTATATCAACATAATTATATTAATATTATATAATATTACATTAACATATTAATATGCAATTTAAAAATCACTTAGCAACAGTGTTAGAGACATACATTGATGAAGAAGAAACAGACCTCGTTGTGACATAACTTACTTTAATTGCATCTCAATCATGAGTTATGACACAAACACTGGTTGATGTTTGCTAGCTATTCATCATGTCTCAAGAGAAAACCTGATCTTCAAATATTAAATAATTAAGATATCTTGTAGTACAATATTCCTTCTTGCTCCATATTTTCATGGAAAGTAAGAAAAAAAACGACGCCATGCTTTATGTATCATATATAAAAACGTATTGTTTGATATTTAAATACCTAAGCTAAGATAGCATATGAACGAAAAAAAAAAAAAGAAAAGCGTGAAATAATAGGTTGCATATGCCCTGCCAGAATGATCCAGCTTGTCCTACAACCTTACCCAAATGGGACAGACGCCGCCCCTTAATCTAAGGGCAGAGGACAGGTTGCCAATTTTAAGGCAATCTGAAAATAAAAACTGAATTGTAGGTATTGAAATTTAGAATTTAGATTTGGTGAATGCCAACTTAAAAACGATCACATATTAACCAGCTGAGCTAAAATCCTGTTCACTCCCTCATCATTTTTCGCTTCTGTTCTGTCTTCCGTTTGAGGAATGGTTGGATGGAAGCTGCAATATAAACTTCTTGACGTCTCACCATGCCAAAGAAGGATATGTACTCGTACTGACACTAATGGCAGGCAGTTCGGTTGTATCCAATTTTGTAGTTTAATGATTACCTTTATCTGTCTTCCCCAATAATATTTTTTCCTTAAAGGGGGGCTGGCTACGTTTTGATTCCAACAGAACCCAATGCCAACCCCCTATAAAGCCAGTAGTCTCTCTCCAACCAAACAAAAGCAATGGAATGGATGAGAACCCCTCACCTGATATCTAATTATACCCTAAGGCCTAATCATGCATACACCAGTTGATGTACGTTTTACAGATACTAACAAATATGCCAAATCTTTAGTTGAAAAAATTACTGCATTGAAACGAGAAATGCCAAGAGTTTCTTGCTAGTTTGGTTGTTCTTGTTGACATGTATTAGCTCAATCCTATGATTAGTGCAGGCATGAGAGCTGATCTCCTATCAATTCATCATCGACTTAACTATCACAATGTTTTCTACTTATTAAATCTCATTCTAGTGATCATGATGTTGATTTCACCAATCAAATTGGTTTGAATTTTTTTAAATCAAATAGTAAAAACAAGGAGTAAGCTTGCTATTTTACAAGAATCCAAAGACCAAAAGGTTCAGAGCTGAAAGTACTAAAAAGAATATTAGAGGAGACTTTCATGGCTGCTGCCTACTGATTATGAAAATGCCCAATTGAAATTAAGGTTTAGAAAACTGAGAGTTCACATGGTTCTTATTCAGGAGCAGAAAATGAAAAGAAGGAAAAAAATAATGATGGGACCTCTTGGTTCATATGACAGCTAGTGAGCAGAAGAATAGAAATGGAAATGACAATCTTTGGAGACAAAGATATTAATATTGTTGCTCCAATATGAAGACAAATATTATATTATATTATTATTTTCCCCTTTCACTTTTCCATACTATTATAATTCTATTATAATTGTGTGATATTATCACTATTACTATCAAAACATGAAAGGAACAATTGAACAAACCAGTCTGCTTTCAGAGAAATAGGGGTCTTCCATTTCCATGAAAACAGAGGTTGTGTTTCTCTAATTGAGGATGAAAATCCAAATATAGTTCACAGTCGAACAACATTTGTAGTATTGGAATTTCAATGGTAGAGGGTTTAGGTTTTCAATTTTTAAGGTTAATCAACATAAAATTTATATTTGATACAATGTCAGTATATAAATTTTATATATTGTCAATAAATTAAATTATAATAATTCATTAATGAATAAATATTAACTTTTAAAATAAATATATACAAATTAAAATAATTTATCATTAATAAAATATTATCATCTGATTTATTTCATTAATGAATTATTATCATTAATTCATTAATAATATGTAAAACTTATACACTAATAAGATATTAAATATAAACTCATCAATGTTAAGGGAATACAGAAGACAAAATTGCAAAGACCCCAGATAATAGGAGTTGTCAATTTTACCTCAAAGTCAGTTTTCATACTGAAAATCTGTATTGATAGCTGAATGGCACTAACAGAAATAAATTGTTAAAAAATATAGTCAATTTGTTGACAATGAATAGTGTGATGAAGTGAAACAAATGCCAGATGGATGGTCCAAGATATAACACAATCATGCAGAAATGGGGCATACACGACAATTTTTTTATTAAAAAATTGAATTTTACTGATGGATTAATTTAAGAACCCCCAGACAATATGCCATTTGTACGGAAAAAGAGCTTCTGGCAAGGAGCAAATAATTGAGAAGTTCGATGTTTAATGTACACCAGTTGGCCATAGTGCCAAGCTGATCGAGAAACAACAAAAGTGGAAGGAAATGTTGTTGATGATGGTTAATAAACAAGAAGAAAACCTCTTTTTCCCATTTTTGTTACAGAATTATCATAACAAGTGGATAAGAGCAGGGTAATTCATTGCAAAGAAGCCTACGCTGTAGAATATAGATACAAAACAGAAATACCCCACTGCCCACATGGGCCTCAACCCTCAACCCCACTCCAAAGCCAATGTTCCCTAGTAACCACCGCTTCAACCTCAACCCTTCTTTTTTATCCCACTAATGGTCCCTTTGCCAACACTGAAGACCAAATAAAACCATGTTCTTGAAACATTGGCTATTGCCTGAATTATTTACTGGACTGGTTTCAGAATTTTCAAGTTGGTACTGAGTTCTAATTATGGGCAAATAAGTTTTTGATGGTTTTTTTTTTTAAGGAAAGAAAAATCAGGAAAACGAAATTATTAGAAGAAGATTTGGCATGTCACTTCAAGAGACAATACAGAGAATTAAAGAAGAAAAAGCTGGTGGTGGGAACTTTGTGCCTGGAAATATTGCAGAAAAATATCCTCATTTTTGCTCTAAAAGTATCTAATGTTCCTCAAAGCCCCCGCCAGTTAGTGAAAGTAATGATGATAAACACAATTAAGATGGAGATTAAGATAAAGCTGCTTAGTTTATTGGTACAGGGCATGCTAAAGTAGAGCAAAAGTTATTGACTTTCCCGTGGAAGATTTCAAGCTTTTTGATAGTAAATTCATCAACATTCTAAATTATTACTCCATTATGCTGGAGTAAAGTACTTTACTTTCATGCACTTTAAGTATATTTCGGGAAAATATATATTATAATAATCGGAATAACAGTGTAATTTCCATGATTGGGTATTCATGAAGCAAACGCTCACCCTTTTTTTGGTGCTATTCATGTATATCATAGCATTTTACACTGTTTGCCTTCCATCATTGTACCTTTGGATTTTTGGGTACTGATTAGCATAGAAACAGTCAAACACGAGGAGTTGGAAGAAGAACCGAAGTGGAAGTTGGACTTCAAGAAAATGATAGAATTGACTGAAATTGGAATGTAAATCTATGCTATAATCATGAAGAATTGAAAACAACAGCGAATCGAAATAGCATTCAAATAAACAAGGAATGATTCCTCTAACCAAATTTGCATGATGCTGAAGATATATCTGAAGTATTTTAGCTCTAAAATTGCCATATTTGACAAGAGAACACAAACAAGGATTTCCCAAAGCAAGAAGTAAGGACTAAATGTGAAAGTAAGTTTAGAGGAGTTGAAATGAATTCTCCTGTCAGAGAAAAGAAAACTCAAATATTCCAAACCCTGTACCCAACCCAACTCAGCACAGGACTTTAGGAGTTTTTTTTTTCCCTGAATTCCGTTGCTGCTATTTCTTATTTTTAGGCCCGATAAACTTTGTCCGAATGCACATGATTCAGAGTCAACTTATAAACTCAGCAAAGCAGAAACACAGATTCGCAGAGCACTGAACCGTATGTCCAATTCAAAGATCAAGGAAAACTGGCAATAAAAAGACAAAACAAAGAAATAAAAACGATAAAAAAACCACAAGATCCCATTGAACTTAGTTGTCTTAATTTTACTCCCACAAAACCAGGGAAATATTATCAGCGTACCTCACAAACAGAAATTATAACTATAAGATCCTGAAAACCTAATAATTCGAAAATCGAGATAGATTTTTTCTTTTAAACTCGATGATTTTCTCTAATCTCCTAATTCTTAACCACAGTAGATGTGCACTTTTCTTTTCTCCTAGTGTAATGGGCAGTATTTTCCTGCAGCAGAGTTTTCTTTCTTTCAGCAATGAAACTATCTATGATGAACTGAAACTCTTCACTGCTCATCTCATCCATTGATTTCCTTGGCGGCTCTATTCCTGAAATCACTAGCTCTCTGCTGATAGCTGTCTCTGGTCTCCAAAACTCCCGGGGCCGTTGGTTTCGAGATTCCAAAACCATTGATCGAGTTCTTCGGTACTCCTTTTGCTCGACTGCAGTTGAAGAAACGTCAGGCTTTTTCTTTGTCAGTACTGTACGGATCGTCGTAGGTTGTTTAACTGGAGAAAGGGAAATTTTTGTCTCTGCAACTGTATCAACTGTTGTCCGTTGCTGCTTTTCTGGAGAAAGAGCAATCGCATTTTGTACCAGGATGATTTGTTTGTCCACCATGGTCTCCTCCGTGGCAGGAGCGGCGGTAGCGACGGCGGATGTGGGTGTACTCCGGCGACAGCTGACGTACTCGTCGTAGATGTCAGGATTGGTGGTTTGTTTCTGGGTCTGTTTTTGGCTAGACAAAATATAAACAACAAGGATGATGATGTTTACAAGAACGAAGTTATAGAGAGATTTGTCAAGAGTGGAAACGAAACAGCGGCGAAAATCTCCAGCAACCTCGACGGTGTCAGGAATCACAGTGGGGAACCATGACCATGACAACAAAAACAAAGCAAACAAAAACCCAGTTAAGCGAAAACCGATCCTCAAGTTCCTCTCCATGTTATATCTCCATAAAGCGTCTTCTTTCTCTGCCTTGACGTTGTCACATTCAAAGGAATCCATGCTTGTTTAACAAGACAATGAGGGGAAACGAAGTAGAAGGTTTAAGGTTGCTTCCAGATTTGGAACCTGGTAGGAGAAGAGAGGAGTATTCTTTTGAGTAAAGGGCTTTGGAAACTGAATGATTTGAATAGATTCGTAGGGCTTTATATATAGCTGAATTATCCAATGCTTTTGCATTAAAAAAAAAAAGGAAAAAGAAATTACAGAAAAATCGAAATGATTATTGAATTATATAGAGTTAAGCGCAATTGAATGATAACCAAATGCAGAGCCACGCGTGGTGGGGAGAGAGAGCGCGTTGCGTTGGGTTAGGTGGTGTGCTGACTGCAGACACCAGAGGGAAAACGCACGATCTCGAACGGGTCTCACTGTGGCACCAACAAATGATTTTTTTTTTTTTTTCTCTCTCGCCAAGTCGCATGTCTATCTTTTCCCGTTACGAAAAGTAAAGTGGGTCCTATCCTTATAAGTTAATTTCTTTTTATCTTTTGAAATTTTATGCTATGTTTAATACAGAAGGTAAAAATAATCTAATAATTACCATTAATAATTTATGTTATTTCATAATTCAATTGTTAAATTAAAATTTTCTTTTTCTTTCTTGACAAATTGAATGTCAACGACAATCAAGAATGCAGTATGAGAAGTGTATTTATTATTATAAATTTCCTAATGAAGCATGAAACTCCGGATACGGCTCATTCGGATTATTTAGAAAATTTCACATTAATTTACTAAATTACGCTCTTTTGAAACACTTAAATGCGATTTTTGTTGTGAACCACCTTAATTATATTTAATTTTGGTTTTATTTATCAATTTCTCAAAACCATTATTTGGTTAATTAGATATTAATAGTAGTTTAATAAATTGATGATATATAATTAATGTTATTTAAATTTGAATTTTAATATTTTATTAACAGGTTACGTTGAAAAAATTTTTTTTCCAGTCTTTGAATTCGTGACCAATATAATAATAGCCTGTCCTAATTTACATCCAATTTCAAAGTCCTTTTCCAAACAATTAATTCATTTGCATATGGGCTGATCTTTTGCTTATATTTCAACATCAGAAACAAAGAAGTTAGGAATAACCCAGAAAAAAAGTCAAAATTTCCTGAATATTATTCCAACAAAAACAAATAATTTTGGGAAAACTTTGTGCTGTTTGGCAGTATGGAAAAAATATTGAAGATTGTATGTATAATTGATTAAAGACATCTTAGATTTGATTGACAAATGACCTTCAGAAGAAAGTGTAGTGCCCTGATCCTGGAATTTAATTTTAATCCCTATTGGTTATCATATATAAAATTATTAATTGTTTGGCATAAATTAAACACCATAATTAGCAATTCTTTACTTAATATAATCACTCATGGACTAATGCACTACAGAGCAGTTCACCTTTCTTTTTCCATCACATGGGCTACTTTCCTTTTCAGAATTGGCTCATTTCAATTCACTTTATGCACATTTGGAAAGCTGAAAAACTAACACCCTTTAGCCTTATATTGGCCACAAAACTCACAATTCACGAATCTCATTTGGCCAAAATCTTTGTCTGGAGAAAAGAAGATGAAAAGGAGAAGAGAAAAAACCACTAGTCTTGAAAGAATTCTGAACTCAACTGTTTTGTAGGTTTTGATGATCACATTCGAATTAATGAAAGGGAAAAATCAAAAGCAAATGAAAGTTTCTTTGCATGGGAAAATCATGAGTTTTAAAATTAGAGAATATTAATCTCAAAATAGTTAAAAATTAAATATGATAATTTAAAATATAATACTGTGATATAATACGAATATGATATAAAAATAAAATTTAAAAATAATACGATTTAAAATTTTATCATTAATTATATATCAATTTAATAAAATTAAAAAATATATTTTATATTTTTATATTGATATAAATTATTACACATAATTTTTGTATAAAATATAATATAAATATATAAATTTTAATATTTTATATGATATGAATATATAAAATAAGAGATCTATTAAAAACAGGGGAATTGGGAACTCTTGGTTTGGTGGTGGGAATGTGATGAATAATGAAATCCAAGAGACATTGATTAGTTCAAGCTCTCAACTCTCTCAGGGAAAGTGAAAAACGGTTTGATTAGAAAAGAAGGCATGCCAGCATGACCGAGTTGGAAGTAGAAAAATTAGAAAGGTATATGAATATCACGTGAGGCCTGACAAACGGTACGAAAGCCACCGGACAAAAGTTAAGATAAAAACAAATATTAGTTTTCTTCTGTAGAAATTATCGCACTTCAACTTCTTCAGCTCCATTGCAGACGCTACCAACCGTGAGATATCGGGCGACACCGTCAGACACGCAATGTTCAACCCCTCCCAACACTCCGGCACTTGGAAATAGATATGAAAAAAATACGAAAATAATATAATTTAAAATATTAATATAAATTATATATAAATTTAATAAAAATAAAAAATATTTTATATTTTTTTATATAAATTAATAGATAATTTATATATATAATATATATAAATTATTAATATTTTATATAATATAAATATACGGAACATCGAATATATATTTGATTAATCAGAGAAGGACAAAAATTCTCAATGCCAAAGAGGTAGACTAACAGGTCAAGATCTTTGGTTGAGGATAAGAACAATGTTAATCCTTGATACAAGTCCATGGCACTGTAACTTTCCTCACTCTCTCTCTTTAAGACTTTAAACTTTTTTTTTTTCTTAATCAATGGTTTACCTTTTTCCTTTAATTAATCCTCTGATTGCCCAGCTAATGTTGATTATTTTTACAAGTGATCTAAACCAATTAAGGTTAGCAATTTGATGACCATGGCACTCAACGACTATTTGATTAGTATATTAGTTAAACTGTCAGAAAAAGCAATAATGATTTTTTAATGATTCTGTATCTGTTTAATGAATTTACACTTAACTCAATTATATTAACATGAAATATTCAAATATAGCTTGCCATATCAAGGGTGCAACGTTGAATCAAATGTCCCCTTGAAGAAAAAAAAATGCAAGTCTTTTGATTTAACATGGATTTGAATTTTATCGCATTTTTAAGGTATGATATAATTAAATTCATCGTATCATTAATTTAATTTAAATATTAATTTTAATAAAATTCATTCAATATAAATTTTTTTATGAATTTTTTTAATCATAATTATAATAATAATTATTATTATTTTTAATTTCATTGAAATTATTTTTATTGTTCCTCCAAATGAATCTTTAATCATTATTTTAATAAAAAAATTTTCTTAAGAGTATTTTTTAAAATTACTATATAAGATAATATTTTTATCTAATATATTAATAACGAACTATAAAATTGTTAACGATTGCATTTAATGCAAAATTCATTAAAATTGTTTTGCATATTCCTTTTGTTGCATGCAAAACGGAACAATTAGCTTGAAGAAATTAATTAGTTTGTCAGCTCTTATCTTATGATCGACATGGGATCTTAAATGCTTTTCAGCGTAGGCCATAGGCAAAAAGAATGAGAAGCAATTAACCTGCATTTAATTCTCTACAGCTTTTGGGTTCATGATTAATGGAGTGATTAACAGTAGGTAAAAGTGAGGTTGGATTGTTAAAATTTTGTAGTTTGCTTCGAAAAAGGTTAAACATCTATGGGTCCCAGAAATCAATGGGTAATAATACCTCTCTAGTGTTTATTTGGATTGTCTAACAAGAAAAAAATTTAAATGAAATTTATTAAATAAAAATAAAAATTAAAAATTTTATTATAAATTAAGTAAAATTTAATAAATTTTGATTTACTTTTAAGATAAATATTTTAAATAAAATTTTGATATAATTTTTATCGTTAAATAAATATCAATTAAATTTATATTATAAATTTTTTATTAAATTTTATTAATTTATCAATTTAAATTTTTTATTAAATAATTTTTAATTAAAAACTTCACTTAACGAACTTTATCTAAGTTTTATAGTACTGACTCAACTCATTAATCTTTTCATCTCACAATCACAGCTATCTAACATATTTTAAAAACAGTGATCATATTTTAAAGATAAAATAAAAAATTATAAATATTAAAATTTAAATAATATATATAATATCATTTCTTAAAGTAATTGCGTAAACCAATTCTAAGCCTATTGATTTGTATTTAAATTTCAACGACTTTAAATAAATAAAAAAAAAAAAAACGACCAAATTTTAGTTTGGAATCATTTTTTATCTTTGTTTCCTTTCTGTTAAGGAACAACAAAGCTCCCCTGTCCATGAAATCCTGAACTCCTAATTGAGTTATTGTCATTTTCATGGGCATATAACCCAAAACCAATCTACTAGTGGGATCTCAATGCTTTGACTTCACAGTCAAGACATTCAAATGTGGAAAAAAAATGAAAGTCTACATATCAAATCAAGCAATGCGTTCACATGTATGAAATTGATCAGCGAAATTTATCTTGTTTCCTTTCTGTAAAGGAATAACAAAGCTCCCCTGTCCATGAAATCCTGAACTCCTAATTGAGTGATTGTCATTTTCACGCGTATAGAACCCAACACCAATCTACTAGAGTCAAGACATTCAAATGTGGACAAAAAATGAAGTCCACATATCAAATCAAGCAATGCGTTTGCATTTATGAAATTGATCACAGAAACACTTTTCAAGAAAAGTTATTTACCATGGCCACTAGCCTCCTTTCAAGGCATAACAGCTAGAAAATGTATAAAACAAACCATGCCCTGAAAATGGGATTCAAATCACTCCATGATTATAAGATTAGTTCGTTGCTCATCTGTGGTTTGATATTTCTGGTTAGAGTTTGTCTTTTCCAGGATGGTTTGATTAGATATTTTTAACTTATGTTCACAACCAAGCTAGCTAGTTAAGTTATTTAACTATAATTGTTATCAGTATACAAATAGGGGTTTTTCCACATAGAAAATTGGTTGATATATGAAATCTTATCCGAAATATCTTAAGGGATGGAAGAAATTTTTAGAATGGAATGACCCGTGTCAAATGAAGCCTAGGGGATTGGATAAGAACATGGAAAGCAATTCATCTACTTTTTGCCTTGTATTTTCATTCATTGTTATGCTTGTTCTGCTAAATGCTGACTTTGATGATCTGTTCCCTTGTTTACTAAGGAAACCATTTTTGATTTGGACAAAATAGAAAGAATACTTTTCAGGTTCTCTTACTTTCAGATTGCTTCACTAGACAAGAGAAGAGAAATAATGAAAGCACTGCATCTGTAAAAGTATGGATAAGACCAAAGCAAACCCACTTTTGGAAATTAAAATATCAAAGTCTCTTAGATTTTCAAGGGGCACACTACTTGTAAGAAAAAATCTGAATTGAATTGTTGCTTGACACATGAAAGTTGGTATGATATAACTCAAACGGTCAGACCAAATTAGTACTTCGAAAAAAGAAGGAAAGAAAGAAACTTTTATCAGTATGACACAAAAATTCCACCACTTCAAAGCGGGGGTTGAATGCATTGAGGAATTTTTGAAGCAAAACTACAAAACAATTCTATTTTTGCTTAGCCCTTTGGTAAAACGACCCACCAATAATAGTAGCAGCTCCCTTGCTTTTTCACCCCAGTTGACGCCTTTTCATTGCTTTTAGGCTGCATAATTTGATGTTAGAGATTGAAAAGAGAAAAAATAAAGTTAGAATTCAAGTGTGGTTCTTGTCGCTCTAAATCTCTTCTTCGAGTTTTAGCACATATGGGTGATGGATAGGGTCCCAATTGTCAATCTGCCATTGACAAAGTACTTACAAGTTAAGAAAAAGGAACAATTAAAAACAAAATACACCTATTTTTCAAGGTAAAAAAAAAAGAGAAAGGATTCATCCCTTTACATGATCCATTTCCTCTATCATGCTTCAACAAATCCGACCCTCAAACTAATCTTAAAGAATCAGTGGTTTTAAAATTTTGACACTCAACCATTCAAAAATCAAAATGCAAAATTTTTAGTACCATCCGAACATTTGATTTAATAAGTAATGTATAATTCTTAACATTCGAAACTCTTCTTTCTCAAATTAAAAAAAAAAATCATATGTTTTCAAAGAAAAACATGTTTTAAGACAGAGTATATTAATTTGATTTAAAAATCCCAATCTTTCATCTTTGGTAGAGACTAAAGAAAAAAAGGCTTAGGATTGGGAATAAGGATAAAATTTTAATAAAGAGAATAATTTAAGCCATCCTCTTTCGACCTTTATGATGTAGAATATGTACCACATACCCTTTAAACAAGAGTTCAAATTTATTAGATTATCCTAAAGCAAGACTGGAAAGCTAGAAAAAAAAAAATAATGAACAAAGACGCTCTAGTGGTGGAAATTCGGATTTTGAAAAAGGGGGAATGAAAGCCACTTTTCTCTAGAACCATAATTGTTATTATTCATAATGACCATGGTCAAAAGTTAATTTTATCAATGCTTTCAAAAGTAGATGGAAAAAAATTATATACAGCTTTCCTCTTCTTTTTCCCTTTTATCTTTCTTGTATAACTGAACTTTCTTGCTGGAAAAAGGTCTGAATTGATCAGATTGGTTGATTAATTTGATGATAATGTTCATGAAAATGACAATTTGTAGTTGTTAATTTGGTAAAAATTTTGAAATTGAAGTTTCAACTACTTTTTCATCCATATCCGTATTCACCTTTTTGGAAAAATTTTAGCATATCAGATTTAGACATGCATGTAGGAAGGATTTCTACTGGATTTTTAATTTGATTGCCCGTAATTAAGGATGTAAATAATAATTTAAAATACAGATTGTGTGAAGGATTAAAAGATGATTGGGCACTACAAAAAAGAAGAATTATGTATGGTCAAGGATGTATGAAAGAATCCTACTTCTTCAACTTTACTAGTAATACTAACAATTTCCATCTACCAAATTCACACCAACCTACAAAAGAGATAACATATTATATTTCCAATTAGATAAAAATCAATATCTAGCAGACAATGGAAAGTTTAATTAGTTCATAAACGAGTCCAATTAATGATCAATCAAATAGTAATATCATTTGAATTCAAAATTTAATTCAATTAATTTATATAATTATCTTAAGAAGTGGTATTCAATGCATTTATAATTTTTGCTACGTAAAATGTTGACGAAAGCATCTATGAATATTGCAAGAAAGCCTTCAAGTTACTCTAGATATAGGAATAGTACTCCTGAAAGCAATGTTATCCAAACCACATATACATACAAGGAGACTTAAGTGAAATGATGTATTTGAAGGAGCAACAACTATATAGGTAGTCATAAAACGTAATATAGCTAAATGGGCTTTAATTTTGTTGAGGTTAGTAAAAAAAATTTTATTTAATCTAAATTGATATGAAAATCCTGGTGAAATAAAGGCCCATTGGATTTGAATTAGACAATAGACAGTAAGAGGATCATCTCATAAATCTCAAACCTAGTTTCTTAACATAGAAACGATACAAACTTGAAATTTTCAAGTTTCAACTTTAAATTCTATCTAGCTTTGGAAACCATAGTGAATAGAAATTATAGTTTCCATAACTATGGTAATATGTAAATTCATTATGTAATGGTGGAACCACTCTTATAAAACTGGTGTGATTAGTAATACATAAGCTGCCATGGCTGATTGTTCTATATATAGAAGATACTAGTTGAAAGAACTTATAAACAAAACCAGCCTATTATATGTTAACAAATTAAGAGAAATCATTACGTCCCAAAATGGAAGTGTATGTAAATTTCTACCAAAATCACAAATTACATGTATTGATCTAAGACTTGTGGTTTTATTCCTGTACATTATTTTCATCAAGTACTGATCCCTCGATTCATCTCATCAAGTGATGGAATGGACAGATTGGACCAACTAATTGGAAGTGCTGATCAGAAAACGTATGCCTTCCTCGTCATGAAATTTTGTTCCTTTCAGCAATGAAAGCCTCTACTGCATACCTGAAGTCTTCATTGCTCATATCATCCATTGATCTCCATGGCGGTTCTCTCAGTGATAGCCAATTATTTGCTTATCCCTCTCTTCAATCTTCGGAACTCTTAACTGGTTATTATTTCGCTCGAAACTCTCAGAATTGTCCGAACAAACAGCCACAATTTCCCCAACAGCATCCTCTACTAAGATGATATGCTTGTCCACCAAGATCTCTTCCGCTTGTCCCTCCCCCCGATTAGATTCACCATTAACGTCGGGGCTGCCCCGATTAGATCCCACATTCTCGTGGTAAACAACGCAAGGCGGCTGGATCATCTGTTGTTGGCTAGATAGAAAGCAAAGAGCAAAGATGATTAAGTTCATGAAGATGAAAATGGACAAAGGCCTGTTTGAAACAGCGATGAATCCTTGATAAAGAGCTCTAGCGATATCGAAATGGGTGGACAAACAAAACAACAATACCAAAGCCAAGACAATCCTGCACAAGGGAACATTGTTTTTCCTGTTTTTTTGCTGCTTCTTGTATGAGTCTTCTTCTATGGATCTGGGCGCCATCTCAACCTTAAAAAGTTATCAATGGAAAGAGATTTGGAAGCTGGTTACATATAGTACTATATTTTCGTAAGCTTTGGTTTGGGGATCAATTAATGAAAAACTAAGGAAAGGAGTCAAGTTTAAGCCAAAAGAAAAGAGCCTGAAATTGAGAACTGGCTATTTCTTTATATATAGAGAAGGGATATCCATACTTCCTTGAACCTTTCGCATTTTCGAAATGGAAAATACAAAGAAAATGTTATATGGAATTCCTGTTGATTAAGGAACGTGAAGTATCATTTGAGTTTTGAAATTTTCTTGCCGGTTTAATTATTTATGTAATTTTGGTATTTTCCAACAGGTTTCACAACTATATTTAATTTGTATATATATATATATACTTGTCAAATATGAAGGCTAAGCTAGGCGGTATTGCTGTGTATCAATTTGACTAAACAAGACAAGCTCAAAACTTTAACTAATAATTTTTAGGCTCCTTTAGTTGCTGTTCATTTTTTTTTACTACTTTATATCATGATATCCATCGATTTATCATTTCAATGAATCAACCAACCATCTGAAAGATTTTCTAACCCTTCTTTTTTTTTTTTTAGTGTAGTGGAGGGTCAAAGACCCAGACAATTGGCTAGAAAATTTGCTGATCAAAAAGAATGCAGAATCCTCTCTCTTGATTGCAGCTCCGTTTAGTAATCCAATTTGCTGCCATATTTTTTTTTGGCTTGGAATATGATTAAGTGATCAATTTCAGTTCCTAGCCATATTAATAATGCTATACACTAACCTTTTTTAGATTTCCCAAAAAGGAAAAGTTTCTTTGATTTCCCACCAGCATTTTTTTTTCCTTTAATGAATTCATGTGTTTTGATGGCGTAGAACTTGTTGACTTTGAATTTAATTTGGATAATGAAATAGTGAAGGGTTTTGAAAATTGTAGGCCAAACAGGAATAAAAATAAAGAACCAACGGGTTGACAAATGGAATTAAAAGAGTTGTACTAAAAAAAATTTTTGAATTAAGAAAGAGATAATTGTGAAATCTTACTGCAAATTGATTTTCCTTTGCTTGAAAAATATAATCACCAAAAACACACGAAAGGCTGAATTTAGATTACTACTATGAATTTCCTAGCATTTACGTGGAGTTATAAATGACGCTATGAGCTTCTAGAAATACCAGCCTCAAAGAATGAGAAAATATAAAAGCTAGCTCCACCGTGAATAGGTGCTACCGGATTGTGGAAGTTACAGAAATTAACAAAACATTGAGTAAACGACTGCTTTCAGTTTGGGGTGAGTTGTGTTCGCAGTTCACTAGCCTTTTCTCTCGGTTGTCTTTTGAGTTACTTTAACTAGAAAGCACCCTTTCGGCCTCCGTGTTCATCATCTGTCACAGTTTTCCTTGTTCCTTTCTTTGATATGGGTGCAGAACCTAAAACTCATAAATGGAATCCTATATACAGGCTCATTCTCCATCTAAAATCTCAGTCTTGCGGCCAAAAAAATTCAAGTCAGAAAAGAAAGAGAAGTAACAAATTGAGCATCTCCATTTGTGATAGGAGAATTACTGGACAGAAATAAGATGATTGTGCTCTAAATGATGCACTCTGCTTAAGCTGAATGATTTGATAATAGAGATTCAATTCAACCAAAGAAGAATATTAGTTTTTGTCAGAATTTCCAGTGTTCCTGTCATATACCTAACCCGATTAAGCATAATATGAAACACAAACCAAGCATTTCAATGCCAAATCATTGACAAATTCGAAAAAGAAAAAGGAAATCAAATTACTAGCAATGAATCTACTTCTTCTTGCCGCCTTTACCAGCCGACTTTCGCTTAGTGGGCAAAACAATCTCACCCTTAAGCACAGGAATCTCCATAATCTCAGACAACTGCCCAAATTTCTTACGGAACTTCTCGACCTGGTCAGCGTCCACAAGAACAGCCGACCTGTTTCCAAGGTAAAACGGATGGTTCCCCGACCAAACATCCACCACGTACTCTTTCTCGTTCTCCCCTGTTGTCATCACTAATTCCCCATTGCAATAAACTTTAGCATCCTCGTAGAATTCCGGGTGGATATCTTTCTTCCGACACGTCACTTGTGGCCTATAGCTTTCAGCCGTTGCAGTCACTGCCTATTAAGAAAAAAATGGAAGTGATTAATTTAGATGATTAAGGTGTTAAAGATTGGATTAGAGGAGGTTTGGGTTTTGGTTTATTTATCTTTCTGGTGGCGAATGAAGGAGGAAGAGACTGTTTGATTTGGAGAAATGTGTTGGAGGCTTCACTGGGTTGCAAAGGGATGGAAAGAGGATGATGGAGTTTTTCGTGATGAAGATTTTGAGATTGGCCCTTTGAAGTTCTAAATTTACAGGAGAGCCCCTGGGCTTTTCTTGTTTATTGGGCTTGTAATGAGTTTCATAAAACAGGTCAGTGGTACCAATGAGTTGGGCCTAGATTTGGTGGAAAAATTAGATATCGGGTAATTTGTATGTTTATATTGTATTTATTTTGTTAATTTATTTTGACATGTTAAATAAAAAATAATTTTTTATTTTTATTAAATTATATATAATTTTTATTAAAATTTTAAATCATACCACTTTGATATTTTCTTCTTTCTTTTTTTTTTAATTAAATTAACTATTTGTGCATTGGAATTTTTCTCATTTTTGGCAAATTGAAGTTTGTATGTTTAGGTGTATCCTTTCAAGGTGGCAGTGAGGGGTTATGGCACTGAACAAACTTTCACCTTCGATATTATAAAAGCAAAAAAAAAAAATCTTGCTGAAAATTCAAAAACAACATCAAAATTGGTTGGTCCACCAAGCCTCTGCATTTGTGGTTACCAATTTCTATCAACCAAACTTGATTGTGGCAGAGTTGCAATGGGGCGAAATACTATGGGGGCAAAGTGTTTAATGCTCTCATCATTTATTGTGATGGCGACTTTCTCTCTCAAAATCAAAAAATTTTAAGTAAATTATATTATGTATTAATATCATCTAAAATATTAAAATTTATATATTTATATCATTTTTTATTTTAAAATTATATATTATAATTTATATTAATATAAAAATATATTTTTTAATTTTAATAAATTTATAATTATTATTAAAATTTTAAATTATATTATTTTTATTATATTATATTTTAAATTATTAGATTTACTTTTTAACTAAACACAACGTGATTGCCTTTCCAGAAAAAATTGCATGCTTTGAGGGCTTCATCTAAAGATCAGAATAGTTTCACTTTCCAATCATATCAAACTTTCCCGTCTTCAAGGACTTCATATTTGCAATTTTTTTTTTTCTTTTCCGACGTTGTCACCTAGTGTTTGATCATTTCCCATCGTTGCAATTAAAAAATTTTCTTGGCCACCATGAAAAATATATCTTTTCTCTCAAATTGACAAGACAGAGACATTGTGAAGGTGACAGCCACATGGCAAATGTCAGCCAAGCTTCGTCAGTCCCTGTTTCTCATTCCATAATAACACCCATCTGTCACGCACGTCGCTCTCAATTCAACGACGGCCATTGACGGTTGCGTTCGCCACCACAACGTGGCTATTCCTACTTATGCCAAAAGAATCGCACGTTTGGAATGTAGTCTGTATAAATACAAATTAATCTGAACCGTAGGTTTAATGGATCGTCGCCATTTTGTTCTCTGGATATAGGAAGTGCAAAGACTGGTTCAATTCTTATTATGAAGGATTGGATTCAAGTTTGGTTTCTAAATTTTTTGACATATGAGTCCCCTTCTCTTGGTTGTTCACGTTAGATTTTTATTGAATTTAAGGAAAAAAAAAGCCAATTTTTAATATATTTTATATTAAAATTTTAATTTGTTTATAAAATTAATAACATAAAAATATCATGAAAAATAATTTTAAAATATAAAAAATAAAAGAATTAAGTGTTAAAAATACAGTTTCGAAATATAAAAAAAATGGATTAAAATTAAGATGAAAGATATTTGTAGCAAGCCATATTGACAAGGTCAAAAATTTTAAATTATAATGTTAGAGGTCAATTTAAAGTAAAGATCAAAGATTTTTTTTGTGCTTTGTATTTTACTGTTTAAGTAAAAAAAAAATTAAGAAGATAGTAAAAAATTTGAATTTCTATACCTCATGTAAAGAGGACATTTATAGTTGTACCATAAAAGTGTTGGGTATGAGTGACTTGTATTTTAAAAGGCAAGTCAAGACTAACAATATTAATCTAACCTGACTTAATAGATAATGATTTAATTAGAAGGTGACAAATTTTTTTTATTTAATAAGGAGGCAAAGCTCTACAACAAAGAGGAATGGAAGAGGTTGGGGTCGAATCCAATTTTGATGTCTTTTTAAAGGTTGTTTGATCATTAGATCAAGAAGTTGAAGATTACAAATTAATATTTTTATATGCTTTCAAGTGAAAAATTAAATTAATTAAGTTGATATGAATATCAAAACTTTAGATCATTCAACATATTAATTTAGATCAAAATGATGAAATTATTATTTTTTTTTTTATGAATTACCTTTGAAAAGAAATAAAAAACATATGATTTTATAACCATAAAATATCTCTAAAATAGTATTAATAATAGCATTAAAATTTTGCTTATACTTTGCTTAAAAAATCTTGTATAAAAATCATGCTTATACAAGATTTTTTTTTCTTTTAATCTTTTGGGAGCATGTGAATTGTGAAGGTGACAAGTATCTACTTAGTTGACTTTATTAATACAAAGAAAATATTCTAAGTTCCAATCTTTCAACAAGTTTGGCAAGGGTGATGTGAAAACGTTCACTTTCAAGATAAGATGGATCAACACAATTGAAATTTCTTAATCTATTAAGTCCACTACTTGTATTTCTAATCGATGATTATAGGGAAAAAAAAAAAGTGAAACAGTAAAAAAATATACAATAATCAAATACAAACATATTAATTTATATATATATATAAAGAAAATTGTAATTTAAAAAATAAAAAAATTATAAATCATAAATTTTGAATTCAAATTTATTGAATATTATTTTTTAAAAATAAATACATAAATTAATAAATTAAACCTCAAAATTTAATATATATTATTCTTTCTTACTATCATAAAATTAATATTAAGATACAAGTTATTAGTATCATATTAAAATTTTAAAGATTTTTTAATTATTGGGGCTTAAACAAATTAAACATAGAAGTTAGAAAATGAAAATTCCTTGATTAATGCTCCAAATACACTCAATAACGTACATTTGTTGGTAAAAGATATTATAAATGGAATTTTCATTTTCTGTCAAGTGCCATAGAAATCTGGGACTCTGGAAAATCAGAGTCTCATCAGATTGAAGAGCAAAGAAAACGAAATTATACTCTCATCTCATGTTCATGTAACATTAAAAAAAACCGAAGGAAAAAGAAACAATCTCTGTGCTTCTCGTGACGGCTCACAAGCCAATGTACATGAAAAGTTGAATATCATTACTCATTGCTGTCTAGGCCACTTACTTATTTCCACTTCAACCAAAATAGCTTTCTTTTAAATCTTTGATCACATTTTTTAATTGCCCATTTCTCTTCTCCCCACAAATTTTTGTGATCCGAGCAACTTCAGGTAGTGCTTTAAAAACCAAAAAATAAGGATCAATTTTGCATACGGGTTCTTCGGTTTAGAGTTATTCTCGGATCTGGGTGTTTCCAATTTTGGATCTTTTTATTTTTTTTGTCTCAGCTTTTTAATCTCGTTTTGATCAGTATTCTCGTGGTTATATTTTGGCCATGAAGTTTTGGGACGCTAACAAAGTAGTTTTGCCTTTTGTCTGATTTATTTTTTTTCTTCTTTCTCTACTAAAGATTCCATTTTTGTTTTCATTTTTTAGAACTTGTTTCTTTTTTCTTTCCCTGTTAGAATCTTCGGAGAATCACCTGGTTATTTTGGTTTTTGTTGATTAATTAATTCAGCAATGGAATCTTGCTGCATGACACTCAACGTTAATGCCAATCCAATTAATGTTAGCAAAGGTCGTAGTAATGGAGGCAACGTTTTCTGGGGAGAGAGTAGGAGGGGAGGTCTTAAAAGCAGGGATTTTGGAACACAGTTATGGAAGAGTTTGAGAGCTAAAAATGGTGTCAAAAAAGTTAAGCCTGGAGTGGCTTACTCTGTTCTCACCCCAGATATTGACAAGGAGACTATGGTAAGTAAAAGAAAGCATTTTTAATGTTATGTTTGTTCCAAGGATTAAACAAGTAGCATTAGATTTTTATAGTAAGAGCTTGTGATTTATCTGATAAACTGATAAAGCATCCTTTTGTTTTTTGTTTGTTTTCAATGTGGGCATTTGATCATTATTAAGCACTTGAATCTTTTGATTCTCAGAAGTTTCAGGCACCAATCTCTTACACTCCACAAGCAGATCCAAAAAATGTGGCTTCCATCATATTGGGTGGCGGTGCCGGGACACGCCTCTTTCCTCTTACTAGCAAAAGAGCCAAGCCAGCAGTAAGAAACCACTGCCCTTTGAGAGTTGAAACTTTTTCTTTTTTGAAAGTAAACATTTTTTCTTTATTGAGATACTTAAACTGAAATGAATGAAGTTTGAAAATTAAACCCAATTATTAAATTTGAAGTCTCATGATTGGTAGGACAAACTGCTTAAACTTTTTAGGTTTAAGTATTCTATGATTTTGTTTGGTTTCAGGTTCCAATTGGAGGTTGTTACAGGCTGATTGATGTTCCAATGAGCAACTGCATCAATAGTGGCATAAAAAAGATATTTATCTTAACTCAATTTAACTCCTTTTCCCTCAACCGTCACATAGCTCGAACATACAACTTTGGAAACGGTGTAAATTTTGGAGATGGTTTTGTAGAGGTAAGCCCATGTTGGTTTAGTAATACTGGGAGAGATATTCGAAATTATGTTATATTACTAGTTGAAGTTTGGCATCTCATTTAGAAATGTATGTTTCTGTGTGGATCATGACTTTTTACTATTTTCGTTCTCATGAAATTCGATTGTTTCCTGAAAGGTTTGATGAAGCTATGTTGCCTGTAACAGGTTCTGGCGGCCACTCAAACACCAGGAGAAGCAGGGAAAAAGTGGTTCCAGGGAACAGCTGATGCTGTGAGGCAATTTGTTTGGGTCTTTGAGGTTAGTTACTAGGATTTTGTATATGAGCTGAAATGGTCTGCCTAACCCCTGAAGTTCACCAAATATGATTTTACTACCAGGATGCCAAAGCCAAGGATGTGCAGCATGTACTGATATTGTCTGGTGATCATCTTTACAGGGCAGACTATATGGATTTTGTGCAGGTACTTAGTCCAATTGCTATGAGCTGCAATATAGCATTCAAAGCCTCTTCTTTTTTCTTTCTCATGCATGAATACCGTACCATGAAAAATCATTCTGGCTAATCCACAGTTACTGTTCTTGCAGAAGCATATTGATTCAAATGCTGATATCACAGTCTCATGTTTACCAATGGATGACAGGTATTTATAATGGCTATAATCTTTATAAATGATTCTCTTAGCATGACATATGAGCTACAGGGAACTGAAATTTATTACTATCAAGTTTCTGAATATTTCAATGCTGATCCTTTATCTGGCTTTTAGATTCTTTTTATATTGCTTATATGTTTATTTTGCTCAGAACATTAAGAATATATCAATGATTGTTTTCCTTCAGAATTTGGGAATTAACTTTTTTTTTTTCCAGCCGTGCATCAGATTTTGGATTGGTGAAGATAAATGAAACAGGATGCATCATTCAGTTTGCTGAGAAGCCAAAGGGCCCCAATCTTAAAGCTATGGTACATACTTTTACTGCTTATGTTACTTCTTAAATCTTAACCCACATTTCCATAATTTTGTTGTTTTCAAATATTATTTTTTTCCTGATAATCAAAGCTATATGTGTACTTTTACTGGCACCAGTAATTTCCTCTAAAGATTGGTCTTGCTTGTTTCACATTTGTACTACAGCAAGTTGATACCTCCATATTAGGGTTATCAGCACGAGATGCTGCAAGATATCCATACATTGCATCAATGGGTGTGTATGTGTTTAAAACTGATGTCTTGTTAAAGCTTCTGACACGGAGCTGTCCATCATGCAATGACTTTGGCTCTGAGATTATTCCATCAGCTGTGAAGGAACACAATGTACAGGCAAGATGACTTTTACAAGAACTTTTACCTTTAGTTTTCTCTTTGGATGTTTCAGTAGTAATCAGATGATATTATTTGCAATAATGAGGACTTCTAATCTGGTGATCAAACTGCTGAGTTTCTGGCTGTTTGAATATTTGCAGGCATATTTGTTCAATGACTATTGGGAAGACATTGGGACAATAAAGTCCTTCTTTGATGCCAATTTAGCCCTCACAGAACAGGTTGCTCTCACTTTTATATAAAAGTTTAACCTTTTATGTGATTGACTAATCAACACAGAAACTAAATCCCCATTTTCCGCTCACAACAACCCAACAAGTATAAGATCTTAAAAAAGCAGGCTGCAGTAACAAAAGTTTGCATATTTTTTGAAATAGTTCTGCTAAATAAATAAATAAAGATCCTCTGATTAAGATGCTGCCATGTCATTTTTGCATATACATATGCAAATCATTGCATCATTACTTCATCTGGTATGTTGCACTATGGGACACATCACTTATCTCACCTATGTACCTGTACCCCTCATAATCCTAAACATGGCATTTTGTATCCATTTCCTGAAAACTGATTGTTTTGTGTTCTTCATGCAGCCACCAAAGTTTGAATTTTATGACCCAAAGACACCTTTCTATACATCTCCAAGATTCTTGCCTCCTACCAAAGTTGATAAATGCAGGGTATGACTTCAAGCTTTAGTTTATAACTTGATTGATAATTTGGTTGTCTTATCTCATGGCTAATTGGTCCTTGCAGATTGTTGATGCCATAATTTCACATGGTTGTTTCTTGCGAGAATGTAGTGTACAACACTCTATAGTTGGTGTGCGCTCACGTCTGGAGTCTGGCGTTGAGTTTGAGGTGATCCAACATCTTCTCTTTCCCATAAAAAAGTATCTAATAAGGGCTTAGAAGTACATCTTTTTTATGATAATCTGCATTTTAGAAGCAGAGCTCACTTTCTGGTCCTATACTTTTTTAACCCCCCTCTGGTCCATCACTAATTGGATGATTTAGAGTTAGTAATGCCATTCACTACACTCTGAGAAGATCCTAGACAATTCACATGGCACCACAAGAGGCAAATTATGGAGATAAACATATTATGCGAGGAAAAATTTAACTGGGTGTGGAGATATTTCTAGTTGCCTCAACAGTGCTAAATGGTTGTAGCAATTAATTTAGATTTTTCTGCTGCAAAAAGTTCCAAAACGACCTAAATGATGCATAAGAAGTGGAGAACATATCTGTGCATATTGCATGATTAACCAGTCAAGCAGTGAGCAGTAGCAATAAGCCCATGATAATTACTGGCTCTGAAACAAAAATACAGGTGACCATTGTTAGTCTTCATCCATTGTGCCAAGCCAACTAGACTGAACACATAATTTTAAGCTTGTTCTATTTATAACAGATTTCTTTTAAAGGTGTTTACATTTTATTCTATCTAAAAGGTTTACAATTCATCCTCTTATTTCTCAAGTGAAAAATTATCTTCATATGTTTTCTTTGCAGGATACCATGATGATGGGAGCAGACTACTACCAAACTGAGTCAGAAATAGCATCTCTGCTTGCAGAAGGAAAGGTTCCCATTGGAGTTGGACAAAATACCAAGATTAGGTGAGATTTAGATCAAAATATTCTAATTGATCATCTCCATTTAGGAGATATTTTGTCTTCAAAATAATTCTTTACCCCGATAACTAAACACTTCTTGCTGTTGTCTTTTGGAAGGAATTGCATAATTGACAAGAATGCCAAGATAGGAAAAGATGTGATCATATCAAATAGTGATGTAAGTATTGCTTTCCTTGCTTCTATGAATGTCTAGTATATGTAGAATGCTTGTTTCCTTGATAATTCTAATTTGCTTTGACCACTCAGGATGTTCAAGAAGCTGAAAGACCAGAAGATGGGTTTTACATCAGGTCTGGGATCACAGTCATAATGAAAAATGCAACAATTAAAGATGGAACCATCATATAAAATTTTTGAATTCTTCCAGAGGCCCTTCTGTTCAATTGAGCTGGTGACGGAAAGCTGAGAACCCTAGTCTGCCATCTTCTGCTGTTTTGCAGTGAACATATAGGAGTAATGCTTTGTTTATGTAAATTATAAGTTCCTATGCAATTTTCAATGAAATTCATAAGCCATTTGCTTGAAGTTCATTTAGTAGTGCAAAACACTATTGTAGCTTACAGCACAAATTAAGTTGGTTCATCAAATCAGTACTCAAATCACATAATCTGTTACACTTTAGCTTCAATCATTACAATTCATTTCTCGGAGAGAATTCGCTTTACTTTTTCTTTAACACATAACTATTCTATAATACCATGACAAGTTTTCTTTCTCAATTTCCTGAGTTACTACTGACATTTTTTCCAGCCCACCGTTCTGCCCTTTTGATATCCCTTGCTTTCTTCCATTTCTCAATGTTCTTCAACCTTACATACATCTTTCGAATCCGATTAAGTTTTTGAGACTCTTGAGTAATGATGTTGACAGTTGAGGTGCCTTCGCTCATGATTACCTCGTAACCATCTCGGAAAGAGTCCATTCCTTCAGCAAAAAGTTGCCAGAATAATCCACCGACGGCTGCACCTCCACCCCTAGCTGATGAGTAAATTGCGGTGTAGACCGTGTTGAACAGCTCGTCTCTTTGGTTAGGACCAGAAATTTTCAATGATTTTCCAAACTCCGCAAATAGCAAAGGCTTCTGAAGGATATTCTGAGCATCTTGGATGTGATTGTACAGCCAATTATTCAAGAAGGCTATTTGGGTTTCATCACTTGAGCTTTGTAACCTGATCAACAAGCGAATTATTCAGGTTCAGGGAAGGATTGGATACAATGGCTTTAGCTTCTAAGTGGAGAATTGCTATTGAATATTACCATTGATCAGGATACGAATGAACTGTAGCAAAGTCAATGCCCGGGATCTGATTGTTTGCAATGAAATCAGTTCCTACTTGAAAGTTAGGGTTATATTGCTGCTTTTGAGACGATGATGGCCCATAAAACCCTTCCAAACCAGCTTCCAGTAAGTGATTTCCATCAATGGACTTCACGTGAGAAGCCATCTCTGTAATCCAGGCCTATTCAACAAACACAATCACCTAATCGGGTTAACCAAACTCAAATAATGACTAGGTTCCCAGTCCCACCACCACAAATTTGAACATGGGAGACAGGTAAAGGCTAATTCATCTAACAAAAAGCCACTTTAATGGCTATCACGGGAAAAGCAAAAAGCACTAACAATACCATTGCATTAAATTCAAGAGAGTAAACTAAATTGTCTCAGGAATTTATCAAAAGATATTGTATTGAAAAGCCATTTTTAGATGGAAAAAAAATAGAAGAAACATGATGAAATTCCGGATATAAATAGGTTTTGGAAAAATGAAACCAAAACGAAGTAGCAGTGAAGCAAAGGGGCTTGAGGATATATATCCCTTGCCTGGATGGTCCGTCCTGATGGATCTGAGAGGCACCTGGGTTCATTCATAAGCTCCCACGCCATTATTGTTGGTTCATCTTTGTAAGCCAATCCAGTCAGGCTGTTATGTCTTGTAAGAACAGCCTATTACACACAAAAAAGATAGATTATCACGAGTTAAATGTAGAAAAAAATTTAGTATTTTTTTTCTAATTATTTAGAAATTAACCTAAAGGCTTGATGTAGAAAAGCAAAGTAAGAAATCAGAAGAGGAAAACAAACCAACTAAAGTAGAAAAAGTTTTAATTTCACCAGCCTGCTGCCATTTCTATAACTGTCAGTCACATTCACAGAAAGAAGAAGAAAAGATGAAAGAGCAAGCATTTAAAACGTTTTGCATCAGAGACAGAGTCAGAGGCAGAGACAGAGAGAGTGAGAGAAAGAGATGGGGGAAACAGTGACTAACTTTGATATGGTTCTTGTAGTATTCCTTCACAACGGAGTTTGTAAAGAAATCATCATCAGAGCCAATGGATTGTCCTTGATTTCTTGCCCAGTTCACATACTGTTTTTTCCCTCCAAACTGATCATAGTTATTCACAAAACTTAAAACTAGCTTAATCCCATATCTCTTTGCCTCAGATACTACAAAATCCAATCCCTTCAAGGAAACAAAAAAGAAAAAAGTAATCAGAACCCAGATCATGGAGTACAAGACAAGAACCAAACTTTTTAACCTGAAAGTTTTTTTTTTTTTTTAAACCTGGAACATTTGCTCATTGTAGGAGCCAGGTGAGTACTGAAGAGGTCTGTCTCCAGCATCACTGAAAGCCCAAGTTCTGGCTATGTTGAGGCCGTGCTGTTTAGCTTGTTGAAATGCAGTTGAGACTTTGCTTCTCTGAGATGAATCAGCAGCCATGTACATGAGCCAATAAGCATTGAATCCATTTGCATAGAATGGGCTTCCATTCAACATTAGTTGCACCCCTTTGGTTTTAACAAACCCATCATCAGCTTTCACATGCAGCAAAATTCCTTGCTCTTGAAACAATAGAAAACCAAACAAAATCAGAACCCAATGCTTCATTTCTCTCTTTTTTTCTTTTTAGTTTCTCTCCAAATGCAGCAAAGAAGCAAATAAAACAATATTAACTCAAAAAGAGACTTTGGAGGTTTATATAGGCCATAGAAGTAGAGTTTCCCTATATTTTACCTCTTTTTTTTTTTAAAGTAATTCTTGTAATAGATATGGTTGAGCTATTCCTACCATGGTTGTTTTATTCAGTAAATTACCTATGAGCACAAAAAAAAAAAAAAAAAAGGAATTTAAAAACCTTTAATGCCCTTATTTGGGGCATTACCCCAAAAAAAAGATGGGATTGGTATGTCTTATTGATACTTGGCAAGGCATGGCGGAGAGGACAAACTTAAATGTCAATAATGGCCGTCCATTTCAATTTCATTTTAGCGGTGCCCATTACGTTCTAGATCCCCCTCGTGAACTTGAAGCTGTCAAAAGGCAAACGCTGATAATGGTGGGTAGTTACTGCTGTACTTCAATCCATGGAGACGAAACAACCGCGAAATTTAACACGAACGAATTTAGTTTAACTTGTTTGCAAAGACTGATCAATTTTTATGTTCCCCTGAATCCTCACAGGCCACGGTTCCAAGAGTTCAGTTCTATGATAAAAAAAAAAAAAAAGAATTTGCAAGTGACACTCAAATTTGTAAGCCATATTTTGATGGAAAAAGTAAAAAAAAAAATGTCAATAATTCTTGGCGTACATCACGGCGGCATTTGGAATCAAACAAAAAGCTTTGAGCGGGGGAAAAATTCTGACCATGCAAAAGCAGTCTATCAAAAATGGTGACGAAGCAACACCTGGCATCAAATCCAGTATCTTAATCATCAATCTTGACTCAAAAATCTAGTACTACACATTCATTCCTGCAACGTCAAGACGTTGGATTTTATTATAATAAATGTTCTTTTACTTGTGGAGGTACTTTTTGTTTTTTTAAACAAGAAATGGAGACAAAAATAATAGATTGGAAATCACGACGAGAACCCAAAGGAAGAGGCAAAGAATAAAGGGAAAAAAAATCTTCCAATATTGAATAAAGAGGGTAAAAAAGAAGGAGATGTGGTCGCTTTTGTGGGTCCTCCAATATTTCTCCATTTTCCCACCCAAAGCTCCATCAAAATGGTTTGGAATTACAGCCTTCGTCACCATCTCCGCTTGCATAAAAATGTGGTTCTTCTTTTTATGACACAAGGCATTATGTTTTCTTTATCAAAATATATTTATAAATGAAGTTTTTTAATTTTATAAGTGGGTAATTTATATTTTTAATGTATTTTAAAAAATAAGATAATATATATATATTATGGCATCTTATGGTCTTTCCTTTTCAATTACAACCCTCCTATTGTTTTATGCTATATTAAGAGAAAGCATTTGATGTTGAAATCTCAAGCACAATAATTATTTAAAAAATTAAATAATTTAATTATTAATTTAAACTTCATTTTAAATCGAAAAGGACCCCCTCACATGCCTAGAGAATAAGAAATTTCTCCATGATAAAACCACTCCTTTTGCAGTCCACCTTAATTTTTAATTAACATCATAAATATTGTTTGATTGATGGGAAAATCTTCTATAGATTTTGACTCACCAAGTTTTTTTTTTTTTTTTTCGTTTCCTAAGAAAGTTTTCAATTATCAACATTAACAAGTCTTGATATGCCAAAATTACACCATACGAAGTTTCCGAATCCTATTGACATTGTTTTGTTGGGAATCATGTTGATCTTAAAAATGTATATATTTTCATTTTTATGCTCAGAAAAAGAATCTATCTTCTGGTATATGTACCTTTCACTACGATTAAGCTATCCGCTGATTGCAAACCAATGGTACAAAGGATGATTAAGAAAAAAAATTATTGGTTTAATTTCTTGTTGAAGATACCAAGCACCGACGCCGCACCCCGCGTGACGTGATTGCATATTCCAAACATAGTGGCGTGATTTACTGATTCATGGCTCCCAGACCCCCAATGCACTGTTCATGGAAGTCCCAGGACCTCATGCTCTTGTCTGCTTCTTCTTTAACTCATCCACAAACTCATTTCATGCAAATTTTCGTTTAAATTAGTTGCTATGTTATTTGAATCAACACTAATAAATTATGAGTTTAAAAAAATTTATGCGTATAATATCTTTTTTAATCAAATAAATAATAAGATAGAAGTTTATATATCTTTTAAATTGTGTTTCATTTTTCATTCCACTAACAAGAATTTTTCTTTTTTTATTGTAATTGAGATTTCCAAAATTTAAATCTTGATTATTAAAACTTAGAATTTAACATTTTATCAACATATCATATATATTTTTTATAATTTTTATCAATCTATTTTTAACAAAACAATTTTCATGTTCAATCATAAAATTACCTCACATTGCGATGAGAATCTTTTCACCTAACTTTTAAATTAACAGTGTGTTTTGATTGAAGGGAGAGAAAAGAAAAGAAAGTAAAGTAAAATAAAATAAAGGAAACAAAACCCTCATTTCTTTATTTGGATAAATATTTAATTTAAAGAAAGGAAAAGAGGTAACAATCAAATAACCTTTGATTTTTCTTATAAACTCAATTTTTTTAATACCTCAATTTGGAGAAAAGCTTAGGAAAGAAAAGTTGAAAAAAAAAATTTATAAAAAGACTATTATGTCTATCTTTTTATTAATACTAAAAATCAAATAAAAAAAAATCTAAGCAGATCACAATCATCCTATAATTTTTGTAAAGCCATTTTTTTTCAAGTAAGTTTCATATATATCTTTCAATATAAAATTTTTTTATAATTTTTTGATGATTTGATTTTGATGAATGGTTGAGTATAAATAAATATATTTTTTGGGTTTATAAGATATCAGACTAGCTCAAAATTTATCAATGCATATTTATAAAATATCTTTCTATTTCACTTTATTAAAAATCATTGATATAGTAACAATTATGAGGCTAAACAAGATAGTAAACATATTATAGTTCAAGAATACTCTAAAATCACAGGTAATGAAAGCTTATAATTGAAAAAAATTATTATAATGAATTATTTTATTTTTTTCACTCTTTATCTAAATAATGATTGTTAGAATTCATTTTATTTTATTTTTTTATTAATTTTAATTATCCAAATAAAAATTACATATATTATTTTTATAAAAAATTTTTTTTTATTAATATTTATCAAAACATAACGTAAAGCCTTTTTAAGTTAACTAGCACAAGATTTCTATTTACCTTGGAGCCTTTGATGCTGCAACTGCCACTGAAAGTGTGATGTTTACTGGATATTGTGAAATTGAATCAGATCTTTGATCGGACTACTGGAGAAGAAGATAGAAGAGGAGGAGGAGGAGGAGGGCCCATTTATGGATGTGTTGCTACTGGCAGCTGATGATATAAGGGATTCGTATAAGAAACCTCGCACCCTAACAACCCAAATGCATTGAAGAAGGATTGATGGTGAACAATGTTCATACAGGGGCAGGATGGACCCCCAAGGCCGAATATGTTCATTTCTCTAGCTTCTACCTTCCCCCTCTTGGCAAGTGTAGATTGAGAACTTGAGCCCAAATCCCTCAATGCTACACAGGTATGACTTGTAGAAGGGACTCATGGAAAGTCGTTCTGTGGGCGCAAGAATCACATGGGTTACGTAGGAGCCTAACAACTTGAACTCAACGTATTGGACCAAACTTCATCAAATGAGCCCGAATTCTAGCGTTAGGGATTATATCTATGAGCTATGTAGCCCTTTCAGTGGGTCTATTTTTCTAACCGCTACCTTCATCGGCCTAGACCCAGGAAATATCAAGTGATTCAAGTCACATCTCCATAAAAATTTTTCACCCGTTAACGGGACAAGTGATTTTTAAATTATAATAAAATATTTAAATGATTAATTTATTAATTTATATGATACTTATTTTTAATATAATTTATTTTAAATGATAATATATAATAGATATATAATTTTTTAAATATTATATTAATTAATAAATTTATAATTTAATTATTATATTAAATATTTATAAAATTTAAATATCATATTTAATATTTTAATATAATTAGTGCTATTCATTGGCATTACCGTAATTTTGATTTAGGATTGATATCGTTAGGTACTATAGGGGGGTCATTTTGTCTTGACTCTCTTATTGTCGACCATTGACAGATTGAATTACTTTTTGAATGCCATTTATCGTTTCCCCGTTCAGGCTTGTGGCTCTCCATTAAAATTTGCAACTGTCTATTAACAGAATAGTAGGCTAGGTTGATGAAAGTTTTAAAAGCACCGAACTGGGAAAAAATACAATTCACTTTTTTTTTTTTTCTGCTTTTCTTCGGTCCAACAATTAATCATGTGGCGATCTGAAGAAAACAGTTGATTTCCATTCCAAGTAAACCACTAGTTTAATTGTAATTTTTTTTTGTAAATCAAAGTAAAAGAACGGTACTCCCAAGGATTGTGCATGTATAAGTGGGAATAGAATTCCATCGAAAGAATCTTGCATCTATGGCTTCCATTCCAACCCCTATTATCTTTGACATTCTCGTTCGACTTCCAATAAAACCTCTAGCAAGATTCAAGAGCTTAAACAAGCTTTGTCGATCCTTCATCAAGGATCCACATTTTATCTATACCCACTTGAAGAACAGTACTGCGAGTAAAGTTAATGATCTTTGCTTAATCCTTTCATGCGTGGGGCTTCGAAATCTTAACGGCATAATTCACTTCCTCACCGTCAGAGCCGACATTGACGAGCAAGCAGTTGTTGAATTCTCTGCTCCTGTAAGTTTGGACTCTTACCAAGTTTTACCTTCTTGCAATGGTTTGGTTTGCTTTTATGGTCTCCATGGTTGTGTTCATGTTTGCAACCCCAGCACCAAAGACATAGTCAGACTCCCAGATATTGATGCTGAAGGCTTTCGATCTTTGAGCTGCGGCTTTGGCTTTGATGAAATGAGTGGTAAATATAAGGTCATTAAGTTTTTTGAGCCTCTGGAAGCAAACCCTTTTGTTGATAATCTCAACAGGATTGAAATATTTACCATGGGCAATGATTCTTGGAGGACTATAAGGTACCATTCTTGTTTTCGTTTTCTACATTACCAACCACCGGTGTTTGCTGGAGGGTTCTTTTACTGGATTAATGCAGCTGATTCTAATCCGGACGGTCCTTCTAGTTTTTCTATAGTTTCATTTGATATCGGAAATGAAATATTTGAAGCCATTTCTCCACCAGAAAGTATTTCAAAAAAGAATTGGTTTAACTTATATCTAGTGGAATTGAGAGGGAAGCCATGCTTGGTGGACTTGGATTATGAATTGGATGAAGACAGGAAAAGAATGGACATCTGGATCTTCAAAAGCAATGTTGTTGAGAAGAAAGAGCATTGGGTGAAGGAAACTATTGTTCATCAATCAGAACCTATTGATTCCACTCGTCCGGTGGCGTTTGTCAATGGTGAGGAGATTTTACTGCATGGATTTATCAAAGGCCTGGGTCACTTGAACAGCTACAATCTGCAAACTGGTTGTTTTAGACAACTGAAGATCAAAGGTATTCCTTCGCAATATTGTTACACAAGTAATCATGTGGAAAGCCTTTTCCCGGTTGACCATTAATCCATGTGAAATCCAGGTGGTCTACAGTTAAGCATATATTCATCCAGGGTGTAGAATTGCCACAACAGTTGCAAAGTTGAGGATAAGATTTCTCTCCATCAAGTTTCCTTTTAGCTCCCAACTTAATATTTTTCATCTGATTATAATAAAGTTTTCCTCTTGCAACTTGCAAGTAATTTCCCTCTTTGTAAAGATTGGTCTGTGAAGATTATTTTGCTTTGCAAATTGCAACCTCATTCAAATAGTAGTCCCCCGCAATACTTTTCCTTAATCATTTTTCCCGAATGAAATGTTTTAAGAGTTTATCAATATTTTTATCCCTTAATGGCATTCATTTAAGGGTATTAATCTCCTGAAATAAAATTTTGGCATGAAAAACTCTACTTTTTCTACGTACTTACAGATATTTTTAGAGGAAAGCAGGGTCCAGTCTGCAGTGTGCACATGGTTGGCTTTGGTCCTACTGGACCCAATCAGTATGGGCAAAACCCACTTCCCACAAGCCCTTGTTCTTAACCTTCAGACATCATAATTTCCATGGCAAAAGTGGAGGTCCCCCCATGGTACAATTATTTCAAAGACGGTAAAATCATGAATTATTCGAAAACAAACGTTACGTGGAGTGAATTTCTAGGTGCGGTGGAACCAACTACCAGTTAACATGTGAGGAGATCCATACTCAAAAGGAAAGTACAGCGACGAATAGTATTATTGAATTATTAGTTTGGGCTTACCATTGGCATGTATTAAAGCTTAAATCTGAGGTTTGCATTAGGTTTTGTATGAAATAATGATTGTGAGTCTCCATTTTTATTTTAGTGATGGTGCCTGACTGGCTGTCTGATAGATAGATATGGTATAAAAATTACACGAATAAAATATATAAAATATGATTTAAAATTTTAAAAATATTATAAATAAATTTAATAAAATTAATAAATTATATTTTATATTTTTATATTTATTTAATTATGATATAAGATTTTTGTATAAAATATGATATAAATATAATATTTTAATTCAGTTCAATGAGAGTAAATTTTTAAATTAGAAAAATAGGATATTTTCATTTGTTTAAGATAATATTTTTTCTGTCTCAGTTTTTATTTATTTTTTAAATGATTCAAAATTATATATATTTTATTTTTTAAAACATTTAAATCTCTTATTTTTATTTAAAATTACTTTTAATGATTTTTTAACTTTTTAAAATTAAAAATTATGAAATAATAAATTTATAAAAAAATTAAAAATTTAATCTTATATACATCAAAATTAAATTTTTAAAAAATTCCTTGTAACTCAATGCGAGATTATCAATTTGAGACGGAAAAAGTAGTATATTATTATTTAATTATAAATTTAGAAATTTTTTAAATATTAGTAACATAAAAAGTATTTTTGATTTATTTAATTTTCGAAAAAAAATATATATTTAAATACATGGAGAGGCCTGGACTGGCCCTTAGCTTTTTGGCCTTTCCCACCAAAAATAATGGCGGCGATCTCTGGCCACTGCACATTCAGAACACACAACTTCCCACTCTCTGCCACCGGCTCCTTCTCCTTCTCCGGCGGAGCTCTCCGATCTTTTCGCATTTCATTCGCTTCTCCTACGTCAGTCCGCCGAAACCACATCTCTAGCCAGGCCTCCTCTTCCACGTCACCACCTTCTTCCTCCGTCAATGGGACAGGTTCGTTTTTTCTTTTCGCCTTCAGTCTTTTGGCTAACTACCCTTTGTTTCGAAATTGGATAAGCAGTTTCTCACGATTTGTTTGGGAAGTTAATTTGGTGATTGTGCATGGAATTTAGGGTTTGCATGTTGCTATAATTTTGACCTAATAATGGAAATGTTCATTAGATAAATAAATTTTTATGTTTTTCAATAATGTAGGCTTTATATGCTTCTCTATAATTAAAATTTTGAATTTTCCTATAAAAAAAAAGCTTTTGAATTTTTAGTATTTTTTCTTTATTGGCTAAAATTGGTTAGAATATGGAATTAATCAAATACTGAATGTATCAAAAACTCTTGCAAGTTCAAATTTTTGAATGCAAAGATTGCATAGAATTGACATTAGTTTATTGGACTCTTCTTCATTTTGTTTGTTATTTTATAGCAAAAGGGGAGATGAAGGATTTTTTTGCATATTGGAAACGTTGATAAAGCCTCCATATTGAAGATATTAGACAGGGCTGAAGAGGTCAATGCTCTGCTAAGATCAGGTCGTTTGTTCCATTTAAGGGGAAGACTATGGCCATGATTTTTGAGAAGCCATCAATGAGGATAAGGGTTTCATTTGAGACTGGGTTTTTCTTGTTTGGAGGTCATGCTATATATTTGGGTCTGAATGATATCCAGATGGGTAAACCTGAGGAAACTCGTGACGTTTATCTTGCTATAATGACATTATTGTGGCACGTGTCTTTGCTCATCAGGTATGATGGTGAGTTTTTTCTTTCAAGTAATTATATCCAAGGGTGGTGTTATTTGAAGGCCATAAAGGGAAGCAGAGGATTGCTTTAAAGTTCATATATTTGATGCACTTTTTTAATGAGAAACTTTTTAATTTTTGTAAAATTTTATGCTTAAAGATGCAATTTGGTTATCTTTTCTGTCACCAGACATTCTTGATTTGGCTGAATTTGCTACAGTACCTGTTGTTAATGGCTTGACCGATTATAAGTACCCTTGTCAAATTATGGCTGATTCTCGCACAATTATTGAACACATTGGCTGGTTGGAAGGAACAAAGGTGTCTTTACTAACTATTTCACCTTTGTTTGCTGGCTTCTATATTGTGAATCTAATATCCGGTTGTATGATTTAACTGTGGTTTGATATGAATGCAAATTTCATGTTGTCTATGTCGGGGGTGGAAACAATATTGTGCACTCTTGGCTGTTGCTGGCTTCAGTTGTTCCTTTCCATTTTGTCTGCACCTGCCCTATAGGGTTTGAGCCTGATAAAGGGACTGTTGAGAAGGCACAACAAGCTGGGATCAGCAAGATTGAGATTACAAATGATCCAAAGGAAGCACTTAAAGATGCTGATGTTGTATATTCAGATGTGTGGGCTAGTATGGGGCAAAAGGAAGAGGCTGCCAATTGTCATCAAGTGTTTCAAGGATTTCAGCTGTGTTTTAGCAAAAGATTCGTTCAATATATTGATATCAACATTGTCATTAAGTGATAGGGAAGCTAAGTTCATACTGCCATTCCTAATTGATCCCAATATTGGGTTTGACTATGCCATCTCCAACTGCTTGATTCAGATCATGCTGCGAAATTTATAATGAGAAGTTCTCTGCCTGAATTATGATTGAGCTGGTTGTGTGGATTTTAATTAGATTTTTGAATTATACATACCTTAACATGAAGTGGCTGCTTCTCATAGTCAATCATCTTTTTATCTATTATTAATGATTCAGTTCTAGAGTGGAGCAACCTTCTGCATTATCTTACCTAATCTCCATGCCCTTGTTTATTCATTTTGCTCATCCAATTTCTTGCCTTGTCTGTCAATCTCAATCATGTTTACGTCTTGATTGATTTGCATACACAATGCAGATTGATGAAGCTCTTATGAAGATACAGGCCCCAAAGCTTATTTCATGCATTATTTGCCTGCAGAAAGTGGAGTTAAAAGTGACTGCGTCTGATGGTTGCATCGTCTTCCCACAAGCAGAAAATCGAATGCATGCACAAAATGCTACAATGCTTCATCTACTTGGTATGATTTCATGGCAATGTTGCATTCTTAAAGGCAAGTGCTTCAATGTTTGCATGAAAATCAACTACGGTGTGTTACTTCTGGAATTCCACTTTTCAGATCAGATTCGAACTCAAAAACCTTTGAGTTGAGTTTCTAACTTCTTTCATGGGTATTAGGGCATTGAAACTTTTAATTCTGGTTTAAATTTATCAAATATTTTCATCCAATTTCAATAGCAGTACATTGCTAGACTGTCAATAATCTGTTACCAACATCTTTCTCTCTTGGGCAACTAAATGTCCTTTCTTCGTGTACTAGGGAGGGAACCATCATTGTAGCCTCCACGAAAGTGAATCTCTACCGTTCTTCTGCACTAAATTTGTTCCACGCGTCCTGGGGATTAAACAGAATTGGGATCATATAAAAGTTAAATGCAAATCATTTTGTAATGGGATTGTACGGTAAGAATGTGATAAAAACGACTGAAATTTTCTCTTTTGTTTTCTCGTTTCCTTCACTTTGTATAAGAAATAAATTACTTAAGAGTTGAGCCAAACCTTTAGAAGATCAAAAACTTTCTCACAAGTGTATTTTTGCTGTGTGCTTGCACCTCGTTGCTGCAACTTGTCAGGATGAACACAAAGCGTAGCTTTTCTGTATGCTTTCTTTACGGCTGCAGTGGCTATGACATCTGTCAGTGGTATCGGCTGCCAACCGCTATCTGGGCCAAGGATCTGCCGGCAATGTAAAATTTCACTTAAACGAAAAGCCCCTTAGCAGCAAAGCCGAAAGCTTAACTCCCTCCGACGACAATTTCACATACATATATGCCCATATAAATTATCAAAGATCTAATCCTATGATCCTATGATACTTTTCCACAATATTTATTCACACTATCAGAAACTAAACTAAAACTAATAGCAATTGGGAAGGAAAACCTCGGCCAATCCAGAGACCAGGGCCACTGATCCAAGTGTTGTCCTAAATGGATAACGATATATAATAGAAGCAGAATGATTCATGTGGAGAGAAACTTATGTACACAAATGAAAAGCTGTTACATACGTATTGTAATGTAGATAGTAGTGCACGAATATTTCCCTGCTTCCCACTTGACCACCTTTTGACTTCAGCATCCAGAGTTTCCGCTAACCTCTGCAATATAAATTAGGATCCAAACTGTTAGACAAGAACCGAAGCCTTCCTCATAATTGCAAAGGATTTCTAATTTCATTTGAATGGATATTTACATTTCTTTCAGCTTGTTCTTTCTGAGCAAGAATATCACGCTTGTTCTTCTCTGCAAGAGCTTTGGCCTGGAAAAACCCAACCCACAAAAAGAAAAAAGGTGAGCTTTTCAACTATCTGGAAATAATTGTGCTGACATCCTCAACAGGGGTTAGGGGGTGGGGTAAGAAAAAGGGATAGTCGAGAACAAAGAGAGCAGAAGACATACTGCTCGTTCTGCCGTCCTTTGATGCTTTTCCAAGTCAACTTTACATCTTTGAGTTAACTCACCAGTAGCTCGATCCAACCCCTCAGATGAGTTTGAACCTTCATGAAGCAAAATAGAGATGATTCAGGATTCAAGATTTTTTTTCCCCCAAATAAGTAATCTAATATTCATAATTTTTTTCCCCTTTTTTGCTACGTACCACTCTGATTTGTAGAATCAGGATATTTGCCAGTTGCAGGAGGACATGAGCCTTTGTAATGTGAGTCCTGCAAAAGATTCTATTAATCATTTCTTTGCCCTTCCATTCCATCCAAAAACAAGCTCCAAAATTAACAGGAAAGATAAATGCATGAACAAAGAGACACTCACATTAGATTGGAAACTCTGCTTTGCATCAGAGAACTTTTCAGCCTGTTTTCTGGCTCCAAAGGAAGCCTTCTCGGACAACGCTTTCTCTAGGGCACGCTGCCGGGCCTCTGCAGTTGCTCTCTCTACCGCAGCACGCTCAGCTTTAAGTTTGGCTTCCATAATAGTCTTATCATTGGCCCCTGCAGAAGGTTTGGTGGACTCTCCTTGGGCTTCACGCCCTACCTTACGCCGTGCTTCTACATTTGTTCTTCCAGCGACAGCCCTTTCACGGGCTTCTGCAAAGGCTCTTTCACGAGCTTCACGAATTGCTCTTTCAACAGCTATTCTCTCCTTTTCTCTTTCCCTTTCCCTCTCTTTTGTTTCATCTACTCTTCTTTGTTGTTCCTTCACTAGCTTAACTTCTCCCTGACAAGAAATTTTGGTTTCCCTCTCTTCCTTCATCAAGGTTTCATGATGACTCTCATTGTATTCTGCACTTTGGCTTGTTTCAGTGTCATAAGCTACGTGTGTGGTTTCAAGTTTCTCTCCAAATTTACAATGTAGCTGAGAATCAACCAACCTTTCCTCATCAGAGAATTCAAAGTTATACTTGTTCTCTTCTTGTTTCAACCCAAATTCAGCCTCCCTGGCGTCTTCTTCTGATTCACAAACCAGTTCTTCAACATTCTTTTCCATGGCCCAGATTATTTCACACTCTCTGGAATGCTGCTCATATTGGTTTTGCTCAAAAGTTACGTCTGCTGTATCAATATCTATATCGCACCTGTAAAAATCAAAAGCCTCCTTTGTATTTTCCTTTTGCTGCTCAATCTCATTGAGTTTCAAGTTGCTTTCAACCAAGTCAGCCTTATCAAATGCTAGGCTTTCCTCCAAGTCATTATCTACTTCAACTGCTTCTGAATCTCTTCTAGTTTCTTTACATTCACTATAAGCTTTACTTCCTTCTGCTATCCCTCCATTTTCTTCATTTACAAGCAGCTCGGCAGTCATTTCACTGCTGTCTTCATTAATTGAGGGTTCAAGAATTTCACCTAGGTTGTTGATTTCATTGTCATCGTATTCATCATTAGCTGCTTCATGATCTTCCTGACAGCATTCTATAACATCTTCTCTTGCTTCTGTCATCTCATCTGCTTTTTGATCAGTCTGTTTTTGCATCTCTTCAGTTCCCAGCCTCTCAGGAGCCTCTTTTTCACTGCTGTCTTCATTAATTGAGGGTTCCAGAGTTTCACATAGGTTGTTGCTTTCATTGTGATCGAATTCATCATTAGCTGCTTCAAGATCTTCGTGACAGCATTCTATAGCCTCTTCTATTGCTTCTGTCATCTCATCTGCTTTTTGATCAGTCTGTTTTTGCATCTCTTCAGTTCCCAGCCTCTCAGGAGCCTCTTTTTCACTGCCGTCTTCATTAATTGAGGGTTCCAGAGTTTCACATAGGTTGTTGATTTCATTGTCATTGTGTTCATCATTAGCTGCTTCAAGATCTTCCTGACAGCATTCTATAGCATCTTCTCTTGCTTCTGTCATCTCATCTGCTTTTTTATCACTCTGTTTTTGCATCTCTTCAGTTCCCAGCCTCTCAAGAGCCTCTTTTTGTCCCTCCTCCACCGCTTCTATCTGATAAGCATCTTTAAACAAATCTGCATTCTCTTCAGCCTCCATAAATTCCTCATTCCCCATCTGATAAGCATCTTTAAACAATTCTTCATTCTCTTCCGCCTCCATAAATACCTCATTCCCCAATGAATCACTGTTTTCTTCAAGTCTCCTCTTCCTTTCTTCGTCATAATCAAAATCAATATGCCTAAGATCAATTATTTCTGGATTCTCCATTTTGTCTGATATCTGCTCATTGTCTTCTCTATTGCAAGCATCTTCTTCTTCTTCTTCATTGTTTTCTTCTGGTGCACGAGCCTCTTTATGTTCCCTCTGTTCACTCTCCAGTTCCAATATCTCAAAAGCCTCTTCATATATCTTCTCAAACTCTTTCCGTATAGACACATCTTGTAGTAGCATCTCATTCTCTTCCTTCTCAAAAACATCTCTTAAAGCAGAACCATTTTCTTCCTGTTTAAGCATATGCTTGTATTTCTCCTCCGTATCTACCCATTCCTGAGCAACTGCTGGTCTCTCCAGATTATCAGTATCCTTTAATTCTTGCATTTCAATTTTTCTCTCATCTTCTGTCGGTTTCTCTGGATCTTTCAATTTTCTTTCACAATTCTCTTCAGTTTCTTCCCAATGCTCAGAAAATCTTAGTTCAGTTTCTTCTTTCCGATCATCAAACTCTACATCTGGCTTCAATTTGTGCAGACATGCTTCCTTACGGCATAACTCTTTTGATGCATCTGGTTTCCTCTCATACTCCTGTGCATCTTCAACATGTTTTGATTTCTCACCATATTTTTCTGGTTTTTCAATGATTTTCATCTCTTCTCCTTCATAATTATTCAGAGCCTGCATTGCATCATCTTCTCTTTCTCCCTCTTTTACTGCTTCCATTTTTTCCACTTCTTGCCTGCAATCAGCTTGTGATGACATGAAATTCTTAGCATAAGTTCCTCCTGCAGCTTCCCTGGCAATGAAACTTTTCTCCCTCTCTTCTGATTCAACGGCCACTTGGCAAACTTTCATCACATTTTGCTTTCCTACTCCAGCAGAAGTTTGTACAGACAATATCTTTTCACATGTCTCCTGAGCCTTATCTTGACTGAAATTATTTTGTTTGACAGTATCTTTACCCATCGTTCTTTCCTTAGCTTTCAAACTACCATTAAAGCTTGGTTTGCCATGACCTATATGACCTTTTCTTCTTTCCATCATTTCTTTTGCGATTTTTAACCTGGCTTGGGCCTCCTCTATCGCCTTCTTCACTGCAGCTGCAGAAGTAGCAGCAACTGAATTTGCATCCACTTCATCATCAAAGTAAGGGGGAGTCAAAACACCTGCATCATCATCTAAAGAATGACTCCTGGATACCCAGAACTTCAAAGAATTACGTTTACTACCACCCATGTTATTTAACATGCTTGAAGCTCGTGTCACTTTCGAAGGAGGTGTTCTACGGCCAACATCATTAGAACCAAATAATACATCATTAAAATCATATCCATTACTTCTAGATTCGCTATGCAATTCATTAACACCTTTCGAAGTCTGTTTATTAACACCACTAGGTGGAACATTGGACACCGGTTTCTTACACTGCAAGCCTTCCATTACCCTCTCACCAAAATTGTTGGTCTGGCATGGCTCATTTACAACAGAGGGAACTGGCTTGTCACTTGATGGAGTGATTCTTTCATCAACTAAACAAATGTAACCAGGAACAGCATGAAGCTGAGCTACATGTGTTGTTCCATTTGTCCCATTTTTGCTTCCAGGGCTGCTTTTATTAATTGACATTTTGAACTGCTTCACACCATTACCAGATTCATGGTAGGTTTGATCACCCGACAAAACTTGATTCCCCACAGGAATGGTCGAAGGATACGAGAATGACCCCTCTGAATCTGATCTTGTCTCAGTTGGTGTCCTACAAATTCAATTAACTCGGGTTCAATCTTTCCACATATAAAAGCTAACAATAACACTTTCTAATAAATTTAGAATTCCACAATGGGCTCAAATTAAAACTTTTTTTAAAAGAACAAGGCCATAGAGTTCCAATACAGCTGTTCTCAATCATCAAACCTCGTAACAAACAGTTTAAACAAGAAGGGTGTGTTTCGTCTTCGGTAAGCCATGAAAGGTATTACCTCTGCATAAAAAGGTAACTTCTTTCAACTTCCAAACACGCCCTATCACCTTATTGGCTTTCTTAAAAGAAAAAAAGAAAAAAAAAAACTTACTTTTTATCTCTTGCTGGCTTAGCAATGAATTCATCATGAGAAACAACAAAATCAAAGTCTCCAAAACTGCCAAAAATGTTGGAATAATCAAGTTTCGAGCTCGAAACATCGACTGAGAACTTCCTCTCGTTCAGCTCAGGAGCATCAAGAACCGGAATCGAAGAACCGGAACCGCCACCAAATATCTCCTCATAATCTTCAACTCTCGATCCTACCTTACTTTGACCACCAAAAACGCCGTCGTACATGTTTTTACCGTTGAAGCTGTGACCATTACTAAGTTTCTTAGAGAAAGCCGTAGCAGCCGAAGCTCTCTGGTATTCCATTGGAATCAAAAAAAGAAAAAAACAAACTTTAGGGTTTGTTTTTCAGATCAGCAGAGAAAAAAATGGTGTGCAGAGTACAAGACACGGAAAGGAGAAGACTGAGGACGAGAAAATGAAACGAGAAAATGAGGAGAAGAAGAAAAATATATTTATAAAATGGGGTATATTTGTCAGTGTACGACATTCAAGAAAAAAGAAAGAAAGGGCCGATAGTTGAACATGATGGAGGGAAAGATCAAACCAAAGTGACCGGCAGTAGCCGGTGGAGTGTTGTGAGACTGAGAGGTGAGTGAGTTTACATCTGGCTGTCACTATTCAGTTTTGTCTGTTGTCGTTTTACCAGAATGTCTTCCTTCCAGGTTACAACCTGCCACCAATCATCGACGCCGACCCGGTGGTCAATTAAGGATAGTTTGGGCATTTTGTGTGAGATGACAGAGGTAGTTTTGGAAGTATGAAACTAGGAATTGTGAAAATGGCTTCATGTTCCAAAGCAAACAGCTGTTGGCTGCTCTGGGACAAAATTTGAAAATTTTTGTTTCTAATTTGGTTTGACAATTTTTTTTAACTCATATGATTAATATATATAAGGCAATTACTTAACAATCCAATCCTCAATAATGAGAAAGACGGAATCCCCCTGATCCGCTAGATATTTATTTATTTTGGTCGAATAAAATATTAAAAATTTTATATATTTATATGTATTTTATATAAAAATTATAAATTATATTGATATAAAAATATAAAATATATATTTTTATTTTATTAAATTTATTTATAATTTTTATTAAAATTTTAAATTATATATTTTTATATTCTATTATCTTATTGTATTTAAAATTATCAGACGTAAAACGTATCGTGGGTAAAAAACACTTGTCAACCAAGGAATTATTGGGCCCTTTGGCCCCTACCTCAGTTCCCCACCAAGAGTCGATGACGAGGCTTGGTTGGATGAGTAGGTGAGTTTGCCATTCCAAGCTTGTTTGGTTAGACTCGAGTCAAGTATCTGGTAGTTATAGTAGTAGTACATCTCTTTTGTAATGATCTCCAGCTTTCCGCAGTGCTGGCTCCAAATGTATGAAATTACAGCCAACAAGTAGTGTGAAAGCTTATGAAAAATGATGGTTTAGCTGTCTTTTCGAAGAAGATTTTGTGTTTATGAACCCAACAAATGTCCCCATTTGAGAAGTAAAAAAAGATAAGAGATCGTTAAAAGATTAAAATTTTGTTTGAAAGTTTGGACCTCTTTAATAATTTAAAGTAAAAGAATCAAATTATGAATAGCTTTTCCCTATTCTTATCATTTTGGTCTTTTATGACTCGTCCAAATAAGATGGCTTAAGGTCGTTTTGCCATTTGAAATTAGCCTCTCTTCTTTTGATAGCTTCTATCGTATATTTCTTTCTTTCATTATAATTTAAAATTTTAGATTTGATAAATAATCCATTCGTATAATTTATTTTCGTGTTAAATATGTAAAATATAAATATATTGTATTAAATCTTTGGTTTTAATACAATATATTTATATTTAAGAGTAAAAAAAATTATTCTATCTTTTAAGTTCAAAGATTTACAGATTTTTTTATTGTTTTAAAAAATTTTCAAACTTACATATTACTAACTAATAAGAGATTGTAAAATTTGAACATAAATATTTTATACATATCTTAAATCTCAACCACTTGCGTGAACCCTATTAGCTCTGCCACTACTACTACTTTCTCCCAAGGTGATTCAGAAATTTGGTTTAACCAAAGACAATCTTGCATGGAAGGGACATGCACCGAAGATAGAACCCATAACAAACTTCTGCCCGCTGAGTTTCTTTAGAATACATTTGATAGAAAACTAACATGGAATATCTTAAAAAGCTCAAAAAAGAAAATCAATCTTTGTGATCTATGTCTGGAGAATCCGAGAAAGTAAAGTTCTTTATGAATTATGATTCGAGGAGACTAATTTTAGTGAAAGTGATCCGACGCATAAAAGTAGAGAGGCCAATACAAGATTTCTGCATTTCTGCTTTTCCTCTTTTTCTCTTTTGGATTACTGCTTTTGTTCTCAACTAATTCCTCAACAGTGTGACTACCATCTATCAGCTCAGCCATTTTGGCCTTAACAACCATCAAAGAAATAGTATACTATTTTCATCTACTATCAAATTTTGCAAAATACAAATATATTATAAGTAACTATATAAATAATTAAATATCATCATAGAGTGATGCTAAGATATTGATTTGAATCTCCCATCTTTTACTATCTAAAGATTTTATTTCATCGATGATTTGTTGAAGATAAAGTCATTCGTAGTTATTCACCGTATTAATATCGGATAAAAAATTTTGATTTTTTATTTAAATGAAAATGAGTATGAGTATTAAATTTTTTTTTAAAAAAAGTATAAATTTAAAATATTAGATATAAAAACAAAGATTGGTTATATAATATTTGTTTCATATTCGTATTTGATAAATTTTTTTATTAAATATATATTTAAAATATAAATATTACATTATTAGATTATTGATATTTTTTCTTCACTGTTGGTTGTCTTAAGGGTATGCTCTCTAATAATCAAATCGTAAGTAAATATGAAAATTAAATAATGAGAAAGTGATATAAAAGTGAAAAGAAAGAGAGCCCATAAGCAGTAATCTCATGTAAAAAATTTTATATTTTTATAATATAGGAAGTAAGTGAAAAATCTGAAAATCAGTCTTAGAACGATTAATGATTTGGGAGCATTATACCCAGAGCTGGCCGCTAGACCAATGATTCCAGGCCATTTTCCCAAATATCACAGCCCCATCTAAAGGCGTTCATGGTCATTCATTCTTAATATTAATAGAATATATGTTAAGTTTTTTGTTTAAAATTTTTAATCTCAAAATTTTTTTAAATCTGACTTAAATTAAAAAAATAAAATTTAATTTTATCAATTAAACTTAATTTATATAATAAAAATTAAAAAATATAATTAAATTAATTTTAATGAGATTATATTTAATTTATATACATAAAAATAAAAAATTTATATATATAAATTTAGATTGAGCAAAGTTAAATTCGGACTTTAAATTTTTTGCTCAAAGTTTAATCTAAAATTTAAACAAATTTAAAATTATACCAAAATTTATTTAATAAATTTTAGTTTAAATTAAAACAAATAATTCGATTCTTTAACAAATCTAGTTCTCATCGTGGCGTATTTTACTATCCAAATATCAGGCCTCACAGCTCATTTACAAAATGCGTGAATCAAATACTACAGGCCTGTTTGCCCATTTAGTGATTACGTGACCCAAAATATTACAGGGCTATTGCCCCATCTACTTGTTGAGTGATCCAAGTCGGATTTACGGGGAAGAACCGAACCATCCAAGGGGCTTCGTTTCGTTTTGGTGTTCACTTGAAGAAGAAGAAAAAACAGAAGAAAAACCCTCTTAAAATACAGTCAGGGAGACATAGGGAGAGAGGGAAAGCAAGTTTTGCAGTGGAAGAAACTAGCAATTGAAACGGTGACATAGAGGAAAATGTTCAGGAACCAGTACGATACGGACGTGACTACATGGAGCCCAGCGGGGCGGTTGTTCCAAGTGGAGTACGCAATGGAGGCTGTGAAGCAGGGCTCGGCGGCTATCGGGCTCCGATCCAAGACCCATGTGGTCTTGGGTTGCGTCAACAAGGCTAACTCCGAGTTGTCTTCTCACCAGAAGAAGATCTTCAAAGTAGACGACCACATCGGTGTCGCCATCGCCGGTCTCACCGCCGATGGTCGCGTGCTCTCTCGGTACATGCGAAACGAGTGTATCAACTACAGCTTCACGTACGAGTCGCCGCTCCCTGTTGGGAGACTCGTCGTCCAGCTCGCAGATAAAGCGCAGGTCTTTTTCATTTCTTAAAATCTCCAATCTTTAAACTTTTTCTATAAAAAAATTGACCTTTATTTTTAGTGTAGTTCAACTTATGGGAGATGCTGATTTTTTATTTTTATTTTTATTTAGAAATGGGAAATTGCCTAATCTTTTAAACCCTAATTAGGTCTTTGCTGAATTCTTGACAAGTATGAGGATTTCGAGAAATGCTTTGAAATAAATAAAGCTGCAGAATCGGTTATAGACTTAAATGAAAATTAGCTCACATTTAGGGCTATTGTGTAGGAACCATTGATAGATTAAGTAATGTGGAAACTATAAGTAAATAGCACTACCCATTTACATTATTGCTGAACTTGTCGATGATTAATAACATAAAATATTTTCCGACCGTGCTATCTAGAATAGACGAAAATGAAATGGATAATGAGGATTAATAGATGCAAATACGAAAAGGTTACAACTGCGGGAATTTCCATCTTATGGTCTATATATACCATTAGTGAGTTAGCTTTACTTGGTAAGAGTTTGAGTGTACCTGGCATCAAGTTGTGATTTTCAGGATATAAAACAGGCAATAGATTATGCAATAAAAAGGATAATTTGGCGAGATTATTGGCGGTTATGAATGCCTGCCAATGACCATTTTGCTACCTTGCTTGGGCTTCCATTAATTGAATGATTGAGAGGGTATTAGAATAGAAGCTCGATTTAGGTTAGAATGAGTTAATGGTTTCGGCACCAAACTCAAAGAGCTTGGCATACCTTCACGTGCTCAGGTTTAGTTGCACTGGGGTTATGTGGTCAAGTATCATTTTATCAACTTTCTCATGATTACTTGATATGGACTCTGTATAGTTGTTGATGTAAGAGTTGAGGTTGTTAGTGTTTCTGCATTAAGTGATGTCAAGCCTTTGAGGTTGGCTAAAGCTAGTAATGGTAAGTTTGATAGATGCTCTATGTTTTCATATGCCTCTTTGATAGTTATTTAAAACGGTGTGGAAGCCTTTGATGTTTATCTTTTCTTTCTTTTCCTTAGTATCCTGTGCTTTCCCGTTCAATTTGCTGCTCAAGTTTTGTATATTTCTCAAAAGTATTAGGGGCATGTTCTTAATTCAGTTACATATTTGAAGGTCTAATGTTATTTGTATGTCATCTCAGTATTAAACAAGATTTTTGTTTGATAAATCTTCTCTCAATAATGTAGTGAGTTTTCTTTTTTATTTTGTGTTGTTTTATTTTTAACCACAATTAAATGAAACATAGTTGATGCTAAAGATAGCAATTTCTAGTGGAACACTAATCCTACTGGATTTCTTGAAAGTTAAACAGTTTTATTTTAAAAGAAGCATAATAATGTTATTTGTTTGTGAAATTGAAAAGGGGAAATGCTTGTGTTTTGGTGGCAGGTCTGCACCCAACGCTCTTGGAAAAGACCTTATGGTGTTGGCTTGTTGGTGGCTGGCTTGGATGAATCTGGGGCTCATCTCTACTATAACTGCCCAAGTGGAAATTATTTTGAATACCAAGCTTTTGCCATTGGATCAAGATCACAAGCTGCAAAGACATACTTGGAGCGCAGGTTTGAGAACTTTATGGACTCCACAAGGGATGATCTGGTCAAAGATGCTCTTATGGCAATAAGGGAGACCCTGCAAGGAGAAACTCTAAAAAGCTCAATATGTACAGTTGCTGTGATAGGGGTTGGGGAGCCGTTCCATATTTTGGATCATGGAACTGTACAACAAATGATTGATGCCTTTGAGATTGCGGGAGAGCAAGAAGGTCCTGCCGCTGAACCTGATGCTGCTGCAAGACAGGAGGCTGCAGCTGAGCAGGGTGGTTCTACTGATGAAGGCGTAGCCCCAATGGATATTTGAGGATGCAAGAACCAGGGTCCATCCTTGTCTTTAGATGAGGTTTTCGAGCATGTGTTTGCAGATTTGAGTTAGGCAGTAGGCACTCGTGGACCGTGTTGAATATTTCCTTTTTCTCATTCAAATCATCTTTATCCTTGGTGCAAACATGTCAAAAATACATTTACATTTATACTCAAGATACATTCATTGAAGTTGTCGACTTATTTATGTGTTATTGTATTGAATTATGAACTGTCTTGCAAATCTCTTGGAAGACTAAGGTGGAGTGGGCGGACTTGATGATTCTCGATATGACTCAATTTTGCATCAACGGCGCATGGACACCCATAAACATAAAACTACATATGTTTTGTTCTGCTAGTTCCTAGTTGCACAAACTTTATTTTTGCCAGCCGAACTTAAGATGGATGCAAACCATTGGATATCCTATTGAAACTCGGTAGTTCCATTTAGCATTTCAAGAAAGAAAATGAACGAGGTAACATTAGACTTTTGCCTCTGGTAACACTGAAAATGAAGGATTGAAGTCCTTGCAATGCAGTTTCTACAGAATAATTCAGTAATGACACAACATTGCGTATGTTAATGTTTCTGTTGAAAAAGAGGAGTCGTGTGCACAAGTCAATCCACCCCCAAAACGCAACTAAAGCTAGCCCTTTTCTTTAGAAAAAATAAATCATAGCAATGTAGAGTGAAAATAAATGCTTCTTTTGTCATGGAGATATCAGTTCCGAATATCAGGAAGTGGGAGGCCCTTGATCTGCATCTGCTTATACGTCCATTGCCAATTCTCCGGTGTTACCTCACCCCCAAGTGAACGAATCACTGATCCACCACTACATGAGCCAGCTTTGCAACATTCCTCAAGAGATAATCCCTTGATCAATCCATATAAGAAACCACTAGCGAAGAGATCCCCAGCTCCTGTAGTATCAACCGCTTTTGCATCCCCTATAGCCGGAACTCGGGCGATCTGTCATAGAAGGAAATTTTAGTTTGCCTGCTTTCAACTATGCATCATTTAACGACCAAAACGAGGTGAAGGCCAGTTCATGCATCTCAAATCAAAATATTTACGGAAAAAGGGCACAATTTGGCCATACTTTCCAAGTTGAGATTGGCAACTAGCCATGTTAGAGTAGAAGTGCATCCCTAAATGGAAGCAATGATAAATTGAAATTATCTCTAACATTTGTACCTAGTGAAACACACTTCTAAACAATAAAAACCGAAAAGTATGAAAACCTCCAATTACTCTACAAGGTTGCAAATGACCAACCTCTTGTCCATGTTTCGCAATGCAACCATTGGGCCCTAATGTAACCACTGCCCATTGGCAATATTTAGACAGATATTCCAGTGCAGCTTCAGGATCCGCATTTTCTTTACCCCTAAAGAAGTAAAATGGAAAAAAAAAAAATCAGCAACTAATGACTGCAGTTACAGCAGCAATTTCCGAGATCCTGAAAAAACCATTCATTATAAAAAAAAAAAAAAATGACAGCCACCTTATCAATTCTTGCGCTTCATCCTCATTGGCAAAGCAGAGGTCTATATCCCCTGACTCCAATAACTGTAAAAGAGGTACTCTAAAATTCCGAACCATCTGACCAAAGTCACAGACTTTATAAGATAAAATATTCAGACCTAAAAATTTTGATATTGAAAAGCACAATAATGGAGAATTGAGGAGAAGTTAGATGGCAATCATGGATGAGCACTTCACTAGAATATCAACCATAAGTCTGAAGAATTTACTATTATCATCACTTTTAAAATTTCTAAGAAAAGAAACTGTATGAGTTACATATTAATCCACACTAGGTATTTCACACTGTGCATAACATTGCATTCAGCCTTCAGCAAAACATAAAGTTATTCCAATTACCTCAAAACTGGCCAAATCCAAGGAGACAGAAAGACCCTCTTGTTTGGCAATTCTTATAGCTGCTTGAATAACTTCCAAATTGAATATCCCATATCTCATCACCAACCACTGCAATGAAAGATACATCATTAAGTTGAATGCTCTGAAATCCAACCAGCTGCCAAGAGCTGAATGATATAATGTGGTCAAAAAGTGCAAATTCTACATAGGTAATTAGAAAACCATAACAAAAAGATAAAAAGATCCAAGAGAACAAGGTCCCCTTGTTAAGAAAGACAGGACAAGAATTTTGAAAAAAAAATCCACAAACAAGTAATCCTAATTTTTGTTTTAATTCCATAAAATAGGACTCACCTTAGAACCACTAAAGTCCTCTTTGGTCAATTCATCCCCCTGAAAAGCAAAGGGGAGTCAAATTTATTGTAAGTTTGTATTTAGCAAGGAGCAGACACAAATCCTTTAAATCAATAAAGAAAGAGGTTTAAACTAAATACGAAAACGGATTGTGAAATTCACCTGAACTTTTACGGCAGTTGATAGGCAAGGGCGCATTGTTCTATTACCGAATGCATCAACTAGGCAAACACACTGCACCATACCATTCACTAAGAAAGTTTCAGCACTTAGCATTAAAAACACAACTAAATTCCATAGGAATTGTATGATGAAGATCACCTGAGCTGTCGGTCCCTTCTTCATTCTTAGTCTCGAAATATTAACTCCACTAATGTTCATGTTCCTTACAAACAATTGACCTTGCCCATCATCCCCATAGGCCCCGATCATTCCACAATTAACCCCAAAGCCAGAGCTAAGTCCCCGAATAGTATTTGCAACACTTCCTCCAGCCATAGTCTTCACAGGAGATGGATCATCGACTGAAGCAAGGATGTGCTTTTTCAACTCCCTTAATATATGCTCAAGCTCCACGATTGCCACCTACATAATAGATAAAATCCATTGACCTTAAATAATCACAGAACCTCATCCCCATATATGATTATTCTCATGTCCATCAAACAAGAAAACAACTTAAAATTTTTCAATTCCAAGGTTGAAAACCGTTATTAGTTAGGACCAAACTAGGTAAGAAAACAAAAAAAAATGACAACAGGTAGGAAATAAAAAAGAAGCAAGTTTGGAACAGAAAAAATGGATAGACAAGGCCACGTCATTGGCATTGGAGACTATCAAACATGACAACAAGTAAAGAACAGAGGAATTTGTGCAGGTCAAAGCAAATAACTCTTGTCTATAAGCCATAAGCCGCCCTAAAAATTTACTTTTACTGACAAAGCCCCGCACTCACATGCATCAACCAATAAAAAAAAATCTACCCACTTACTCTCAAACAAAAGAAAAAACATATATATTCTTTAAGCCCGGTACACAGAACATTAAAAAAAAAAAAGGAAAAACACTGATTCAAAGCTAATGTGGGTTATTTTGATGATAAAAACCCAGAAATTATAGCGAGACAAATTAAAACAAATTGCATAAGTCCAGTCAACAGCAAGTAAGAAAAGGTAGAAAAAGAACAAAAAGCTAGATCGGAAGTTAAGGTATTTAAAAAAACCAAAATACCGGAAAAGAGCCACCAGATTCACCGGGAATTTGATCGACCAAGGATTGATCCACAAGAGCCACGTGATCAATGAGGGCAGCTGGTTGTAGTCCCAGTATAAGAGAAGCCTTCGCCTCCATCGTAACACAAGCCTCCCCGTTTTTTACCATGATTTCTGCTCCCATAGATGGTGCTGTAATGGCTTTTGATTACTCCCTCAAATACTATTTCTAGCCTCCCAAGCTCCTGCAGCTCTCTAAGATTTTTCAATGAACATATAAATATTATATAGGCAGAGACCCGAACATGCGTATTCCGTACTGCAGCATGTGGAGAAGGTCCTCCAGTGAGCGCTCTTCCACTATTCTCCTAGTCAACCTCTTTTTTTATTAAAAAAATACCTTTTTTATTTTTAGTAGTATTTATTTTCCTTATTTGTTTATTATTTTTAATAAAAAATAGGGCCTTTTGGCTCCAAGAATGGTGTGGATTCTGAATTGTGATTAGGCAGCCCTAGAAAGGTGATGAGAAGGCTTTACCTTGTGTTCTGGGTTTGTCGGTTAATAGTAATGAGAAATGAGCTATCCATGGTTGGGAAATTTCGAGGGCTGAGTCTTGTTTGTCAGTAAACGTTTACTCGAACTTGACTTGAGATGTCGGTCCAATAATCTTAATTGAAGTGTGGAGACTTTCTTTTTGGTTCAAAATGGGTCCCAATTGGTTAGAATTTGTAGCATTTTTCCTGAAGAAAACGTTGCAATCCATTTCTCGAAAACAAAATCAATGAATCCTTGCTGTCAATGATAATGAAGGTTTTGACGATTTTGGGTTAAATTTGTTAAACCAACTTTGTAACATCAATTACAATTGCATTTGCTTGTAGCATTTCATGGAAACTCATGCACATGCTCGATCTTTCCGAAAACAGGAATGGATTCTCGAATCTTGATATAATATAGATCATAATCATAAGCACATGTTTCTTTTACTTGTAATATAGATGTGAACATTGCAGTTCGTTTGTGGTTGGTGTCGGCTTGGCCCTTGCCCTACCTTAAATATAGTATATACTTAATTCTTGAATTAAATGAAAAAAAAAACTATAATTGTAAGGACAAACAAAAGGATGGCCGTATACTTCATTGCAGGCTTCAAATATTTCCATGACCCAGCCGAAAGTTATATAATAAGCATTTTGGATATAGCTTTCCTCTAGATTCTAACTTAAATTATTTCCAGGCAGGGCAAGAGCCATGACGATGATGGTTTCTTTATTATTGGTTTAAGCTTTCTGCTTAAGGTAATCATTGGCTTCACCACTACCTAATCAGTGGTTAAGCTTCACTCACTGCACTAACATCCTGATGCATAATTAAAAAACATATGTTAAAGAAAGAAAAATCCGATCAACGCTTTAATTATTGCAAAAAAAGATCCAATTACTAAAATTATTTTTATTAACTTGTAATTTGAGCTCAAACTTCTGCCCCGACTGAGTCGAGTAAAGCCAGGAAAACTAGTCCTAGGAATGCCAGTGCCTGCGGATCAACATCAACATTACAAATAGTGTGCTTCCTAATGTGGAAAGCGCCTAACCTGCTTCAGCAGAGTTCAGTGATCTCCGGGAGAGCGGAATAGATCCTATGAGCAGTGAGTTACCTCGCTCGCCCAGGGGCACTTGTAGAATAAAGAGATCTAAACCCTAGTTTGGTTCCTTCTTGTCCTCCCGAGTCCTGACCATGTAATTGAACGTGGCTCACCAACTGCCCACCAACGCAAAGTGACCCATCATAGTCAGAAGGGGCCAAGAATGAGTTTAATGAGTACAAAATCACAATCATCAAGAATAAAAGCATCTTAGTAATACATTCCTCCGGTCTTGGAATGAGTCTCTGAGTGACCATCCAAAGAGTAGAGCATAATGCTAAAAAGGAGCCATGATTCTAGGCTAAAACTTGTCCGGTATTATTGGGAAAGAAAATCATCCTTCAGCCATGTACTTACTTGCACATAGCAACAAATATTCCTTGATGCCAAATCTCAAGGCTTGAAGCAAACAAAAAAATATCTTGTGAAAAGGATCATTTTTGTGAAGACTTCTTTTCTTTATCTGGTAGGACATTATCTGGAAGAATTAGTTCTGGGGGTGTTTCACGTACGATGCCCAGCATTGAGTCATACTCTTCATCCCTACGAGCAAACTTCTTGCGGAGAACTTTCTCAAATTCAATTTCATCGAAGGGCTTTGCATTCTCAGCTGCATGTACCTGTGCAAGGTTGGTATAATTGGTGGCTGACTGAGAAATAAATGCTATCTCTTCATCAGTTAGCTTCCTCAGGAACTTCGCCGGATTGCCTCCCCACACCTGTTAAAAACAAATAAAGATTGAAAACCAGTATCATCCAAAGTAAAACTTTTAACTACTTTTTTTCCAGCATTCTGTGGCTCAAAATAGTAATACAAGCAGTAGAAACCATCTCTGTACTATATTAATCACCAGCAGGTATCATAACACCTATTTATCTTTATGTTTTCTTAAGTATAAGTTTTCTATTTCTTTCCATGTTTTGTAACTTCTAATGCATGTTTCCAGTTTATTTTTTTTATTTATACATGCTAGCATAAGAAATGAAAGTGCCTTTGACAAACAGATAAATCAATAAGTTCATAAAAAATATTCAAGAATATGGCCATAAGAACAAAGTCCAAGAGAGAGAGTTCACACTACCTCCCCGGTAGGGATCTTTGTATTTTGTCTCACAAGTGCTCCAGCAGCAACCATAGCATGTTTCTCCACTACTACACCATCAAGAAGTGTTGCTCCCATGCCAACAAATGCTTCATCCTCAACAGTACAGCCATGTAAAACAGCACTATGACCTGCTCATTTCGAAGTGTCAATTATAGCCTACAAACAGAAGGAACTTCATCACATTAATTCACATGAAATTTAGGGCCAACGCCATTTTACTTACCAACAGTAACATTGTCCCCAATGATAGTTGATAGCACTTTCCCACTTATGTTAGACTTTGCCACATGCACAAGGGAGTTGTCTTGTATGTTAGTTCCGGATCCTACACTAATGCTGTTGACATCCCCTGTTCAAAGAAAAACTGAGGATGATTATCAACAAAATCTAGTAAAATATAATGTCAAAGAAATAACCCAAACCTACACAACCACAATTTAATCTTGTTGAACAAACTCAGATAAAGAAGAAAATTATAGCTTCTTGTACACAGGGTGGTTGAAAGATATTGGGGGTAGGATGTTGATCTCAGAAACCTTCTTCCTGAGATATGGTACTGAAGAGTCAAAATCTACTCCTAGGCATTAAAAAGGTACTACACAAAAGGGGACCTTTTTTTATGATTTATTCAGGAGAGATGCCACAACCCTACATTGTACAAAATAGTGCTTCGCTATGAAGTATGAGGCCTAGGAATGTGAATCAATTTTCAAATTTCTTATTTGAACAATTAGGAGCCTCAGTCACACAAATGGTGCAGGCACTAAATGTACAAGGGCATTTCTTCATTTTGAGGCAAGAAAACAAACATCTAAAATGCCTTTAAAGTAGAATCCAAAAAATTTATCTTCACAATATAATAAACAGCTTGATTTTATAGTTAAGAAGAAGAATTATAAATACTCATAACAGTATGTCCACTGTATTTAGGTTGTACTTAAGTTTTAAGAAGCAAATGATGTTGGATAGGACATGAATAGGATGGAGGATAAGGTGCAAGTTACAAGCATCCTGCTTGTGTGAATCAATACATTGTTTACACAAGCCAAAAAGTTAAGGAAATAGTAATGCATATTAGGAAGACAAATCTCACATCATCAAGAGAAAATAAAATAATTATAATACCAACAACTAAAAGTTGAAACTAATAGTTAAAGTCACTAGCTACATTCCTCTAAACCAATTGTTAAAGTTAAAACAAGTTATATCCTCATTACCACAAGCCACATTTCTATAGACCAAATTGATGAACAAACACATTTGCTAAACATAAAACATTCTGAATGTGCAGAAACAATCAACATAAGTCTAATATCTCTATTCAACACAGTTTTCAAAATAAAAAATAGTGAACAAACGTCAGTGCAGGACTACCATTAACAGTACCTATTTGTTTATTAATGTCACCATCTAAAAGTTAATTAGCATAACCCTAAACCTTTGATATGCTAATTTGTAGACATGAAGTTGGATACCATCCTTTCTTGAATAATTTTAGTTAGACTTATACAATTTATTCATCAAACAAAAACACCAAATTGTGTGTATAAACAAGGATCTTACCCCTTAAAACACACCCATACCAAATAGATGATCCTCTTCCCACCTGAACATCACCAATGACTGACGCGCTAGGGGCTACAAATGCATCCTTGTCGACCACAGGAGCTTTATCAAATATGTTCATCAGAGTCCGATGCCTACAAACTAAGAAAAGAAGAATACCATAAGCGCATAGTCAGATAACGGAAAGCAAGCCAAAGCAACATAAACAAAATCTCATCTTTGAACACAAACCGTAATTATAACAAATAAGAGTAAAACGCAGCCGCATTTCCACATTAATTAGCAAAGTAAACAACCAATTAACCAGTATAATTATAGCTAAATATCCATAACTAGACTTTATGTGTTTATACAGAGCAAGCTAACAGTTTAAGAACAACATAAAAGAAAATTAAGTAACAAAATGGAACAAATACAAATTATTTGGTACAAAATCAGCTGAAAATCCCTATACATTCAATCGGTTATTCAATTTTGCATTAGCAGAGATTCGCTTAGTAATATAAGTTGAAGAGGGAAAAGAAAAGAAAAGAAAAGAAGCAGAGAAATGGGTAAAACTCACGTTGCTCTTGGAATAAGTAGTCGCCTTGGAGGCGGCAGCCGAGGCGATCGAGGGCCTGACCGGTCTCGCGAATCCAGAATCCGACGGCGTATATGGCTTTCCCTAGGGTTCCCATCGTCAGCCTTTCTTTTGGAAAATTTTGATCGGCGATTTTCTTTGCCCAACTTTTGCAGCGACTATGTAATTTCCAGGTCACTGCGTGGCTGGGAAATAAAGCTCGAAATGGAGAAATGAGCCTACAGCTTGGGCCTGGGCCTCCCTCAGGCCAACTTTGGGGCTTCACCACTAGGCCCCAGACGCTTGATTTGAGCTCTCGAGTCTTGAATAAATTGGGCTTAAGAGATTACGTTTTCTTTTTCTTTCTTTATTTTTTTAAACATTATATTTAACCAAAACGTCATCACGACGGTGCGTTTCGATGCTTACGCGCGGAGCAAACCGTGTAACTGTAAACTGCCTGAAATTTTGTCCTTATCTTGTTTCTTATTTTCATGAAAATCCGCAGATCCATAAAAAATTAAAAATCTTCTTACCTTGATTTGATCCCTGTAATTAAACCCTATACTCATCTTCAATCAGAGGTAACCCTAATTTCTCCTTTTTTTTACAATTTATTTCTTACATTTTTATTTAATTTTCCTTTGTTTATATAATAATTCCTAAATCATGATCTATATTTCCATTTTTTTAGGGAATACTATAATATAATAAATTAATTTCAAATGGAAGGATTAGGGGAAGACGCTGCCACGGCGGTGGCGCCGATAGCGAAGTGGAAGAGCGATTTCTCTCGGACATTTCAGTACTATTTGGATCGTTCCACCCCACATGTCACCGAAAGATGGCTTGGAACTCTTGTCATTGCAGCCATTTACGTTCTGCGCGTTTACATTGTGCAAGGCTTTTATATCGTATCCTATGGGCTTGGAATTTACATCTTGAATCTATTAATTGGTTTCTTGTCGCCTAAGGTTGATCCTGAACTCGAGGTTTTGGATGGAGCCTCGTTGCCGACTAAAGGCTCCGACGAATTCAAGCCTTTCATCCGCCGACTTCCCGAGTTCAAGTTTTGGTAATTTAAACAACCCGTTTTTCCATCTGGGAATTTCTTTGTTTTGATGAATGAACTATCTTTCCTAAGATTTTGGCTTCAAATTTATCTTTAAGTATCGTCTCGGAGCTCCCCAGATTTTGCTGGAAATTGTTTTCTATATGTCTATTCTGGTCTTAGTTGATCATGGTATTTCAGGTACTCCATTACGAAAGCTTTCTGCATGGCCTTCTTGATGACCTTCTTTTCTGTATTTGATGTTCCTGTATTTTGGCCCATATTACTCTTCTATTGGATTGCTCTGTTTGTTCTCACGATGAAGCGTCAGATAATGCACATGATCAAGTATAAATATGTTCCTTTCAGTATGGGGAAACAGGTCAGAGGCTCAGAGCTTGGATTTTGTTTTAATGACCCATTTTTGATTCTGCTGTTTCCTCGCTCTCCCTCCTTAGAAATTTGTGGTAAACTTCAATCATTGAAATATAACATTAACTTGTTCCTTGTGGGTTTCAACAGAGGTATACCGGGAAGAGGACAACTGCCAGTGGCCTGGGTTTAGTGATGGACTGAAGGTCGTCGACATCCTTTAAAGAAAGAGAAGAAACAAAAAGTTTCATGCTTTTAGATTTTAGAAGGAAGAGTCAATTACATATCGGAAAATCTGTTTTACTTTGTCGATCGATCGATATGCCTGGTCGACTATGTTCGACATCAAATTAGTTATCGTTCTTTCTCTAAGCTTCTTCCTATGTATTTGTCGATACATTATTTTCACTGTTTGAAGTGTTGGCCCGTTTCTCCCATAATTTAGCTAAATCAATGCTCCAAAATTATGTTGCTTTCATAGTTATTTGTTGACCTGGTATTGGCTTTGTGGATGGTATAAAGAAGGGTTGGCCGAAACCAATGTTACATTGCCATCAGTAATCAACCAGCCATCAGGGAAAGCTCCCAGGAATTCTTTTCAAGCTTGATAACTCAATATTTGAAGCTTTAAATTATTGAAGTTGCCAATTATCAGGTTCTCAATGGTAGTTGTAAACCGAGTGGAGGTGTAGCCTTGGGAAAATTGACTTGGGGGATGATATGATATGCCAGATGGATGCCTAATCATGCACACACGTCTTGAATAGCAACTCTCCAACAACTGAACCACAGTAATCTCCACAAGTTTGTTGTTTGTACTTGACTTGGATTAGTTAAGAAAAAGAATATTTAAATTTGAAAATTAATATATTAAGTTTTATAATAACATTGTTCCTTAAAGATGGCCAGCTAATTTGTTAAATGTTTTATCTGTCTCTTTCCCTCGCTGGCTTTCTCCCTCCCAACAAGCTTCCATTAAAGATCTTCAACCACTAATGAAAACTGAACCAGTATTTCCTTAGAAAAATGAGTGGAAGAACCTTTGTTGTGATATTCTTCTTCTGGGCAGCTCTAACAATTATCACCCCTACCCTTGTTCTCTGGTCAGAGTCCTCCAAACCCTACATGGAATTGAATGGTAAGAGCTGAAAATTCTTTCACTCTTTTCTTTACTTCCTCTATGGTGTTCACGTCTGATACCGTTTTCATGTTGAAGGATTGGCATTTCTTCCTTCCAATATTTTGTTCAAATGTTTTGTGGATTTCTTGTGATTTCTATTTTTCAGGTCAGAAAAATGAGGTAATAAAGGCTAGGAAAATGATTGGATATCGAATGAAACAAGTAAGCACTGCAACCATAACTTCCAGTCAATTGGAGGCAGCAGCCACAACTGAGCACCAGAACTGGAGCTGGCTTCAGGAACTTGAAAGCTGTGTCAACAAAGTTTTTCAAAAAGCAATGCGACTACTGATCAGGGTCAGCTAAATTCAATTATAGACTTTCCAAGAAAGCGTAGGTTCGCAATATTCCCACCTTTTCTTATACTTGAAGCAATCCCTTGATACAAGAACTCAAGTTTATGAGGTTTAAGTTTTTCCGGTCATTACCTAAAGAAAACATGTAAAAGAAGATGAGAAAGCAAACTTGCAGATATCTTACCCTTGTATACAGAAAAGAACTGCACAAAATTTACATATTTATTTTTTCCCCCTAAGGTTTCTTTCCAGTGAAAGTTGGTTGGTAGAGGTAGATATATTGATGATGAAAAAACTGAGTAGAATAGGTGAAGGATTCTGTTTGTTTAGAATTCAGACTTGGCAAGCAGCATCTTGTCTCCTGAATATGACAAAATTCACGACAAAATTCATTTTATGAGACTTAAAAACATACTATATAATTAATGGTTAGAAAAAAGGCCTGTTTTACAACTTAATAGGATCTCCTGAGCTGATTTTGTCTTCGTGCCAATTGTCCAACTTTGCTACAACAAGGTTAGTTGAGGAAGCTAACAGCTGATTTCTAAGTTCTAACTACTTATTCGAATTAAGTTTTCCAGATATATTTAGTTAATCAAAGACTATCAGCTGCAATCAGCTTTTTTAATAATCAGGAACTTTTGTTATTGGGGCACGAGGTGCTAGTGGATGAATTAAGATAGCTGCAAAGTTTGTCTTTTGTTCCATAATATGATTAAGGCTAGAACTAAAGTTAAAAGGGGAGAAAAAGTACTACCAAATGGGTAATCACATTATTTTTTTTTTTTTTGAATTCCTAATCTATCTTTAAACCTCTCTTATTCTATTACTTATCTGATTGAAGAAACTATTACGTGCATAAGTTCTCTGGAATCCATAACCTTCAACTGCTAACTCCAATAACATACCAATGGATCCAAAGGATAGTCGGTAAAAGTAATCGCATTATTAAATAAAACAAGTATATGATTTTTAATCTCCCACTTGAAGTGTTCAACTCCAAAACTATTGACAATATTGCAAATCCTTTAACATACCAGTTTCTAAGCTAGATCCATGGAGTTGGAGGATATGTGATAAAAAATGGTTGGTCAAGTTGGTATACATTCAGCAAAAGCCATATTTGTTTCTTCATTTTTGTTTTTGCCCCGCCATAAATGAATTTACCTGAGTCTGAGGTTAATGTCTATCGACCCATATGTCAGGTTCTTTTGATGAGTTATCTACTTAATATCTATGGTACAGACATCCATGTGACGTCTTCAAACCCCAGAATTTTAGCAGATAAGTTCATGTATATATTTTCCTCCTCACGAATGATACAAGGGGGGGGGGGGGGGATTCGACAGTATTTTGAAATAATTACAAATAAATAAACAATCAATCTAATATGGTTACATTAACAATTTTTCTAGCAGGTATAGAAACATATGCTTATCAACATCACTACATCAGCTAACAATAATATTCTTTCATGATCAGGCATGTGTAGTGGAATTGTTAGAAATGGCAGTCGAAACTTTCTTGAAATGTTTCAGGGTAGACCCGATCCAACTCTTGCCACCAATCATGTTCCTTGTCAAGAAAAGCTCCGCCTCTTTGACCATCAACTTTGCTGATCATTCAACCCTTTTCTTTGTATTAGCTCCAGGTCCATTACATTTATATTCTCCGTAGAACATAGTGCTGTAGAAATCAAGAAACCAGAAGAAAATGGTTAAGCATTAGTTCAATTTCAAAATTTTACAGTAATAATTGGAAGAAAAGAAAAAAAAGAAAACCGATTGCTGATCTTGCTTGATTTTGTCCGTCTTTTTTGTTACCCTTGCTTGGATGAGTCTCCCCAGTCGTCCCATCCCTGGGGCAGTATCACATTAGACATATAGGTTAGGGCAAAAATGACCCTGGAATATGCACCCCATGGCCTTCCTAGTACAGCAGTCCTGACCCCAGTGATCTTGCAACCCAAGAAGGTAAATCCTGTCTCTTCCGAAGGAGACTCCCTCCGTTGGGCTGTAATAGCTGCATCTCCTTCTGAGAGTGTATGCAAATGGCACCTCGGGAAAAAAAAAATTCCCAAGAGCAATCCATATGTAAATTAATGGTCCAGATAGGCTAGCTACCAATATATAGGATTATTGGTAAGTAACTGATTCCTGAATGTGTTACCTCAAAAAGGGAAACGGCATCCCACAAATGAAGTCAACGGCTCCTTCAATGTAACAATTGCTGTAATAATGTCTTCCAGTGTCATCTAGCAACGTATCCTCGTAAGATAAAATTCTGCATCCAAAGAAAGCTGCCCTATCTCCAGATACCCTTAATGCAACTGCTTTAGCTCCAGGTTCGAATGTATTCTGTTTATCAAAAATAAAACAATAAAGGTCAGCTAACTGGCTAGTTGGTATTGATATAGATCATGATTGATGCTTCTGTTCAAAAAAAGTTCGAGGAAAAACTTTATATGAACCGAAATGGACAGGAAGAAAGTATAGAATCACTGGATTCTATACTTTACATATATAGTTTGAGGATTTCATTTAGTGTTCAATTACATTGGAGATGTTATATACCTGAATTGTGAGGTATCTGCCAACAAAACTCTGAAGCCAGCACAGTCAAGGTAGGAGATTCAAATATATTCCCACTATCTTTCCAAGTTATTATCGTGCCATTTGCCATTGAACCACTTAGTGTAATGAAAGGCTTGTCCGCATGCACAAAGTCTTTTCTTTATAGATGCCAGTCTTAACCAATATGACAACAAGTTCTTTGTTGTTGGATGGCACAGCGTCAATGGCGTCTTGTATCTTCATGTAGTCTCTCTTCCCTGATTGGTCAACTATTATAAGTAGGGCTGCGGAAGTTTCAGCAGCTTCAGCTCGTAGGGTACTAACATAAGCATGAATAACGCTATGACAAAGATGCAAGCGTAGCTAGAATAAGAAGGGGCCATCGTTGCAAAACTAATTTTCTGACAAAAACTAGATATTAATTTGCTTCTTGATCAAGGTGATGAGGTAAATGAAGAAATGAACAATTCTGAGATCACCATTTTATGAACAGAATCATAGATTACGGTGGATATGTTCTTTTATACATATCAGGGGCCAATTTCTTGCCATGGAAGTGTGACATATACATCAATTTCAAGCAGGCGTGTGTACATCAACATTATATCATAAAAGGCTGGGGTAGCCCCTAATAAAAGCAACCGCCAAATATAAATTTTGGAGGAAACTGGATAGGCCGTGGCCGCCCTTTGATTTTATTCCAGCTAGGCTTTCACCGAGTTAGAATTTATATTTTCAGTTTGATTTATTAGCCCCACTTGAAAGGAGTTGATACCTCGGCTACTTGAGAGTAAGGTTAGAAATGTTAATTTGGAAAATGAGTTGCAATATTAAAGTTGCACAAGTCTTGAGATAGCTTAAAAACTGCACTTAGCATGTACAAATTCTTTGTTGCTGTCAATTTAAGATACTTTGCGGATGTTATCTTTTTCTGAATGGCTGAGTCGACCATGGCTCCGCCGGTTTCTTTGCCCCTGAATTGGTGGCTGTCCTATTGTCAGTTGACCTTTTTACAGACTTGGGCTTTGTTTATATTTTACTACTTTTGAGTCAGGCCCGTGATTAAGGTCAAAATCTTGTCATAATGTGAGCAATGGCCTTAAAGAGTTTAAGTCTGAGCTCAAACTTGCTCAGCCCAATATCAAACACCTTGGGCTATAAATTGGAGAGATTACTACGGATTGGAACTTCAAAATAAAGCACTATTTGGCCCAAAAATGAACTTCAATGTCAATTTCTCTTTTCTTTATGAAGCACAAACCAGACCAAAATTTTTTTGTTTAATTTGGTTCTTCAGGCATTGCTTTTGCTTTTGTTTATTCACCTACTTTGCCTTAAAACTGTGCAATTCTAATCTACATTTGACTCAGTGGATGACATTGAAGCAAAAATCAAACATTAATTAGAATCTAGAGGTATAAAAGGAATGACATGACAAAAAGCTTAGTAAAGGACAAAAGTCGGTTTATTTTTCTCCTTTGCTTTTCATTACCAAGAAGGAAAGCAGCAAAAACCAGGATGAGCCAAAACCTTCAATTGCCTACTCATCATTGGTGTATGCATGATCTCATCGCTGTTAATAATTAGTGACCTTCACGAGCTTCTTGTCTTCTTGAAGAACTTTCTGCCCCTTCATCATTGCGAAAAGCATGAAATTTGATCTCCCATGAATATCTTCATCGCCGACCTGGTTCTAGAATTCAACCCCATCAAAATCTCAACGCCAATTATTCTGAAATCAGTAGCTTCAGCTGGGGGCCATATAAATTTATTTGGGTTACCAAACAGAGTAAACTATTTATTCATGTAATCAAAGAGATTTGGTAAGTAGGGACTGGAATTTGGCAGAGCTCCAATTAAACTCTTAGCTGTCATATGTCCTCTGAATTAAAGAACAAAACTTTTTTTTTAACTTCGATGAGAGCCCAACTCCCAAATCTTATCCGGGTCGAATATGCCTATAAAATTCATGTGGATGCACCACCCACATTTGTCCTTGTGGGCAGACCTGTTGGCAAACATCCAAACTGCAACAACAGGCCAATGCCACGTAGTGCATTTTTGAAGAAAAGAAAAGGCCGAAAGGGCTCCACATTTCACTCCCCCGAGGATCATGGATTTTAAAAAGACAATAATATTTTGCTTTGCTTCTACTTGACCTCATTCTAAAGCTTGGCTGTATTTATTTGTTCTGATATGATAAAATCATAAAAGTAGAAAGTTCATTACTAAAGCAAACAGTTTCCCCTTTTTTTCTTCTTGTATGATACAAACAGACAGGCACCTAACTTAGCACTTTAATTTGCTTGAAACCAATGGAGTTATGCAACTCATTGTAGTTGCTGAGCCCTGAGCCAAGACTTATTTCATTGCCATTGTTGTTATACCTATTTATTCATTCAATGTGAGCTGGAGACACCTTTGAGCATGGGCGACATTTTTCTGCTCCAAATTCCATCAAATTATGCATAATCTAGTCGCAGTTTTGTTATACCTATTTATTCATTCAATTAACAAGGTTAACCTCCACATTCGTTAAATCAATATACATTTAACTCTCACATCATCATAAAAAAATATAAATATTTAGATTTTTTATCACGATACTCACCTTTACTTTTTGCTTGAGTTTGCTCAAATATCATCACTAACATTTCATCAATATATTATTTCACAACAGATTGATTGATTTTTAATTTGTTTAAAATTATTAAATGAAACTCAATCTAACTATGGATCTTAAATGTAATCCACACTTATCTTATTATCACCCACTTGACTCTTATTTTAGTTTCACATGATCTTTTCATCAAATGTCAACAAACCTAATTACATCACTATCTATTATCTGATATTTAAGATAAAAAAGAGTTTTAGCTGCAAAATTTTGAATCTTCTCTCCTAAGTTTCCTTTTTACGCTGCAATTTACTTCATTTTTTCAAAAAAACTCTAAATACTTAACTGATTTGAGCGTTGGACCATGTCTAAAAAATCAACTCCAACATCCCAAATCTTATTTTCTTACTGCCTGTCCCAACCTTCCTTTTATCACCTTGTACATCATCATCAAAGCTCCTCAATTTACCACTTCCCAAATCATCGTCAACAAGCCTGTAGCCTGTAGCCACCATAATATAAATCCAACTATACTTTTGATTGTTTTTTCTTTTATTATTTTGATGATCAATTACTTTAAAAACTTTTTCAAACTTTCATTCACTCATAAAACAAGAAATCCAATAAAATGATAAAATCCCATTAAAATACTAACTATTTAAGATCACTAGCAGCAGTTTTAACCATTCCGGTCAATGCTTCTCCAGTCCATTAGGTTCGCCAGTTGGTGAGTGGACCCTAATGTTTGAGACCCGCAGCTAAACATCAAATCTTAATAATTGACTTCGGCTGAAAAAAAGAGAAAAACACCATATTCCTTGCTTTAATTCTAGCATGCGTGACAGAATCATTCTCAAAAATGTTAGCAGTTCCTTTTGGAGTCATCAAGAACACTGCCAATGGAGGGGACAATAATCATATGTACAATTCCTTCATGTCTATCAATATATCAGTACTCCATATAATAATAAAACAATAAAATTCTTGTGGGTCTAATCTAATATTTTCTTTTGCTGTGGAAATGATGAAGAATCAAGGATTTTAAAAGTGTTTAAAGTTTAACCTATCAACCGACGTTCATTAGGCCCCTACATAAGCTTTAGTTTCCTGATGAAACTGGTGCTCTGAATAAATAAAATGTAATGTTCCTTAAAACCTTTCTATAGTTTTTTTTTTTTTTTTGGTAATAGGGTGGCCATGGGATTTCTAGTTCGCATGGATTTTCGCAAAATTAACCTACCACTTTCTCACTGAATTGAGAAAAAGATAGGTGAAACTTCCAACAAGCATTAACCCCAAGTTAAGGTTTCATCAAAGATAAACAAAAGGGATTGATCAGATGCTCTTTCTGTCTGCCACCTCTTGCAGATAAGAGATGAGCGATCATTATTAAGAAAAGCTCCCATTGGCTCTCTACTTTCTTAGCTGATTCAGGGTTTGGTTATTGAACCAGACAGACAAATGACTCATGATTAAACCATGTGGCTGTGGCATGTGCAAGCGTGACCTTACGTCTCAAAGTTTAATTCACTGTATCTTATCCATGACCTGACACCGACTCGGTTGTCACTTGTCAAAGAGTCGTTGGGGGCTCCCCCTCTGCGAATCTAGAGGACTTAGCTGATCTAAGCTAGCTACAATCCACTCGTGCGGGGAATAATTCAAGTAACTTTCTTTAAAAACTTGACATAGCTACATAGATCATTTTCAAAATTGACGCACCTTTAATCCAACGATCGACTGGGCTGTTGCATATTGCATTCAGCTTTTTGGAAGACTTGATTTGGAGAATTGGAGCTTTTCCTATGTCTTCACTCTTCAATTTATGTTTATTTCAATCTTGTCAACGCCTTGGATCAACTTAGATTAGGTTTGATTTTATTGTATTTTTAATGTGATGTAATTAAATTTATTATATTATTAATTAAAATTAAATATTAATTTTAATAAAATTTATTTAATTAAAATTTTTTATTAATTTGTTAATTATAATTATAATAATAATAATTTTTATTATAATTTTTAATTTTATTAAAATCAATTTCATGGATCATCAAAATTAAACTTTAATTATATATATCTCCAATTCTCTTAAAACATTTCAAGGAACATATATAGCAAAAACATTAAATACATCATGTTGCATGAATATAGATGTTACAATAGACATGAATCGCTTGCCCAGAACTGGATTTTCTTATTTGTTTTAAACAAATTTCTTCATGAATAAATAATAATAATTTATAATAATCTTGTTAATCAAGCAAAATCAAATTAAGGGGCCCAACGTCTCCTTTGTCTGCCACGCCTTCCGAGTGCAATTTCGTACTGTGTGAACACACAGAGAAAACCCGCCAATTAAATTAACGGACAAAAAAGAAAATAAATAAAAACGGAGAAAAAAACTTTTTTTTCAAAAATTACAAATTGTTTAAATTAGAATCAAAGAGAAAGAGAAACAAAAAGCAGAGCCTTCATCGTGTGGTAGTTGCTGTTGCAGAGCAGCTTGAGGCGGTGGAAGCGACGGAGAGAGGCGGAGATTAAGAGAGATGAAAAAAATTAACAATCAAACCGCCAGTCTTAACTCTTTAAATAACGGTTGCAAATTTCTAGGTTTCTCATCCAATTAGATTCTCTCTCTCATTCTCTTTTTTCCTCTCTTTGATTGGAGATTGTGTACGTTCTCCATTCCGATGAATTTGTCTCTCCTTTTTGGAAATTTCTGACATTTTCCAAATCTTCATGTTTAAATTTTAAATTTTTCGAAGATTTTTTGGTCAAAGATTTCTCTTTTCAATTTGGATCCAAGAACAGCAGAAAAATCCAAACTTTCAGTTAAAATTCAAAACCAAAAGAGAAAAACAATTAAAAGTTTGCATCTTTTTTCTTCTCTTTTTTCCTATTATGATATATCTTTTTTTTTAAATCTCCGTTAAGCCTAAATTAAAAAAAAATGCCATTGAAAACCTTTGTTCGGGAGATTGGAAATATATCAAAGAAAAGTTCAGCGAGGGAGCATAAGCTTAGGCGGGGACGAGCTCATATTGCTCCAGAAGCTTCTTCTTCTTCTACACCAGTTGGTTCTTCAACTGCATTGATTGAGCAAGGGCAATGGGCAAATTTGCCTCCGGAATTACTTTTAGATATAATACAAAGAGTGGAAGCTAGGGAAAAATGTTGGCCAGGGAGGAGAGATGTTGTTGCTTGTGCTTCAGTTTGTAGGTCATGGAGGGAAATTACTAAAGAGATTGTCAAAACACCTGAACAATGTGGCTTCTTAACCTTCCCCATCTCTTTAAAGCAGGTAAAATTTTAATCTTTTTGCCCTTTATATCGAAGAAGTTCGGTCTTTAAGTTACTTAGATTGTTGGTGTCTTTCTTTTGGTTTAGCCTGGACCAAGGGATACTCCGATTCAATGCTTTATTAGGAGGGAAAGGGCAACTTCAACATATAGATTGTATATGGGTCTCAGTCCTGGTAATTTTTCCTTTTCCTTATCATTTTTTTCTGTTAGCGTTTTTTTGTTTTGAGTGTTTTATATTTGTTTTTTGAAAATGGGTGTTTTGATTCTTAAAATTATATGTTTCAGCTTAGTAATATTTATTAGTATTTGTGAATTTACAGCTCTGTCTGGTGATTTGAGTAAACTGTTACTGGCAGCAAAAAAAGTCAGAAGGGCTACCAGCACTGATTTTGTGATATCTTTAGTTGGGGATGATTTCTCTAGATCAAGCAATAATTATGTTGGAAAGCTCAGGTAAGCTTTTAGATGCGTGATATTATTATTGTTTTGAAGGGTTAGTCCGTTCTTTTTGCAATTTAAGAGGGAAGCTTTTGCAGGTCTAATTTCTTGGGAACCAAGTTCAACATTTTTGACAGTCAACCTCCTCCTGGCTCTAATGTTCAATCCAGTTGTCAATCACGTCGGAAAACTCATTTGAAGCAGGTGCTTCCAAGTGTCCCTATGAGTAACTATAACACGGCCAACATATCTTATGAGCTCAATGTTCTTCGCACCAGAGGTCCAAGGAGAATGCAGTGTATTATGCATTCCATCCCCATATCTGCGATTGAAGAGGGAGGAATTGCTCCTACTCCAATGGCATTCACAAATTGCCTTGATGAGGATTCTTCTCCATTGATAGATTCAGAAGGAAAAAAGCCACAAGTTGGATTCAACTCAACTGGCTATGGTAGATCTCCGAAATCAGTGCAAACTGCACCCTTAGTTTTGAAAAATAAAGCTCCTAGATGGCATGAACAGTTGCAGTGTTGGTGTCTAAATTTTAAAGGACGAGTTACAGTGGCTTCTGTTAAGAATTTCCAGTTGGTGGCTGCTGTGGAGCCCAGCCAAAATGTTACAGTAACGGAACAAGAAAAAGTGATTCTACAATTCGGGAAGATTGGTAAGGACATTTTCACCATGGATTATCATTACCCACTCTCTGCCTTCCAAGCCTTTGCAATCTGCTTAAGCAGTTTTGACACTAAACCTGTTTGTGAATAACAATTCTCTTGTTCCCTTTGCTACGGGTATGATCAGGCTAGTGTTCACAACAATTTGGTTGTACATATTCTCTTTGGAGGCACTTTAGATTTTGCCATTTTCTTCGGCAACCGCCTTTGTTACTCGGCATACTTCTTATGTAATGAGAGCTACACGCATGTATTTTAAGTTTTATTATCTATTTGCTTTTGAAATGCAAGCTCTAGACTCTCCCTCTAAGCATGTTAGATGTAGCTTCATCACATTCTGTGACATATTTTAAGATTGCAGTACAAAGTGTATTTTGTTTTACATAACAATATAACATGACAATACAAAAGGCATTATGGCTCAGGTGCTGGGTTCTGGAAAATATGGTACCCTTATCAATGTATCATAGTCATTCTCTTTATGCTGTATGAATATGCTGTATGCAAACTGGTAGGTAATTATTACAAAGTTGCAATTTATGTGGTCAGAGAGCCCCAGTCTCCTTTTCTTTGTTCTTCTGCCCGCAACTATAGCGACAACCATGCCGTTGAGGCTTTTCAGGATTATCAGGGTCTGAGTCACTTGGTTCTGCAAGAAGCCCTCTGAGGCATCTTCTTCTTACTCTAGGCTTATATATAAGCTTCTCTGCTGGTTTAATGTTCAATTTAGCCTTGGGTATAGGCTCTGCCTTTTCACTAGACTTGGTTGATTCTGGTAAATTATGTAAAAATTTCACATAAACGCCAGGATTTCTTTCGTTCACCGAGCTTTCTAACACAATTGAATTATTGATGCTTTGTGTGTTACTATTGACACATGCTCTTGGTGTTGGATTTTCTTTGGTCATTGAATCATTAGGCTTTCTTCCCCTGGAGCTTCCCTCTTCATCAGTGGTAGCATCAGGGCTATCATCTGGGTTGATCTTATAACCTCGGTGAATGTGGACTGGTCCATCCTTTTTGGTTGATTCTGAACCCAAGTGGAAAGATGCTCCTCTGTTTTCTCCTGCTAGGGTTAGAACGCTGATAACTTTTTCATCTGTAGGCAGCTTTGGTTGCCCTGTGGCCAGCTTAGGAAATAATTTAGAAATATCTTCCCTGATCTCTTTGTGCAGGGGAGCTTGTTCCCAATTAGAAGTGACATGCTTTTGATGAGAATTATTTGGCGTGTTCCTATCTTTTGGATATTTTGAGCTCACAGTTTTAATTTGTTTTTCATCAGTGCTTGAGGTTGTCCATGTCTTCTTTCTTTCAATATCTTCTTGATTTTCCTGGTGTCTTTTTCCTGTTTCAAAAGCAGCCCCCAGAAGCTCTCTGGTTTTTGTCCCAGCTTCTGTTGATGCAGCAAGAAGATTAGTAATTGTTCTCTGCTCTATCTCTTCATGAATTGAACCCTTTGTTGCTGCTTTCCTCTGTTCTTCTGCAACCTTCTTCCCTTTTCCCCTTTCCTTTGGCTTTACTGCTGCTGAAGGTGCTTCTGTAGCTGCCACAGTAATTGGTGCAACTTCTTTTACTTGGGCTGATGGCTCTGAAGGCTTTACTGCAACACCAAATGGTTGAAAAGTGGTTTCTTGTGAGGCCGGTGATGGTGGTTGAATAGAAGTAACCGGTGGTGATTTTTTGGCTGGAGACAAGGTTTTTGGGGAAGCAGCTTTAAGCCGGGGAGTGGCAGCGGCTGACAGCCAAGGGAGTCGAAAACGAAAACGAAAACGTGGTCTCCGATCTCCCATATATGATAAGAAATAGAAACATAACAATGAATAACAATAGAGATGAAAGGTATTTGTGGTTCTTGCTGATGATAAAAGCAAAGTCTGCATATATATAGGTTTAGATTCATATGCCATGGAAAGTCTAGGAGACATTTGCACTTTGTTCTATTCTCAACTTTCTTCTTGCTTTATGAAAGGACAAACAATTTTATGAAATATCCTGGACTGTTTAGACAGATTTTTTCTTGTCTGGCAGGTCTAGCATCTTTTTCTTTATTATTATTATTATTTTTGCCTTAATGCGTTACATGTCTCTTGTTCAAGACTAGGAATTGATATTCTTTTCTTAAAGGCCTTCGAGTTTATACTAGCCTCAATGTCAGCTTAAAGAGCATAAATCATACTTCCACGTGATTCATGGGTTAACTTCCGAGGATCAAAGTGTTTTTTTTTTTGTTTTTTTGAAGTGCCAATTAAAAGCCTTCTTCTAGCGGCTTTGAGGATAAGATAGGGCTTGAATCTAGCAGATGCCAGATTTCTATTATGTTACTCTCCGGACAGTTACCTGGCTTGCTTTAGTCTTTGTATGAAATGATTTAAGCCAGGGGAGAACCAAAGTTGCAAAACTAATTAAGAACATCCATATCTAAAACGATGATACTTGCACCTTAGAATGCTTCATTTCTTCCAAGTTTTGTGCTGTACCTCTTAATCTTGTTTTTTTTTAATCTAAAAATTTTAAACACAACATAATGATACAATAGAAAAAAAAAAAGAAAAGACAGATTCATACTTTATTCCGTCTTTCTGATCCATTCACGCAGTTGTTAGCTTCCCGGTTAAGCCTAACATGAAAGCAAGGAACATTCCAACAAAATGAAGAGCAAATCCAAGTTTTCCTTTTCCTTCGTCCAGTTAATCAAGTAAAGAATTGCTTTAATATAAATTCTTGCTTCTACACCATAGAAAAGAGACCAGGTTCCTTGCTTCATTCCTCGAAGGTATGTAACTTATCACTTTATTTTACTATCATTTTTAAGCATTATAGATCTATATACACACCTGAAAATGTTCATTGTCATGGCAAATATTAAGGGTTTGAATTACATTTAAACAAAATATTTATAACCTACCTTAACGTACCGTACAAGTGCACTTATTTTTTATAGCTATGAACATGGTGACAACCCAGGAAGGAATGCGCAAATTGCCAAATACCTCCTCCTATGTGTATCAGTAGAGATGGAAATGGCAAAGCTGGGAGTCTAGAAAAGCACACACCTGTATTAGTTTAAGGCATTACAAAAGTGAGATTGACAAAATCTGCAATCTAGATACATTAAAAATGCCGAAACCAACAAATTGCATCAAGGGAGAAACCAACCTACATCTTTCCCAAAATTATTACGAAGTACTGTGATTCAAGAAAACATTAAAGCTTGTCTCACCTGTTTAAACAAATTACATCCCACAGGCCACTCAGTGAGTGTGCTAAGATTCTAAATTTAACTATCTAACCTTTGTTGCACGCAAAGGTTTCAGAATCATCACTTCTAATGACCAGGCTATCTCTTTGTGGGTCTTCTCTGGCTGAAAGCCTGAGATGCCATTAGGGCGACCTTTAATTGCTCTGATGCAATAAAGCCCTTGGCCTCCATCAGCCCATGTATCCTTCGAGCATCCTGCACAAAACCACCAGCTATAAGTGCATTGATAGTTCTCTCAAACTCTTTGGGACCCAATTCCTCCTTCTTAGCTTCCAAAACTCCAAGAGCCTGAAGAGCTTTTTTCTCAAATCCAGCCCTCGAGTACATATCACAGAGGCTTACATGAACCTTTAAAGGAGGAACTTCACCCAGTTCAGCAATCTTGCCCAATAGCTGCTCAGCCTCTTCAACCAGCTGCAATTTACCCAACCAATCCACAAGAACAGTATACGTGGCAGTTCCAGGTTCAAAACCATCCTTCTCCAGCTGCATTAGAAGGTTTAAGGCCTTATCCAACAAATTTTTCTTCTCATAAGCTGCAATCAAGCTAGCAGTGCACTTGTCATCAGGTCTGTGCCCAAGTTTTATCATGTTGTCAAAGTTGCTCCTAGCTTGATCAGGATCACCAGCTTGGCCATATGCCTCCACAAGCAATGAACAAGATTCCATAGTCGGTTGGAATCCTGCAAACTGCATGGTGGTTGCAATTCGTCCAGCTCCCACAACATCACCACTATGAGAATAAGACCGAAGCAATGCCATGTAAATCTCCTCTGAAGGTTTGATGTCTCTTGTTTCCATCTCTCTCATCAATGACTCAGCAGACCTAGGTTCGCCAGCATTAATGTAGGCCATTATCATTGAGTTGTAGACCTTCATGTCTGGTTGGAAGCCATAGTTCCTCAAGCTTTCAAATGCTTCTTTAGCACGGGCAACATTATCCGCCTTGCTATACATGTGAACCAGAACCGTGGCAGTTAAAATATCAGGCATTTTACCATTTTCAACCATCTTCTTAAGGATTCTCTCTGCATCTTCTAGGCGATTCTCTTGAGCATAGGCATCAATCAGTTTTGTATAGTCAGGAACGTTTGTTTGGAAAGATTCTTCACCCAAGACAAGTTCTGCTACCTATAAATATTCAACATCATAATAGCAAGTTCAGAATTTATAGCTCCACTATCACAAATGATGCAAATACTCGTATTTACACGCATGTTATTAAAATAGGTCCTGAAGAGAACCATGCATCCAAATAAATATACAACAAATCTATAAAAAAAAAGTATTTATGTTTTGCCATAGCAGCCTAAAATTAGATAAAATTTTATTAAACAAATACGTACTTTCTTAGACTTTGGGATCTCCATGCAAACAGACACCTATAACTAAGGATCTGTGATTTCTCTCTCATTCTTCATATCAATTATCTGTATAGTTACAAATGAAAGAGAGAAATGCTACAAGAGATCTCTTCACCCTCAAAGTTAAATGGCCATGGTCTATTACTAGTATGAACAGGATAAAAATTTATGAAACAAGAAATAGAAATACATAGCCCCATAAACCAAATCCATAGGAACCTTTCCACTAAGAGACAAAAGTCAACAAATATTCTCAAGCTAATGCTTTTCAAATAAATATAACAATCTTATTAAAATGGTCATTCTGAGAAGCACAACAATATCAATGCTAGAGCGACACATTAAAGTGGAAGTTCAGCAGGGAAGAAATTATTATTTTAGGCAGATTCGGTTGTTGTTGGATGCAGATATACTACTTCTTAAGTGTTTGAACAATAACATATAATTATAAATGGAAGGGATAATTTGAAAGAGAAATAAGTAAGAGCAGTACTTCATGATCTCTGGGAAGAAAAAATTCTAAAACTTCTTATATATATATATATATATATATATATATGTATATATCACCAACTTGCATAGGACAAGAAAAAATCAGTACTGATCATCAATAATATGGGATGTAATAACAGAAAAGTATCATGCAAAATTTTGTGACAACATGGGCTGAACAAGAACAAAACTATACCTTTAAGTGTATGTCAGGATTCTGTTGTCCCAATCTCTCAAGCAAAGTGATCCAGTCAACACGACTAGGTTGCAAAAGCTCTATCCATTCAGCCAAAATCTGTGAGGGATCATCCTCCTTTTTTAGTGAAAGAATTTTCTCCATGACCAATTTGCACTTCCCAGATATTGGCTTTGGCTCCTGAATTTCCTCTCTCTCTTGGATTTTATCAGCCACTTCAGCCCACTTGGGATCTGATAAATCCAGTCCATAGATCTTATACTTTAGCTTTCCCTTTCTTTTTGGAAGAGATGCAACGCTAGGCTTATCCTCTGCTACAACAGCCTGTTCATTGAAGATCTTTCCATCCTTTGCTGGCTTTTCATCCCTCAGACGATCCAAGCTCCTATAAAAGTCATTCTCCTCCATCTTCTCTTTAGCCCATTTGAACCGGAGCTCCCTCAACAAATCCCCACGAATCCCAGCTTCACCAGCAAACCGACACATTTCTTTCACTTCTTCGGATTGCAAAAACTGCTTCATTTTTTCCTTTTTCCTTGCCTTCTCCATATCCTCCAACACCATATTACTCACCTCCCATACCGTCCTCCACAAATCTTCACTAAAATCCTGTGATGGCATTGCCACTGTGGAACCAAGCGTCTGCTTAATACCACCCTTCTCCATCTCTTCCAAAACCTTCTCAACAATAATCAAAAGCATCCCATCAATTATCTCCTTATCACAATCCGTGTATACTTCGGATAACTTGCCCCTCATTATCCAAAAGAATCGCGATAAGAACTCATTCACTGTTCCATCCTCCTCTTCCTCAGAATCAGACGCAAGTTTTGCTTCAACACTAGCATAACTTAGCTTAGTTTCTAGGGTTGAGTGAACATATCTAATAAAAGGGAAAATGGGTTTAGGGATTTTAGGGTTGTGAAGATAAGCAGAGCTTTGAAAATTACTTAATGGATGATGGGAAGGAGATATTGCGGCCGAAATGGTTGAAAAATATTTGGAATTATTAGAAACTGATTTTCCATTGATTTTTGATAAACTACTGATTGTTTTCCTAGAAATTAAATGCTTCAAGTTCATGTTTATTAAACAATAGGAGCCAAAACACTAATCCTAAATTCCTCAGAAACTTAAAATGAACAAAGAAACAAATAATTATAACTGCAAATACCTTGGAGATAAAAACTTAGAAGAGAAATGAAGGATGGAAATCAAGAGAGTGGAGCCAGTCTGTTTGGTTCTCGGGAAAGAAAGAACGGGAGAGAAAGAACAAGAAACTAGCCGTGAAAGATGGGCGTAAGCAAAGCTTAGATTTGAGGAGTTTTGTGGAGGGACTGCTGACGAGGGAGAGAAATAGGGGGTTTTTGGTAGGGTTCGTTCGGTTCTTTTCCTTTTCTTTTTTAAATATCTATTTTATTTATTACTAAAAAGTATTATTTATTTCTTTTTCAAAATTTTTAGAATTTCATTTGGAAATTCAAATTGTGATTATTATCGTGATTAATATTAATTAAAATTCAAGAATTAAAATGTAAAATTTAATTCGATTAATTTAAAAGATAATATTTAACAATGAAACTTAAATCTCAATATTTACAATATTTTTTAAATTTATATTTATATACTAATTATATATAAACTTTACAAATCACATTATTAATGAATAAATTTTAAAAAATTAAATGTTTTAAAATGTATAAACTCTTTTTGACATAAAATTTGTATATTGTATTTATTTTCTTAAATACCAACATTGTAATTAATTGATTTGAGTATTTGAATTATAATTTGAAATAAAAATACTATATGTATTAAGATAATACCGGACTTCTAATACTTACATTAACTTATTCCTTATTTATTTCGTTCATCAACCATCAATAATTCAAAAATCATCTCATAAAAAATCAGGTTCAATAATCTGAAATAATGTTTGCAAAAAAAATTTCACACATTAAATTACAGATATGAAACAGGAGAAAACAACAAACAGGTAACATACTATTTACAAAACAAACTATGGGAAAATGACTATGAGAAACTACAGCACTCTGACTATAATATCAAATTTGAGCTAACAAATTCATGGCTAATCCCCTGATTCCTACAATGCCATATACACAACATGGATTAGTTGGGTTAGTATCCCGTTTTCTCAATGAAGAAAGCCGTTCAAGCAGCAAAATAAAAGGAAAAAGTCAATATTAGGCATGTGTAAACCTTGATAATTTCTTTCTCAGATATCCAAATGCCTTGGAAGATGATGGCTTTTTGACAATGAAGTTGTTGCTGGAGCCATGTGAGTTTTCTTGACTAAAAACAGTGCTATGAATAGAGCATTGAGCGGCATCACTTTTCAGCATGAATTCGAAGAGGCTAAGCAGTAGTAATGCATTCTCGGATCCTTTAGAACTGCCATTGACAGATATGCTGAACAAAGATTGGATTATGCTTTCTGTCATTATCATTTGACAATACCCTGTATTCTCATAGCATAATGAGAGGAGCACATCAAGAGCAAGTTCTTGTTCCTCCTTATTACCGGCTTCCAAGAGTGTGGCTATTGAACTACATAAATTGGCTTCTGCAACTTCAATTCTAACCTCCTCGGTATTGCATATATTGTTTATAATCTCAATGCAATAGCCTGCAACATTTGAATCCTCAAGAAAAGAAACCAGCTTGGGGATATAACCCAAATATGCAATATGGTGACCAACATCACTGCCATTAGACAAATTACATAGGATCTTCAGTGCAAGCATGCAAAATTTTGTGACTGTAGTATCAAGGACTTTTAGGATGGAAGGCAAAACGCCAGATGCCACAATTCTGGACTTATAGTACTGTTTCCAGGATAAGACTTCCAGTACTGCAAGGGACTCTCCAGCTGGCTCAGAATCCAACAATGTTGCCAACAAATAGATAACATCTTCATGACAAGGAGGTAATTGGATTCTGCAGGTAATAACAGATATTTTTATCATCATACAATTAGTGAGAACTTCTACTATCCTAGGACAATGGCAACTTGGTATGATAAATCAATGTCAAGAACAATATATCAAAGGCAGGGGAATATTTAGAGTTACCTGCTACTGCTCAAAATCGCTAAAAGCACCTCTGCTCCATCTTTTTGCATTTTTATATCACATATTTCATTTGCTTCCTTCAAAAATTTAATCACAGGAGAAACATAACTACTTGAAAAAGTCAAATGCTGGACCTTATCATTGTCTTCTAGAAAGCCTTTAACAGCTACAACAGCCTTGCATTGAGACTCCCAGGAATGTTTATCAAGTTCAGAAAGAAAGCCAGCATTGATGTCATGACTACTTGAAGTCATAGAAGAGTGATGATATCTTTGACTATGAGAATCTGCAGCAACCTGAGTTGGCACAGATGTAATCTCATCATTACATTTCCCGTCTAGTGAATCTACAATAGATTCAGAACTTATTGAACCAACTAAAATACTCTCTATTTGAAGTTGAAAACCAAGCACAGAAATGCCAAAACTAGCAATGGAGCAGGAAGAAGGTTTCTGTAAGGAAAGCAGTGAAGGGATTGGTCTTGCATGTTCAGGAATCTTGATTCCATGCCTCAAAACCCACTTTGAAATGAGACCCTTCATTGCTAAATTTGGAGTGACTGACAACTGCTCCAACCTTGTATCAGTCACCGGGCACATCTGATTGCCCTCATTAAACCACTTCTCTATCCAAACTCGTTCAAATGTTATTCCAGAAGCAATAATTACGGGATCATACAGCAGTCTCATAGAGATAGGGCATTTGAATTGCTCAGGATGTTTAGGAATGAAAAAGTCATTAGGTGAAGTCTCATCATCTTCTGTTTTCACTCCTTGCTCCAGCTCCATGGATAAAATAACGTTCTCTTCCTCCAGAGGAATGATGCTTTTAGATTGGAGTTGCCAAATTAACTTTCCATATTTGTTCAGAAGATGTAAGAGATAATTCAAGATTTTCCTCTTTGTTGGGTTCGTATCATGGACTTTTCTAAGTAGTTTCTTGATAGATCTTTGTTCTATCAAAAGGGAAAAAGGAGATGTAATGCTCAGCCTCAAGGCAGCAAGTCGAAGAGCCTCAATTTCTGATTGCATTTTGGAGCCTGATGCAGATCCGTCCTGTTCAAGCAGGGCAAGTATAACTGCTCCAGCCTCGTATTCAGAAGGTTCTAGAGGAAACCTTGCACTCCTAAGTTCATCTATAATTATAGATATCTGTAAACAATAATTTCCCCTGATTACAAAAATGGAAAGCTTCTAAAGGAAAAGGCTAAAAAAGACTGAAGATGGTACATAAATTTAAATCTTAGCCAAAAAAACTATGTATCTTCCTCCACTATAGTAACAATAGCACCAAATAACATGCATTAAAACAAGTAAATCATGCACTTTTCAATTCTCCAGCTAGCAAATTTCAAAAAGAGAAAAAGTCATGAAATATTACAAACCTTTGCAGCCAACAATGGTGGAACCATATCTTGAACCTGATTCAGGCAAATCTCCATGGTATTCCGAATTTTTTCACACCTTAAGAGTATCGCTTTTGCTGTAATTGCCTAAGTATTTCATAAATACAATTATTACCCAAATAATGTCAACAGAAACTTGAACATTATGTGAATGGCTTAATGCATAAATTTGACAGTCACAAACTAGAAGTGGCAATGTGAACTCAAAGTGTCAAGCTATTTGGAATTAAATGCTTACCACAGGGAACAAAATAATGCAAGGGAAGGATGAATATATCAAGAATGTAATAGTGTTCTTAACATTACATTTTGGTTGATTAGAAAACAAAAATGATATGCTGCATGAATGTAACATGGGTATTTATTTCATAATAAAATAACCACCTGGGACTAGTGATATCATTTCTAAATTCAGAAGATACTCCTTTCACATATAGTTTATTTCTTTTGAGAAAAAAAAGTATAAGTTAAAAAAGGAAAGTACCAAGTAGAGTTTGCTGGATTCAGAACAGTGCAGGATTAGTAACTTGGCTTTATCCATTGCCGATTGTAATGAGCATAATGCCCGCAGTCCAGATTCGCATCGGGGCCGAGAAGACTCAAGAGCTGAAAACATGTGCAAAATGCTATCAACGAGTTTCTTCAGCTCCAAGCACATTAAGCGATGCACCTGCATCCACTGGCAATTGTCAAGACCACAAACACGAATAAACTAGCAGTGGTGGCTTCCCTCTCAGTATAGAAAGGGAAAAGCAAGAATTTGAAATTGATGACTGGTAAGGTAAGAAAATGCAACCATTGGATTGCAAAAATGTTCGCCAAAGTGCTTTTTTTTTTTTTTTTTTTTACAAAAACAGAAGTTAAATTTCTTTCAAAAGGGGACCTTTTCTAGCATCTCTATTCTCTTGGACTCCAAGTCCTTAACAATTGGAATGTAGGGATGTATATACCTAATTCTGAAGGCAGCTAAAATTTCTCAAAGCCAAAATGAAACCTTCCATTGAGCTAGAAATTCAATAGCTCAGAGTCCTAATAACGCGAAGGCTATTAAGAAAATCTCAGTGCGATTCTATTATGCTAAAGTGAGGAAAACTATATGTTTTTCATAAAGTTAAAAAAAAAAAATTGATATTTAACTGGGAAGGCATCCAAAAATGAAAAGCCAGTGCCTTTTCTTACAAAGTAACCTATAGATTTTCACTCTTGGATTCAACTAAGGGATGCTATAGGATTTTCAATGAAAGCCTTCAGACTTATTTAACCCCATTCATTTTGGGGATGTCAAAAAATTATGGTCCAAAAGCTGGATAAAGCAGTTGATATTAACCTTAACGGTGCTGTAATATGGAAGATCAACATTCTCAGTAGCACCAAGTTCCATATTATAATAGTATCCTCACTCTGCAAGTTGACCACAACAATTTGAGTCCTCAAATGGTTATATTTGCAGAATACATCATAACAAATTTGAATTACAGTTACATGAATACTTCCACCAATTAGCTCAACATTATCCAGTCTATTAAATAAAATGAAAGGAGAAAGAATCGAGACCAGAGGATGGTTATGGACCAAGCCAAATAAACAGATAAAAAGAACCAATAAAGCTATAGGAGCATTACATATGCAGGAAATCATAAATTCTTACGATTATAGAGCTTTCTTGTTTGAGATTCTTCTAGTTGAAATACTGACCGAAAAAGGCGTCTCTAAACATGAGAAAAATTCCTATGAAGTCAGACGTTGTAATCATGAAAGCAAACTACGGTCACTTTTGCTTTCTCTTAAAGAGCAGTCAGGAATCAGCAAAGCCATATAATTTGCTGATTTATCGAACAAGCCAAGGCAAATTTGTTACTTAGAAAATAGCTTCAGAAATTATTATTATTATTATTATTTTTTATGTTGTTTGATGGAAAATTAAGGAGTGAAGGGAAAATAATTTACTGATTAATCGTGACATCATTTTTTTTGAAATTATCTTTTTTTTTAAAAAAAAAAGATAATTTTTTTAAAATAACTATTTATAACTAAGATCATTTATCAAGCTTTTGATTATAATTCAATTAAAGTCAGATCTTAAACATAACTTTTTAAGTATTAGTTTAATTTGATTTGGTGGGAAATATTATTTTATTTAATTTTAATTGAAAATTTAAAATATTAAAATTAAAAGTCTTTTAATATTTTAATTTAAAATATTTATATAGTTTTAATCAAGCTAAACTTCATATATGATTATTTAAGCTAGAATTTAACTTGATTTTATTTAAAATAGTATTATATTAATAAAAAGTAATTTTGTTTGATTTTAATTAAAATTATCAAAATATTAATCTTAATATTAATATTTAAAGTTTTCTAATATTTTCAATTTAAATATTTTCATTTTGTATATTATTAAACATAAATATTTTTAATATTTTAATAATAAATAGAATTATATCATTATTTTAATAATAAATAATTTTTTATTATTTCAATAATTAATATTGTTTAATATAATAATTTTTTAATAATAACATAAGATAGCGACTCTTTCTTAAGTGAAACCAAAATGCAGTCACAAGCAGGGGCTAAAATTCATTGCAAAAGCAAGTTCTCCAGAACTTGAAAATGAAGTAAACAGCATCTATGATATGCATGTTGATAATCAGTTTTTACTCTATATATTTCAGTTGGTCAGTCACTGCTTAAAAGTTAAACGTTAGAGTCTAAATATAATTAAAAAGAAAACTTACGTAATTACTCTACTGGCAAAACTTAGCATGATCTCCACAGAAGACCCGATACAGAAACATCAGAATGAACAGCTTATAATTTGCAGTCAGCTTCCCTAACTTCAACAAGTTCCCTTTTTCATTGTACAGTTGAAATACCAACTTAATTTTCAGTTGCCCAAGAGAGGAGCTGTAAGGGGAAAAGATCCTAGCAAAGCAAGACAATCACAATGAAAATATAGGCTAAAGGTACCACATAGCCATCGAAGTGATACATACAAAAAATATAAGAGAAAACAGTTATGAGGAAAATTGTCACCGCCTTCTTGAGGAGAAACCAGAGTTTTATACTAGTATTTGTTGGTCAAACTCGACATTTCCACAAGAAAGTTTCCAGGAGGCGGCTGTTACTTAACTTTTGACCGATTACAAGTCCGCCAAATGCTTTGATCATTAGGTTGACTTCTTCAGAAATGGGTAAGAAAGAAGGTTTAAAAAGAAAACGGACGTTAATGCCACTAACTTAAAATCACCAAAATAAGACTTAGTATTAACTTTGTTATGACTATTATTATATATTATTTACTATCTACTTTCCACTAAGTTTTGTTTTATTACTTGTTATTGAATAGGAAACTATTTCTTCTGCCATTCATGATATTAGCAACCTGAATCTATGATCCAATTGAAACCTTATATATGGTACTAGGAAAAATAAATATAGAAAGCAAAAGTAATCCTGATTTTCCTAACGCGGTAATACTACTTACGAACAGCATAAGCATAGTATATGGTATACTTATTAAAGTAAGTGTCTTGAACGTGTGCGCTAGCTGCCAAGAAACATGAAGGGACACAAGCTAGACTTTTCAATGACTTTTTTGTCAGGTCGTAGACAAATGTAAATGCAAAACATGAGTTTGAAACGATAGAAGCCAGTGATTCTTAACTATTTAACCAACAAACTGAAGACCATGAAACATCTCGACGACCCTAGAGTGGACTTAGAACAAGAACAGTCACTTGACTGCCTTTAAATCAAGGAAAATTGAAAAATTATAATTCTTATCATTTTCAATCGATATTTTATGATTATTTTTTATTGTTGAGTCTTATAACACACGAGAAGCAGGTGGTATACAATGCATACTATCGCTATTGGAATGAATCTACCTACCCATTTATCAGCCATCAAGTATGAGGTTCTGTTCTACATTTCTAGCATATTGTCTGAAGAACTATAAAACATTATTAATAAATCAAAAGAATTTATGTAAGTATCACCAATTTCATGCAAGAGAAGTACCTGATTGCCAAAGGACACTGTGTAATTGCTGTTTGCACACCATTATTGAGCATTATAATTGAATCGGTCTATAATAATGGTTTACTTGATCATCAATGGAAAGAGTCAAATGAGCAAACTTGCAGAAAAACTTATCATTAGAATTTATAGGATCAATATCGACAGATATACTGTGTAGCTCTTTGGTGACTACTGGAATCTCAGCCTATGCCGCTAATTACTCTTAAGAATTTAGGCGACAATGACGCTATAAGCAGGGTCTGTGCTCTATCATGGGCAGGCAGACGTGTTCTTCTGACTCCAATGCCATGCCTAAGCAGTTACAATGAAATAATACCATATCCAGACTTTCTGGAATTCATAATTGGTAGTATTGTATAAGCAAAAAGTTTCACTTGTATCCAGTAGCAATCCAATAAAATAAACATTGCAGAGCAACGCAATATGTACACCAAAGCAGTAACGAGCAAAGCCCATGAACAGATTACAGATACAGAAAACATTATTGGCACCTTACCAAAAGACACAAACCACCCAACCAAATAACCAAAAAACAATAGGACCCAGTGTTCTTTCCCACAATCCCTCTTGGCTCAAAAAAGCTAGGAATCAGTAAACTAGTTCCAAAGTAAAAAAAAGTAAGTTGGCTATCCGTAATCATTATTGGCATATTGCTTCATAGAAATTTCACTTATTACAGGATAGAATAAAAGCAGAATTCTTGATAATTAACAATGTATTGTTGATTTGATGATATTTCTTATCGAATAATCTCCAATTGCTTCAATTGGAACTAAGAGTGAATCTCTTTGAATATGGTTGAATACTTTCTTTGTCAAAACGTGGCAGTTTATTGTCCAGGAGACAGACATCAAGAAACCCTCGAGTCTAGTATCCCAAACGTGGCCCACGGGAACTTAGAACGACCGCCCAGGCAAAGAATATAACCTCTTTGTTTCAGAACAGAGGATTTGTTGGCCAGGAAGGAAAGCATAGGAAAAGGGAGGCACTTCAGAATCCTTCTCGCATTCATCAATGGGAAACAACACAATTATGCGTTAGTTTAACCAATCACAGATCTCTGGCCTATGCCCATATCTTCTTTATCAGAATAAAAACCAAGCCAAATTATTAAATCAATGTCCAACATGACAAACGAGCTTTTGTCACTTCAAGCTACAAGATGGTGGAATTCCACTCCATTGGATGCTTCACGAAAATCAAGCATCTGCTCCTTTTGGGACATTCCATGAGCAAAACACGCATTTGACGCGTAGATTCCTTCTAAGATTGGTCTTCGGGCTTTCAATATCCAAGTGAGTGGATGGTGTATCAGTGGAGTAGACTACTCCAGTAGCTCAAAAGGCACTGGTCTTTGCTTTGACATTTAATATCCAAAAAGCTACCACGAAAAACCAATAGGACTAGACTTTTTAAGTCCTCCTAAATTTTAGAACAGGTTTTGGCGGATACACAATTATTCATATGAACGCACACGAATTTATCAGTTCCAATCACAGGAAAGGACCACATGACACGGTTTCCACGGAACCCATTAACATAACTTTCGCCTGAGGGGACCTGAGAATTGACATGATAAGGATTCTACATTTCCAAAGATCTAGAGGATTTTGGTGTGGGTTCCTCGCGGATTTACCCGTCATATAATGGCCCATATGGATAAAATCAAGCCAAGAACCAAGCAATTTCTCTAGCCCCAATCATTCGACACCCAACAATGTAAGATGAACCCAAAAAAAAAAAAAAAGGAAATTTTAAGATAAAAGGTGCAAAAACTAACATTGTTCTTTTAGATAAGCTCCCTGTTACTAGTCATTTTTATATTTCTTAAAGAAGTAATGTGATAAATGATTTAAATTTTAATAAAATATTTAACATAATATTTAAATTTTTAAAATTTATAATATGATAATTAAATTATAAATTTATTAATTAATATAATATAAATCTTTAAATTTTTAATATAAATTAATATTTTATTTGGAATAAAATTTCATTTAAATACAAATAAAAATAACAAAAAATTATTTAAATACAATAAAAATATAAAGTTTTATTTAAAAATAATTCAGAAAATTTTTTAATATTTTAAAATTTTCAATTTCAAAGAACTAAAATGCTGCAGTGAACGTTAGTCCGCCAGTTTGAAAATTTTGACGCGAACGCGGTCCTACCAAAAAGTAAAAGCTTAAAGTGCGAGAACCGCCTTGCATACTAAGAATCAAAGGCAGGGGCAACGCACCTTCTGTATCAATGACATTTCTTTTTTTTTTAATTTGGAAAAAGGTAATTGATGAACCCACACCTAACAGTAACAACTACTAAATCTGGTTCATGAATGGGTACTTAAAATCACATAGTATTTAAAGGAAACAAATAAAATATATAATTGATCGAATTTAAATTAATATAATATTAAATTTAAATTTGAATTTAAGTATGATTTTAAATTAAAATTTTAAAATTTAATTCAAATTTAATTAAATTTTATTTTTTTAATTTGAATTCAAATTAAGATAAAAATTAAATTATTCGAATTCATTTACTTAGATTCAATTAATATAAAAAAATAAACTTAATTTTTATATTTAATAAAAATTTAATTATTTGTATTAAAAAATAAATTTAAATTCGAAATATTTTATTAATTAAAATATATTAAAATATAAAAATTTAATTAAATTCATGAATTATTCAAATTAAATATAAAAATAATCGAATTCAACTTTATCAATAGATCAAATTATTTAAATTTAAACTCAATTTTATAATAATTAATTTGAATTTAAATTTTATTCGAATTAAATCTAAATAATATATGAATATTAATTTATCATTTATACCTCTAGTTAAGAAATTATAAACATGAAAAGATATCTTTTTCAAAAGGAAAATGAACATTTCATCAATCCAAATCAGGGAAAAGCAGCAAGAAGCCTTAAAAAGGAGAGGAAACCCCAGAACAAACAGCATACAGTAAAAACCAACTAGAAGATACCCACTTGGGTTAGAGACGTTAATCTGGTGATTTATTAAGCCCATGAAAAAGGTTATAATGTCTGCCTTCAAGAAAGAATTGATGAACAACCCTTGCTGCACGAGAAGCAATATAAAGATCAATGAAAGAAGAAAAAGTCAACAATGGTAAATGGACCGTAATCTAAGCAATATGTATCAAAGAAAGACGTTGAGTCAATTCTATGGGGACCAAAAAAAGATAAGCATCAAATGGTGTGAACAAAATTGTTGGTGTTAAAGCCAACTTTCAGAGCCCTAAACTCTGTACGAGCTGAAAACTAGAGTAACAAATTTCCTTTTCTAATATAGTTACCTATATTGATACTCACAGACGGAAAAAGTGATTCAAAACTGACAATCTTCTAAAGCTTCAATTTCTCATCATTCTATATCATTAGATCCTGAGTTCATCGGCTAAACCTAACAAAATTAATCAAATTTCAGCCATCCTATAGAAATGTAGATAAATAAAATGGTAGATGTTCCAAACTGAGTTCTTGAGCCTCTGCAATGCTCTCTATTTGTTCCTGTTCTATTTGTTGTTCCTTGTATCGGTTTCTTCTGGTCGTAATAACGTCCCATTAGGCCCAAAAAGCCTACTTAAATTAATTAGAGAACCCAAATGAGAAGAGAGACAAAGGTCGTGAATATGGAAGGGTAGAATGGTAATTCAAGGTTTTAAAATGGCAGGAAGTAAACTGACACGGGATGTTGCAAAAAAACTGCACCGTTTCGCAATTAGAAAAATACAGACTATCACCGCACGTCTCAGCAAACGTCCAGGCGGGAAAAAAAGATATTTGGAATGTTGTTTGGAAGCCAAATGTCCATCTTCTAAGCTCCCGCACCAACACCGTACTAAATTCAAGAATCAACTTGATCAAAGTTGAAAAATAAAATAAAACGAAAAGTGAAAATATTTCTGATGGTAACCACACAGCCGAAAGTCCAAAAATCATGAGGAGGTCCCCAGCCGCCTTTAGCAATTGAAGGGATATTAATCAAACGTTACGAGATATGAAACATTAATGAAAATGAGAGAAGAGAATCATCCTTTCCCTTTTCAATCTATGAAGTTCATGTTCCTGTTTTACCAGAGCTGGATCATCAGGCCATAAATTGAATCAAAGTCCCCTCCATCTGTAGCTTTCTCAGCTACTACCATTATTTTTCTCATTACTTTTATTAGAAAAGAAGAATAAATTAACCATAAATAACACTCTCTAAATAGAGTATATTTTACCAAGTTGCCAGATAAGAGAACGAAGAAAATCATGTCTTCCCACTCAAAAAAATGGCAGAATATCTTATGGTATATTTTGCCGGTTTCAAAAGGAAGGTCGGGCATCATATTGTTGGAGTATCTATCTAATGGGTAGACTTTGTTTTGGGATCTAATCCCTACCATCTAATAAATTCTCAAAGAAATCAACTTGGTGATGAACTGATGATGATATTATAAAAGACAAGAAAAGGAATTCTATAAAGAGTCAGCCCTATGACACTGGATTCTTGTCCATCAAAGCGTTTGCTTAATTAAGCGAATCTACATCCTGTTGTGGCCCCAAAAAAAAGATATTCGCCACCTTGCACAAACCCACCACTGTTGCTCTTTATAAGTAGCGAGCAATGCAATTTCTTACTCATACCACCCCTTGACTTTGGTCTTCTCCCTTGACTGAGACAGCAATCTCTTTTTCCTTGCTAGTTTCTTTCTCTTTTGTTCGGTGAGAAGGCACTGAACTCATCTCCTCTTTAAGGTCTCATCTTGGTAGACATACATTCCTCTTCTCCAACTTTAGTTCATCTTCACATCCAACTCATCCAAGCTTTATCATATTCCTCTTTATTTTCATTTATCCCCGAAATAATAATAGCATCAAGCTCTATGGCTTCTTCACGTGATTCTAGCTCCCACTGGACTCCAAAGCAAAACAAGCTATTTGAGAAGGCACTTGCTGTATATGACAAGGACACTCCAGACCGCTGGCAAAAAGTGGCCGCTGCTGTAGGTGAGAAATCAGCCGAGGAAGTGAGAAGGCACTACGAGATCCTAGTGACGGATCTCATGTATATTGAATCTGGTCAAATCCCTATACCCAATTACAAAAGTACTGGGAGAAACAGAAGATGAATTGCTGGTGAGCAAAGGTAGAGTATTATTTGCACACTTAATACTTAGTACTACTCTTTGAGTCTTCTCTACTTGAAAACTATTACTCGTGCATCTCTATTTTCTAGCTCAACACCCTATTCTCGTTTAATAAACTAGTAAAACCACAATATCTAAACAGCCATCTTTCTTAAGACTTCCTGTGCAATGCCAAATGCTGTCAACTGATAACAGGGCCGTGGCAGGGCGTGGAACCAAGGTCTTCACAAAGCCAATAGGAATATGAAAAATCTGAGAAGTCTTTCATCTATATTCAACTCCTCCAAAAAGATTATGATTCACTATGTTGATGAGAAGTCAAAAAACCGTAGTTTCTAGAGGACACCCCTAACATGAAACACGGACGTGCCCTTGAGCTCCAAAAACGCAGCATATTATACTAATGAGGGATTTCTTTTTCCTTCTTTCATAATTATCTGACCCTTTCCTACCCTTTTTGGATACTTTGGAAATCACTTAAATAATGTTATCCCGTGTTCTTACCTAGCTAGGAAGGATTCATGGTATGATATCTAAAATCCCATTAAAAATTTTCAAATCTTTAGATTTTAAATTAAAAAAAGGTCTTTCAAAGCGGTTGTAATCATCCATGTTTTCTCTAACATGTCATGCACTGGCCTTTCCTTTTCTGCTAGCTAGAGTTCAAACCAAACACCGATCCTTATCTCCCCACAAATATTTTTTTATTACTTTATGTTGTTTTCTATATAATACTCTATCCATACCCTATTTCAATTTACTAAGATAAAGCTCACATGAAATCTAATCCTCTTTTGTTTAGATCGCATGCACATGGTCCTATATACTATAATTCAAAGAACTTGAACCCAATATCATAAAACAAATAAACTTAAATCAGTTAGCCAGTGCTTCACGTATTCATGTATTAAATAACCTATTTTCCAACTTTAAAATTTCTATTTCCTCTTTAAACCTTCATTAATAATCCCTAGACTTACTCTCATGACACTGCTTTTTCTTGGGTCATGAAGCCAATGTCCAATATTTCAGCTAAAAACAAATAATTTCCATAATCTAACTTAAATGGGCATTTGCACATGCCCCTCCTCTTATAGTAATCCAATTTTCTAGAAGGCACGATAATTTATATTTTAATTACTCTAATGTTCTTGTATTTTTAAATCTTCCGCAGGTTTATGAAGAATCTAAGGCTCCAATGAAGCAAAAGTTTCAGCTAAATTATCAGAGGATCTGTAAAAACTAAAAAAAAAAAGGCATAAATATAAAGAAATTGAGAATCAGCATCAAGATTCTCCCTATCTTTGGCTCCAAAAATATATAACAAAAAATCGAACTCTATAATTATTATTAAGCTTGTAAGTTTTGTACGGGATTTTCTAGTTTTAAATAAAAATATTAGTAATAATTGTTCTGTGTTTTGTCTATTGAATCAATGGTCTCTTTACGTTGTTTGTTTTCAAAGAAATACAACATATGAATCGTCTAAAAAAGAGGAAAATTTAAAAAAAAAATAGAAACTATACTTAAATTACTGGATAAATATTACAAAATAATAGTAATAATCAACAGAGAATAATGAAACGTATCCGATCAAAATGAAAATAAACATATAATCATGCCAATTAATCACAAACATTAAAGGAAAATTGTCAGTTTTCATTTGTCTTTTTCACCATTAAAAGCAGGGGAAAGGTTGTTCATCAGGCATAAATTTGAGTTCGAATATTGTGTCGCAAATGGCATGGGATTTTAAAGAATAAAAATCAAAGTTTCTTCATTATGGAATTAAATAACGGGATTGAAAAAGAAGCTTAACAGCTGACCTATTTGAATTCCAGCCACCGAAATCGTAGTCAGAAGAGAGAACCAGTCAAGGCATTAATTGAAAATCTCGGTTTGAATTTTGATAATAAAGAGGGATTTGTAAAAAGGGAAATAAGGTTGCCATTGATTTTGAGAGGGAATCAGAGAGAGGCTAAGGATTTGTAAAACGAAATAAAGAAACGAATCGGCGTGTTTTTAAGGCAGTTGAAAAGGCGGGAAAATTTTTGTTTCATTTTACAAATAAAAATTCAAAAATGCTCCGTTGAATGAAACAATCGTGGAGATGCGGGGTATCGATCCCCGTACCTCTCGCATGCTAAGCGAGCGCTCTACCATCTGAGCTACATCCCCGTGATATCGAAGATGGTTAAATAAATTTTATTAATTACTTAAGAGTAGAATTAAATAAAAAATAATAATATAAAGTATAATTAAAAGTATTTCAAATTAGTTTTAATACATATATCCATATGGTACTTGATAAAAGTTTATATTTTTAATTTTAATAATTAAGATCAAATTGTTACATCTTCATTTATAAAAAAATAAAATGTATAAATTAAAGAAATATACAACTCATCTTATTTACATATATTTTTATAGTATGTCACGTAAATATTATTTTTATTCTTACTTGTAAGCATCATTCATTTATGATGTCAGATGTTATTTTTCTTTGATCATAAATGAATGTATTTTGATTTTTCATGAACTTAGTCATTTGTAATTATAGAATATTTATAAATTTAATTAATTATGGATGTATAAATATACTTCATTTTTTGTGGTATTTAAAATTTAAATCTAAATTCATATTTAATATTAATTAATTATGAATCAAATTTAAATTGAATGAATCTAATTATTAATTATTCATAAATTTCATAAATCCAATTAATTGTGCTTAATGTAATTTAAATTTAACATATTTATTAAATAATATAAATACACATAAACCAAATTAACACATTAGATTCAGTTCCACTGCAACATGCTAAATATGGCCTAGTTATTATTCATTTTAAAATTTTACTAAACTAAAATAAAAAAATTCAAATCTCTAGAATTTAACATGGGGTCTAGAGTAAATTATTTTGCAACCATTAAAAACATAAAACACAGGCCTCCTCCGACTGTCACGCGCTATCATCAGCTAAACAAAGAAAATGAAAATGAAAATCACAAACTAACGAGAAAGACGCGGGCGTAGAAAATGTTTGAGAGAAGCAATCTCACGCTATAAATTTTCTTCCGATTTCAATCCTTAAGCACTCACATTCACATTTGTTTTATTGTTCAACAAAATTCATAATTTTTTTTTTCAAGCTTGAACCTTTAAAAGGAACGGCAAGATGGCAAAGATTGCTTTGGTTCTTGTTTTCTCATTGGCCCTTGTTTTATCAATCCAGTCCGTGGTAGGAGACGAGGCATTTTCCCCGGACCAGATAAACAAGGCTACTTCAGAAATCAAAGACTACTTCCATAGCTTTTCAAGTTCTGCAGGAAGTGCCTCGGAGAGTGTGAAGGAGACCGCCTCGTCATGGACAAGCTGGGCTAAGGACAAGCTCAGGTAAAAACTATATGGAAACAATGTTATTTTACTACATACGCATTTGGTATTAATTGCTTTCTTGGTTTATCTTCACTGGTTTTTGCTGCTACGTTCAGGGGTTACGGCTTGCTGTCTCCGAAGGAATCATTGTCATCGGCATCGGCACCTGCAAATGCACCCGCACCAGCATACGCAAGGTCTTTTGGACCCGGACCTGCCGGTGCACCCATGGCTTAAGATGGGATTCGTGCCAAAATAGTAACTTGTCCTTTTTGGTCCTATTCCAATCAATTTGGACTGCAGATTTTTTTTTCCTTTTTCTTCTTAAGTCTGCTGTATTCTGCAGACTTCAACCATGTATGGTTCGATAATTACTCCAATGTATTATGTTGGCAAGAAACTTGAATAATGCTTGAATACTTTCTCTCGTGAGTTTTTTTTTTTTTTTCCTTATTTTCTCTGCAACGCACCACGGATTAATTTGAAGCAGTCATGTTTTTCTTCCTCCAGTGTGATGATCACAATTCAAAGCACAGATGAGCTTTTACAATAAAATGATCATCGGTTGCTTACCAATACCAAGAGCTTTTGTCCTGGCGCTTATAAGAAAATGCGAAGAACACATCCATGGAAGGTGCTATTTCCAGTGAGGAAAAATTGGATGGTAAAGATTGGTTGCTGAACAATTGGTCCAGGATGGAAAGGGCGCATTTGCAAATTAAGGCGTTTAATTTTAAATATGGTATATAACACCAAAACGATAATTAAAAAAAAAAATCACAAATATGATATGATATATAATTTTAGCAAAATTTATATATGAATTTGATAAAATTAATAAAATATGTTTTGTACTTAACAACATATCATATCGTATGTGATATAATAATTTTTTATATTTTATACATATATGATATAAATTAAATATATATAAATACATAAATTATCAAATTTAGATTTAAATAGGTTTACTTGAATAGGATTGATAATGAGAGGGTATTATTAGCTTTGGCTAACGAGGGTCAAAATCAATCAAATGAAATCCACATTGCTGAAATCAAAGTGTAAACGTCTAAATTATGTAACAGTATACAATTAAACCTGATAGAGAAAAGGTTTTATTCTTCGTTTGTTGTTTAAACATGCCACCAAAATTCAAGCACTTTCGTTTTAGGGCAAAATTGATATGCAATTTTTGTTGAAAGTTGAGCCAAGAGATTGTTGTATAATCTCGCAGGTTCTTATAAAAGACAATTGATCAAAGGCAAGGTCTTATATTTGCCCCCAACAAAACAGTCAAAGAAATTGAGCAAGCAATGAACTCACCATTTCAATCAGCAGTAAATTATGAAGAACGAGACACCATATGCCATTTCAATCATGTTTCCTTTTCTGACAGTGTTTTCAGAAATAATGGGGCAGAGAAATGGTGAGAAAGAAACTACCATAAATTAAAGAGAAACAATTAATACAAGATTTTTCTGTTTGGAACAGTGCTCAATGCCAAGAGAAAACCAAGGCTTACAATGAAGAATTATACAAATATTCAAGATCAAGGCCAGCTCCCTCCACACTCTATAATGTCGTCTCTGATTAATCCAGGCTGCCTCTTCTATGCATATCTCACATTTCGCAACCATGAAGAGCTCTTACTCCTGCGGCTGCTTCCTCACATTCTTGTTGTTATGCATCCAAACCTTGAAAACCTGCCTTTTAACCCCAGACTCAGCACAAAACTTCTCCACTTCCTCCTCATCTTGTTTATTGATCCTCCATCCCAATTTCTCCGCTAACTCCAACATCTTATCCTTCTGTTCCTGCGTAAATTTTGTTCTTAACCTCTTCTTAGACAAAACATAAGTGGGTGGTGGTGGCATTCCCTCAGCGTTGGACTGGAACACATTAAGATCCTCGCTTGAAGACTCGGTTCCACAGCCACCTCCGCTGCCAAACGCCACATTCACTGGTGCAACCATTGCACTTGAAGGACTTGTATGAACTGAGTACCTTTGATGGTGGTGAAGCATGGTTGGTGATGGTAACGGTGGAGGCAACTGAAGAGGGTTAAGCATCAAGCTTCTTCTACTTGAATTAGCCCCGAATTGGATCTCTCCATCAACCTCTTTGCGGTGAAAGTTGCGGTGACAGTCACAGGCAGCACATTTCAAGGCCTCGAGACTTCCTTCTTCTCCACTAGGCATGAACTCACCGCAGCCATCGTAAACGTTTCCACCGATGCTGGCTGCGTGGTTCTTGAGACACTCTCGATATCTGATGACACTGGATGGCTTAGTGTTCGAACTAACCGAAATGGGTGCAACAGCTGCACAACTGGCAGTGACTCGATCCAGGCGTGGAGATCTTCCTTGGCCGAGTGACTGTTGTCTCTGCGGACGATGAACATGATCTAGGGTTTGAGTGCAAGTGAGAAAATCAGTACCATTAAGATTCCCATCTCTTCTTCTCTCTACTCCAGGCGAGTTCTGACCAAAGCCTGCAGAGCCTGGCGTTTTATTATCATTTTCTTCACCTGTTACTTCCATAATTTAAGAAGCAAAACCTTTTATCCAAGCTAAACGAAGCTCACACTAATCATGGATCTTTTTTGTGTGTAGCTTAAAAAGTTGAAACGTTTCAAAACAGATGATGCAAGTAGCTTATAAAGATAGATATCTTGTTGTTTCCCCTTATCCTCCTCCCTATATCGAGCATTATGCTGCCAAAATCCACCGACCCATGCCGCTAATTTCAACCGTTACACAATCCGTCAACTGAGATAAAGAAGAGAGAGAGGCAAGAGAGTTGTTATGGCAAACAAAAAAAAAAAAAAAAAAACCTCAAAGGCTCAAATAACAAAAAAAGACATTAAAGCTGAAATGGGACCAAACTCACAGAACTAGAAAAAAGAGAGAAAGAGATGTGCAAACAGCAGGCCACCAGCTTTTACGCCTTAACCACAACATCAAAGTTGCGTAAACATCTGTAATTAGAAAGAGAAAAAGAAACGTGAAAGAAAAGGAGATAGATTTGGGGTTTGAGTTTGAGTTTTAGGTTAAGGAATTTGCGTTGCTTCTGTGTTCCCAACAAGAGACAGCTTGGTTGCTTGTGGTGAAGCCGGGAAGATAAGAATCAATCTTTAGGACCTAGAAAGAGAGAGAGAATCTAATGAGATTAAGGGGTCTTTAGCTGTACAAAACAACCGACAATGTCATGTTCATCCCTATCCCACGCCCTGCCACATTTGGGTCCCACTCCTTACCCTTCATTATTGCCCTCTCCTCCGCTTCCTAATTCTTATCCTGACCCCCTCTCCCCAAATGACCAAGCAGATATTTATAGTACTGCTCACCCCTGATGCGACGTAGCTTTCGCTTCTGCCATGATCGTCCCTCAAGCCTTAACTTTTTTCTTAGTAAAAACAGGTTTCCAGAAACTAATAAACTCTCCATTACAGACTAAAAGAAAGATCTTTAACAAGTAATACAGATTCAAAACTCTCAAAAGAGAAAGACTAAGAGACAATGAAAAGTATAAATTTTTGGGGTGGTCCACATAGTGGAGTTGTTGTCCTGTTGCTTAGTGTATTGAACTGAAGCATCAAGGCCTAACGTGCGCATTTCTGCAACTCTATAGCAGAACCACGTTTGCACCCGAGCAATGTCTTTACCTTTCCATGATGGAATCGATGGCTTTATTTGTCTCTCTGCTCTATTCCACTTTGTATTGCTTTGGTACTTGGTTGCTCACTGTTCTTTTTATTCTTTGGGTGCAGGACAGCTTCAACCAATGGCATTTCGAGTTCAAAGAATCCTTCATCAAGGCTTTCTATCACATTTTTGTTTCATCACATCAGCGCCTAACTACTCTGAAAATTTTTCCTTATTCATTCATGTATCATAATTCATAATTCCCAATTCAATCAACTCCCCAGCTCCTTTATTTATGTCTTCTCTTGTTTCCAACCATATTATGAACCTCATTTAGCATAATTTGGCAAGAGCCACGTTTTTAATGCTTCATCTTCATTTAAAATTTAAATTTCAACACTTAAAATTTTTTTATTTTTATTTCCTTCTTACAAAAAATATTTTATTTAAAAAATAATTATAGTCAAAGGATAATAAATAATAAAAATGAAGTTTTTTAAAAAAATTTTGAAATAAATAAAACTATAAAAACATAACAGAAAGGACTATTTTGTTAAACCAATGTTGTCATGCAGGTTAATATGAACCATAACGTGTACAAAGATTGCAAATCTTTGTTTTAAGTTACTTAAACAACTATTTATAATATTAATGTTTATATTTTAAGGTTGTTGCACGAAAAAAGTTCAATAGAGTAACTTTCAAAGAAAAAAAAAAGGAGTTCAAATGTTCAATAGAGTAACCGAGGGAAAAGGACTGTAGAGAATTGTTAAAAGTATTTGTTAAGCAAAGCCCATATTCAGTAGGTGATTAAGGTGGGGATAGAGCGCCTGCTTGCATTATTGGATCCATCTTCGGCCCAAACGAGGAGTGGCTTGGAGCTTAACCTAGTTGGCTCGCCCGTTTGAGAAGATAGTGTCGATCACTTCTCGCTTAACCATATTTGAAAGTAGTGGTTAGCGTCTTGTACCATCAGTGCTTGTAGTTCCATCGTCCCACCATCTCCCTGGAAGAAAAGGATTTGCTGCAACCTTATCTCACAGTTGAAGATTTCCAAGTCAAATTGACCAACGCAGCCCAGAATAAGCAGCAGGGACAAATATTAACGTCTTCCAATCAAATGGAACCCTGAGGGTTCAGCAGCGGATCACGAGATCTTGGTGATCTTCTCTATCTAATGAATGGGGAGTCCGCTTTGAAATCGTTCGCCCTGCACCCACCCCCGAGTATATGCTTCAACAGGAATCACGCACACAAGGGTAGATTGATACAATACAAACCTCTGGTAAAATACCTCCCCGTAACCCAACAGACGCCCTGTCTGTTGTATTAATCTTTGAATTCAGATAATCATTCTTCATCTAGATTTTCTATTTTTCCAGTGTTAAAATCAGAAACCACTATTCTATTGTGGCTCTCAATTAAGTAAGTCGGGCTTTATTATAAATGGTCATTGATTAATTAACAATAGAAGGTTCTGACTTCAAACATGTGTGGCTGTTGCAAAGATTTACAAACATGAAGCCAGAAAATAGACAGTTCAAGAGAAGCAAAGCCACATCCAGCAGTGAATTGCATTCTATTAATGTCCTATACGAGACGGTTGACAACTAAAGCTGGTGTCTTTAGAAAGGCCAAAGATATGGGCAGAGTGTTTATTCAAAATCTCAAAGCTGATTTACGACACCAAAGTTGAAAGAATTTACTGGCTTTCAGAACGATACTTTCACTTGAAAGTTTTCCTTTTAACCGCTTGCCCTTCAAGTAGATCATGGATTGTGACAAATCCCAAACATTCTGTTTCAATGACAGTCATTGCCCCCAAGCACAGGCTCTAGTAAAATAACAGACAGAAAAATCATTAAAAAAGCATAGGAAAGAAATGTTAAAACCAACAAAGTTCAAACTTCAACTATAGGAAGGGTAGATCATCCCAAAAAAGGTAGAAGATTGCATCCAGGGAGTATAAGCATGCATTTTCAGAGAGATAAGTGTAGGAAAACACAAGATCATGGATATAACCTCAAGGTAATTTTTGTCATTTACCATGCAAATCTATAGCATAATTGACTCCACATGGAATCCCAATCTACTATTTTATGAGTAAGGTGGAGGGTATGAAATAGGTAGATTACCCATATACGTGTAGTACTTGGCACAGGAATTTCATGTTATCCCTTTTGCCAAAATCAAACCATTTAGGAGTCCTTGCTAGAAGGGGAGAGGTAGGAGGTTTGATCAATTCAACATGAAAGAGAATAGCTAGATTACCCATATACGTGGACTACTTGGCAGAGGAATTTCATGTCATCCCTTTGCCAAAATCAAACCATTTAGGAGTCCTTGCTAGAAAGGGAGGGGTAGGAGGTTGGATCAATTCAATATGAAAGAGAGATAATACTAAAAAAGGGTAAGCATAAGCTGACGGTCATACCATGAGACATTAATGAATCTAAACTTGGGGTGAATTTTGGAGTTCATCGATAACCCCAAAAGGATCCCAAGCCAACGCTAATGGGCCACGTGTGTCAAAGTTTTCTCCATTGTGTCTTTCAGCAGCAGAGGTTTGATATGGTAGGAGTATCCCAGGTAAGGAATGAACTATCTCTATTGATATCTTAATATCAATTACAACTATGCTCAAAATTACTTATTTAACTAGGATTCCACATGGAAATTAAACTGAATTCTTTCAACAGAGGATTATAACAATTTAAAAAGTACAGAAAGTTTAAGGCATTTGGAAACCAGTACCTTGTTCAAAATTAAAGAAACAAGTTTAAAAAACGAAGAACATTTCCTTAAGACAAATCCTTACTCAGGCATTTTACCTTGAACTAGCTGTGAAAGAGATGCACCTTCAGAACAAATTAAGTATACAACCAAAGGGGTGGTGCTAAACTGTAGTCAGCGGTAATATTATCTAAAGTTTGCATGGAATTTTAACTATTAGAATTAGAATCCAAATCCTGAAGACTCCAAGACCATCAATATAGGAGAGCTACAGCAATGACCAATATGGAACTTGCATCAAGCCTAATAAATAGCACTAGAAATAAATGTAAGATATGCCTCTTAGTTACTATCAATTTCAAAGCATAACTGTTCAAATGAATCTTCTAAAAGGCACAAAAAGCAACAACAGGCCAGTTCTTAAAATAGATAATGCCAAATGCCTCTTAATTGGCATCAACCCAACTCAGAAAAAGACAAATCTTTTCCATGAAATGCAACTAATACAGATAACACCAAAATATGCAATAAAGCAAACATTTTCTTTTCTAAGAAAGAGGTCATACTCATACCCAAGGTTGAGAATGCTATTAATGGGGTCGAGAAGTCGGGGCTGCTGCTGCTGCTGATGTTGTTGCTGCTCCTCTAGCTGCGGTGGTGGAAGACTAGCAACAGCGACAGCACTTGACGGCGCTCCTTTGGACTCCACAAACCTCCAAAGATACCACGAAGCAACTGATCTGTACGGTCTCCACTTCTCACACAACTGATCCATCTGCGAAGGCCTCGGCAACTCCTCCAAATTGTAGAGGAATTGAACCCCCTTTCGAATCCCGAGATCATTAATCGGCAAAACATCGGGTCTATGAAGCGAGAAGATCATAAACATATGAACCGACCAAGAACCGATCCCATTGACCATAGTAAGCATGGTAAAAAGCGATTTATCGTCCATATTGACAATCGCCGAGTTCGATAATATCCCTGTCCGGTATTTTCTCCCGAGATCATGAAGGTAACTCGTTTTTCGTCCCGAGACACCAATTTGTCGGAGCTGTTGAGGGGCTATGGAAAGAACAGTTTCAGGAACGACACCATTTTCGCCTCCGCAGAGAGCGATGAAGCGAGTGTAGATGGAGTTGCCAGCTTTGAAAGCAAGCTGTTGGTAGAGAATGCTTCGAGTGAGAGCGAGGAAAGGGGTGTGGAAAGTGTCGAAGGTTGGAGGTGGATGGAGATCGATTAAGGATGCGAGGAGGGGATCAGCGTTACGGAGGTGGCGTATGGCGTTTTCGATCTCGCCTTCGCAAGAGAGGGACCGCGCCATGACTCGTGGAACCACCGTTAGGGCTCGATGTGGAGTGAGCTTTGTTTTGGGAGTTTTGGCGACGGTTTTAGGCTGTTCCATTACGGATGTTGAGGAAATCGTAGCTTGTTGGGAGCCATTAGGGTCGGAGTTCGAGTCAGGGGAGAGTTTCCGGATTTTACTAGGCCGTAAAGGGATTTTAGAAGGAGAGGACGAGGTAAGGGGAGAAACATTGGTGAGTTCCATTGGAGCAGAGGTTACAAAGGCGGTAGTGACGGTGGTGACGGAGGAAACAGCGGCAGTGGAGGCATTTTTCGGATTTCGAGTTTGCGTTTGAGCTTGGGCTTGGGTTTCGGTTGGGGTGGCAGATGAGTCTTTTGGGGGCTGAGATTGAGCCTGTGGTTGAGGCTGTGCCGGGGTTTGTTCTCCCATGTGAGATCGATAAAAATCTGGGTTATAATCTAGAAATCGTGTTGACTAGGGTAACGACGGCGTTATTCACGTTGACGATTGGCGGTGCGCGGCGGGGTTATGGGGAGGAGTGGATGTGGAAGGAAGACATGAGTGAGCAGAGTCACTATAGGAAGCCTCGACAAACCTCCAGTGACTGACTTTTAACTTTTTTTATTTAATTTATATAATAAAATTTTCAATCTAAACTGGGTTTTTAATTCGCTTCTCAGTTGTTTCTTCCAACAAGCGTTGCCGCCTCATTGCTTATTGATATTCCACGCTCGGTTACAGCGCGTGCTGTGGCTGCCCACAAAGGATCTATCGACCTAGCCCAATTCAAGAAGGCCGAAGAGAAGCCCAGTTCAGAAACAGGCCACAGGGTCCAGAAGGCAATTCTTACGGGTCCATGTTGTTGGAGTTTAAAGTTTTGAGCCCAATCAGCTAACTTTTTAAGGATGGCAGCCCACCCAGCGGATTTAATCCGATTCATTTAAAAATTTTTTTTTATAAAATTAAATTTAAATCGAATTATAATTAAAAAATTTGAAATTTGATTAAAATATAATTTTAAATAAATTCGACCTTAGATTCGATTTATATATAAAATTATTTTTTAATTATTTATATAATTATATATTTATATTTATATTTATATTTAATTTTTATTTATATTTAAAAAATAATATTTTATTAATTTTAAATCAAATGCAATTTTATATAATGTTAAATGGAATTGGAATATAAAATTTTCTAAAAAATTTAAATCAAATTAAATTTAAATATTATAAATATAAAATCTGATTGGAACAAAATTTGGTGTCAATCCGACCCGTTGCATTTTATAGGCAATTGGAATATTGAACCGACCGGTGAAGAACATTTGGCGTTCACATGTCCCACACCAAAACTAGCAGTCTGCTTGACTGCTTTTTTCATTATCAACGGCGGCGACCTCGTTTCCTCGTCAGTTTTTTCATTCATAGTTATCACGTGGATCTTTTCTAAATTACTGATGCAAAGATGACAAAATCAGACAACCTTACCTCAAACAATGCCAACTTCCAAGTTTGTGTTGATTCGCTGAACAGCGAGGGCTGGTAGTTGGAGTTCCAATCAGACAACCAATGTTTTCACTTTTCACTTGTAGACATGGATGGAAGAACATAAGAGTCCAGACTGTTCCAAAGAGGAAAAAAGGAGAAGTTACAAACAATGGGATTTTTGTTTTCAATCATAGGAACCAAAAACCTTGTTCACTTGTGGTAAATAAAAACCCTTTTTTTTTAAATAAAAAGCTCCTTGATTCTCAAACGATAGAACTAAATGAAGGATTTGAATCAATAACTCTCTCTTTCTCCTCTTGGACATCAGTCTGGAAGACCCCGCAAGAGCAATAAAAACAAGTTAAATTCAGTTCGAGTGAGGTCAGGGGTGACCACATTTATGGTAAGTTTAAGCTGGAACTAACGGTTCTCTTCTATTACAGCAGGGCAAATGGGCTAGGAGACATGATATACACGGTCTGATTCACTGATTCTGATTCTTTTTTTTCTTGGTAATGTTATATTATAATCTATAAGTAGTATTTACTTCCTTCTTCCTGGCTTCCAGCTCATAAAATCTTCTCTATCAGGATATCCGATCTACAATTGCTGACAAAAAGGCTCCTTTTCTTCTCTCTGGGTGATCCGCGAGTGTTTGCTTATTGAAAGAGACTGTTGGTACAGAGAAAGAGTGTCAGATGAGTTTCAGGGACGATTATGATTATGGGAGGGGGGATCTACGGAAGCCGTTTCTACATACAGGAAGCTGGTATCGGATGGGTTCCAGGATGGGCTTCAGTGCGCTGGGCTCATCTCAGGCTATTCGTGATAGCTCTATCTCTGTTGTAGCCTGCGTTTTGGTTGTTGCTTTGGGTCCTATCCAATTCGGTTTCACTGTAAGTTAACTTCATTTTCACTTGTTTTGCTTCTTTTCTGATTTAGCTTTAAGTTTACTGTCATTTGAAATAAAAAATGGGAGTTCTGAATTGGCTTTAATTTGTTTGTAGTCTGGTTACTCTTCTCCTGCACAATCTGCAATAATCAAGGATCTTGGACTAACAGTCTCAGAGGTAAAATTATTTATTTATTTATTTGGTTTGGTTAACTGAGTGTTCTCTTTGATTTAACTCAGCTAATAAGTCGTATTTTGGGGACAGTTTTCTCTATTTGGTTCTTTATCAAACGTGGGTGCCATGGTTGGAGCAATGGCCAGTGGTCAGATAGCCGAGTATATGGGACGAAAAGGGGTAATCTAGTCACTGGTTTAGCTTTTCATTTTTTTTCTTATTTTGATTTGGATTACTAAGTTTAGCTTCTTATTTTCATTGCAGTCTTTAATGATTGCTGCTATTCCTAATATAATTGGATGGCTTGCGATATCTTTTGCAAAAGTGAGTTCTAATGATTATATTATACAATCTTCACTCGGCTACTTTGGTATAAGATCATTTACGCTTACAACAAAGCTTGCTGCATTTTGCAGGATTCATCTTTTCTTTACATGGGAAGGTTTTTGGAAGGTTTTGGTGTGGGAATTATCTCTTACACGGTAACATGGAACTATGCTTTGTTTATTAAAATCGAACTTTTGTGCAAAAACAATGCTGAGCTTATTGATTGTGTTTATCATGTATAGGTGCCTGTGTATATAGCTGAGATATCACCTCAAAACTTGAGGGGGAACTTGGGTTCAGTTAATCAGGTTGGCTCTGCTTCTGGCTCTGTTTATCATGACTTCATGAGTGTTTTGATGAATATTTATAGAAGGCTTTAATCATTTCTTAGACTACTCAAACATGCATGTTATCTATGTAGCTGTCTGTCACACTTGGAATAATGCTGGCCTATCTGCTGGGACTTTTTGTTGAGTGGAGGATACTTGCAGTTTTAGGTAATAATCTGACAGCTTACTTCTCATGAATGCATCATTTGTTGAAAACAGTTTCTTTTCTTCATCTTCTTGTCTTTTCAAGATCAGTTAACTGTTATTGTTGGAAAAAAAATGGATTTCTCATGGACATCAGTCCTGGTAGACAGTTAGCAGCTTGGCAGAGCTGTTCTGGACACTATTTCAATGTGTCGAAAAATTCATTCCGGTTTAGAGTTGGTTGACGATTGAAATTTAAGGCTTGTGTTTGACTTAGAAAGGAAAGAATTCCAGTTGGTTGCTCACTTGTTTCATTTTTTAGTTTTTTAATAAAGATTTCAAATTCAGAGAATGGTCTCATATGGCTTCATTTGAATATTACTTCTCTAGCCACTTCTTTTGTTGTGATAATCAACTTTCTCCTGCACATTGCATAGTGGTTTTTAAAGCCTTGACCAACAAAGTTTTTGAGATTCGAACATTCTAAGCCTGTTATTGCTCATTTTCAGAGGAGGACACCTCGCATCTCAATTAATTGTTATATTGCTTTAAATCACTACTTGAAGTCATTCCTTCCTCTAAAAATGGGAAAAAGTGAAGAAAAACTTTAGAATTTAAAGTTACTCGATGATGGAAATAGGAAAATATTCACAATCGACTATTTTTACTGATGGAAATTTCTAAATTCATTCTTTGTCAGGAATACTTCCATGTACAATTTTGATACCCGGTCTATTTTTCATTCCAGAATCTCCTCGATGGCTGGTAAGCTTGAGAAGTAGGTTGTCACTCAAGCATGCTCACATAGATAGTTATGATCACCTGATTCAAGTTTCCTTTCCTAATTTTAGGCAAAAATGGGTATGACAGAAGATTTTGAAGCTTCTTTGCAAGTTCTCAGGGGTTTTGATGTTGATATTTCAATTGAAGTGAATGAAATCAAGGTAATAATAAGAAGTTAAACAGCATTTTTTTGATTGCAGTGGTCTGCCATTTCTATGTTTGCAAGTTCTTGCTCAAAACTTCTAATTGTTTTGTACGTTCTTCTCCTCAAATGACTACTTCAGTTATTTATTATTATCATTATTATTTTAACTTCACAGAGGTCTGTAGCATCAACAACTAGAAGAACTACAATTCGGTTCGCAGAACTCAAACGAAGGAGATGTTGGTTTCCGTTGATGGTATTTTAATTGCTCACAAGTTTTATTCTAACTTTCCATTAATCTGAACTGTCCTAGGTCTTGATAGCACCAGAAACAAAAGGAACCTAAGTGGTTTCATGGGCCAATATCTTTCAGGTTGGAATTGGAGTACTTATGCTGCAACAGCTTTGTGGCATTAATGGTGTTTTATTCTATTCCAGTACCATTTTTGAAGATGCTGGTAAGCTTAAGCTTGTTTCTCCTCTTATAGAAACATTTGCCAGACAATAATTGTTGAAAATTTTTATCATTAGTGTTGGTTATTTCTTTATACAATTAGCAGTACGTCGATATGCTTCCCCTTTATCACTAATTTTGTCTTTGCCGGGGTTGTGATATTAGTAGGCCTTGTTTTACTATATTGTCTCCTCAGTGTGTTGGCGTACAAGCTCTGCAGTTTGCTTATGCTTATGCTTATGCTTATGCTTAAATTTTTAATCCTTCTGTTTGCAATTTTGCTGGCTTTACCTGACTATTCTTTTTCATCTTCTTTTTATATCACAGTACATACCATAAGTTTGATGTTCAAGTTAAAAGGCTTAACACAATTTAACCTTGAGCAGGGGTTAAATCAAGCAATGTAGCTACCTTTGGAGTTGGTGCAATTCAGGTATAGCTTGAAGAAATGCCACACCTTTTTCTTTGCATCAAAATTTTCAGTCCATAATGAGAACTTTTGAAATATTATGATCATCGGAATTATGCATACTAGGTCATTGCTACTGCTGTAACCACATGGTTGGTGGACAAAGCAGGGCGCCGTCTTCTGCTTATAGTAAGTTTATTCTAATTTCATTTTCCATACGTTGTTGGTAATGACCTAGCACCAAAAGAGATTATTGTTTGCCCTTTACTTATTTCAGGTCTCCTCTTCTGGAATGACTCTCAGCCTCCTAGTTGTTGCAGTATCATTTTTTTTAAAGGTAATAATATAATGGATTCTGTTGACAATAACCCCTGCGAAAAAAAAAAAAAAAACAAAAAGTAACCTGAAATCTCTATATGATTCAATTGTATTGAAGTTTCTATTTGTTTTACCAAAATTATCACCATTTTGATAATTGATCCAGGATGTCGTATCTAGTGACTCTAGCCTTTACAGCATTACGGGCATCTTGTCGGTAGTTGGAGTTGTGGTATGTTACTTTTCCTTTTCTGATACTGTGTTATTGCTAAAATGCAATTGTAAATTGTCTAATTTGTTCATCTTTCAGGTCATGGTGGTTGCCTTCTCTCTCGGAATGGGGCCCATTCCTTGGGTTATAATGTCAGAGGTATCAGATGTTACATTATTTATCATCATCTTTCATCCAGTGAATTGATAGACTATGCTTACTTTTGTCAAATCTGCTGAAATGGGTGGCAGAAGTGCCAATCATCTAACTCTAAAAATCTGCAAGCTATACGTTGCTAATAACATCATCATTTTATCAAACGCAAACCAACTGTTTAACAGTAAAATTTTGGTTTCTGATGTTTTCACTCAATCTGGAAAGTGGTCATTACTGTTTAACCCTGGTTAACTTTGTATGGTTGAACTCCCAAAGAATGTGTCGCTGTTAAACTGCAGACTGCAGTCCAGAACTTTGACTACTAAAATTGAAGTTGACAAAATAGCTTGGTGATGTTGGATGTTTGCTGGTTATGAAATTACTGTGGATCCATTTCAATCATTTTACTGCTTGAACTTGCTCTTTTGGAAAATCTTCTACATGAGTGGTGAGTATGGTAGAAAATGATAACCATGATCTCCCTTTTAAAGTTGCATCTCCTAATATATGCTCATTTCCCATCAGATTCTGCCGATAAATATCAAGGGTCTTGCTGGAAGCATTGCAACACTTTCCAACTGGTTCATTGCTTGGGTGGTTACAATGACTGCCAACCTGCTTTTAGATTGGAGCAGTGGAGGTACCTCTCTCTCTCTCTCTCTCTCTCTCTCTCTCTCTCACACACACACACACACACACATCCACATCCACACCAGATGATTGACAATATGACAAAAAGCAAAAACCAGAATATCAAAATTAGGCAGTGTTTAGAAGATCATTAACTCAACCTCCCTTCACCTTTGACAGGAACCTTTACGATTTACATGCTTGTCAGTGCTTTCACTATCGTATTTGTGACCCTTTTTGTACCTGAGACAAAGGGAAGAACACTGGAAGAAATCCAATGGTCTTTCAGATGAGCTTTTCTTCTCCTTATTTCATTTTTTTCTTGGAAGAAGCCCATTTCCTGCAGTTTCCATTTTGTGATGATCTCACAGATCTCTAGGTGTATAATTTTTGTTTGCAACCATCTTACTTTGGCATAGAAAAGGAATATTCTCTAGCCAGCATCTTCTGTTCCTGGCTTGTGTTCTAGATGGCTCATATTTCATCCTCAAACAAATATCTGTATTGTCTGCTTATTGGAATGATTAATTCATTTATATTCTTTCGAAGGGCAAATTGCTTTCGCTCTCATTTTGACATATAGACAGAGAAGGCAAGGTAATGGGCATCAAGGTTTCGAAACTCAGTCTTTAAACAACGGATACGATTCACCAATTGCATGTGGTCATGTTTTCAGTGTCAAGAAATCTGATATTTGTACGTGTCATTGAGTTTTTCTCCATCTTTTGATATGAAGATATGAAATTGTTAAGTAGGAGAGTAATTGTCTGATAGTAGACTGATGTGAAAAGACTGAGCAAGATGGGGAATCATTCCTTGAACGAAACTGTTGCGAAATGAAGGTGGTAGATGCCCTTCACACTAAACCTTAGTAAAGAGTAACTATGGTTCAATATGGTCTTTTTCATGTTTTAAATTTTCTTTCTTCTCCCTCGTCCCCATCCAATCACAAACCTATAAAACCTGACAGCAACCCCAGATATCCTTCCCCTGGTTTGGTCAAATTTTCTGTTATTATTACGGGCATGGATCGCAGGCCATATACAATGCGTTCAGCTACACGAGTACCTTGGTCATTATTGCTTCATTAAGAATACATGTTTTGACCCAATAAGAATCAGCAGGAAAGCAAGGACCACTTATCAATTATTGCCATCGTGATGCTTTCCACTTTTAGCCACAGCACAATGGTCTGCATAAATGAAATCTGTAAAAAAACCTAACATGCACTCACCAATAATTGCAATAAATATTTGTCCCTACAGTAAAAAATGAAAACCTTGAGGGCAAGGATTAGTCTGGAAATGCGATGATGGCACATTGATGAAAATTTCAATAAATGTAAGTCTCAACGAGGTGAATGACTAATAAAAACATGGAGAATATAGTACAAAATAAGCTAGTCTCACATGATGGTACTCCAGACATGCATACACGTGCAACAGAACGACACACAAAGGTAACCTGTCTGAATGTAGAATCTAACTCAAAATGTTGCTCGGCTAGGTGGTTATTTTCACAGGATAGTTATCAATGCAATCTTCCCAAGGACCATTACTAGATGGCTTGACATTCCGAAGTGCTTGCCAGACTGCACTATTACATTTGAAACCACTTCCAAAAGCAATTTGCCAGACACGGTTGTGCTTCCGCATCCTCCCCTTGGCCTCAGTATATGCCAATTCATACCAAATGGAGCTTGAAGAAGTATTTCCAAATCGATGGAGAGTCATTCTAGAAGCCTCCACATGTATCGGTAGCAGCTGCAGATTCTTCTCCAGCTCATCAATCACAGCCCTCCCACCAGCATGTATACAGAAATGATCAAATGCCAACTTGAAATCCGGAATATAAGGCTTGACACTGGAATTGAACAATTTCTTCACTAACAAAGTTGTGAAAAACAAAAGCTGCTCACTGATTGGCAGCACAAGAGGACCCAAAGTAGTGATATTTGTTTTTAGTGCACCTCCAGCTATTGCCATCAAATCTTTAGACAACGAAACACCCGTCTTCCCTGCATCATCCTGTTCCTGATACACACACCTAAATGCCTTATCATCTGCTCCACGATGAGTCCTCACCACATGAATAAGCTTATACTTTGCCCAGCTCCTATCCTTAGACTTATTCGAAAGCAAAACAGCTGAACCCCCAACGCGAAACAAACAATTGGGTATCAACATAGACTTCTTGTTCCCAAAATACCAATTCTGAGTAATATTCTCAGTACTCACAACAACAGCATACGTATTCCTATGCACCTGCAACAAATCCTTTGCAAGATCTACCGCGATCACCCCAGCGCTACACCCCATCCCACCTAGATTAAAGCTCCGAATATTTCCCCTTAGCCTATACTTATTCACAATCATAGCCGACAAGGAAGGCGTTGGATTAAACAAACTACAATTCACAACAAGAATACCAATATCCTTGGGGTTGATATTTGTGTTCCGGAAAAGAATATCCAATGCCCCAAACATAACCTCCTCAGCTTCTTCCCTCGCCGCCGCCATGGATGGCGTTGGAGGAATATTATGCATTGCTTTTGGCACATAAGTCTCTTCTCCGAGCCCCGAGCGCTCCAATATCTTGCGCTGGAACTCGAGAGACAATTCATCGAAATCACCGGTCAGCCTGGAGTGTTCCATGAAACGACCATGGGGAGCTTTAAGATGGTCAGGAGCATGATAACAAGAATAATCGACAAGGTAGACGGGTCGGGGTCGGGTCATGATATAGACTGTTAACCCGAACACTAAAATAGCAGAGCAAATGATTATGCTGACTAGATTGTATTGAAGGTGAATCCATAAGTGGCGTAAATCATCGAGATTCATTTGAGAAACTTCGATCGAAATCACCGCGACCAGAGGGATAAAGCAGAGGGTCAAAAGATTGGAAATTAGATAGTGGTATCCCAATTTTACGTACTTGAGATTGACACTTTGAAGGAAATCCGGTAGCCTTCGAGGTTGTTGGATCTGAACACCGAATGACCCATTTCCCGATCCACCATTTGTGGTGGCTACGCCTCCTTGGTTCATGGTGCCGACCTGGTCTGTTAATAATGAACCGAGGGGTGTGACAGGGTTTTGACGGTTATGTAAAACTCGTAAATTTTCAGAGTGGTAACAGGTGTTTTTTGGGACTGACAAAATCTAGAACTAAATTTCCAACCGGACTCCAATGTTTAAACTTTGTTCTGAAAACTGGAAGCTTTAGAGAAAAGAAGGGTAAAGATGGGAATCTAATGCAAGACGTGCGTGTTGAAGGTGGACTCCTTTCCTGTGGCGTGGTTTTCATCATTGCTAACAGGTTACTATTATTAAAGATTGGTTTTTTTTTTTTTTCACATATTTTGTTAAACATCCACGTGAATTTTCATGGCTTGGAATGATTCTGTTTTTAGTACTCTTATCAAAATGCCAGCTCTGATAATAACTGAGGCTGTAGTTAAATTACTACTACCAAACTGCCAACCCCGCTTGGGAAAGGTACGTTAATGGAAATATCGCGGGCCAGCTGGGTTGCGTCAGAGAAACAGCCGTCGAGGTTTATTACCAAGAAAATTGTCTCCGTCCATCGACATTGTTGCTAGTATTATTTTTTTTTTCTTTGTTGTTAAATCATACATTGGTATATTGATTCATAGGGCGGCGAAAGTCGTTCTTCTAGATTTCGCCTTACGTCTATGGACAGGAAATATGTTTGATCAAGTGACGGAAGCCTGGAAAATTGTCAAAGATTGAGATAATTTGGCACAAGAAAACCTGCTTGGACATTGACTTTGCTTCCTGAATCTTTGCCCTACCTGGGAAAAGTTCACTATCAAATTAGATAACTTGGGTCTGCATATTTCGCTCTGTAATCAGCTTTGACACTGATTTGATTTGACTATGGCGGGCTTTGACGGTAGCATCTGGTTTTAGAAATTGGAACTATGGAGCTGACAAATAATTATGCAGACCAGCCTTGCTCGATGTCCACTGGCTAGTGAATCAAACATATTTCACTTGCCTGGGATGCGATTGGCTTCTAGTTTGTTATTGGTATAGCTCGCAAAGCCAATGTAACACGATCAGGAAGATGCTGTCCCTTCAGAAAGCCATCCACCGGCTTTCTTAGTTCTCTTTTAGTTTTTAATCCCTTTTTTTTTTTTAATTTCCTCTCATTTGTACTTTTTATTCTTCATTGTAGTGATCGAATTCAACTAGTAGTCCAGTAATATGATCATACGATCAGAGAGCTTATAAATGCATCTCAAGGGGCATTGACAATATGTAGCCTTTCTTTACACAATGTCTGCCCTTCGACAACTTTTGGCGTCAAAAATAGAGCACAATTGAGGTGGGAAAAGTTGATTTATCAGAAGTTCAGAGCAGTAACACATTTGTGGGCTGTGGCAAAGTAAAATATCAACACACACTATCAACTGAACAGAATAAATGCGAAAGAGCTCCAATAATGGAATCGAATGATGCAGCTGCTAGAGGGCTTCCTTTATGAGTTTCTGCGTGAGAGCTTTGGGCAATCCCATCACACTGTCTGTTGTCCCTACCTGCAAAGATCCCAAACGAAATCTTATCTACCTCTGATGTCAAAATATAATTTTTCAGTTAGTGAAAATCCAGTAGCTACCAAACTAAAAGATGCTGTTCAGATTGGATGCGCGGACAAACGGAATCCAATCTAAGATTACTACGTACTAACTACTTTGAGAGTTTTGAAAAAGGCTTGTGGGGGCTATATATCAAGGCATTTTATCAAGCTATTCGTTACAGAAATATTCATGCATTGCCCAAGATCACATGTTTAAGTAGAACATGTCGATTTTGCAAAGTACAGACAACTTGAAGCAAGAATCATGTTCACTAATTCTTGCCTCCAGTTTTACAAAGTTGCACATCCTACACTAACGTAAATTATTTGCTAATTGGTTAGTTCGTTACCATGTGATTCACAGAAATAATCAAACTAACCACTTGTTTAACATATGGCTTTATCAAAGGATGCTCAATAATCAGTCCTCCAGCAACATGTAATACGGTCCCTTCCTCAATCTGAACAACGAGAAAGAAAACAGATAAAGAAATTCATTTAGCTCATGCAATAAGCAAAATGAGGGGGAAGAACAAAGAAGAAGAAAACTCTTACCAGTTTCTCAATGATCTCATCTGGTATTTCATGGAAATATATCTACATGGCATCAAAAATGAAATTAAAAAATATGTTAAGCCAAATTATTAATATGCTTTTCTCACCCTTACAATAAGTATGAAGTGCCTAAATCAGCATTAGCATAATTCAAGCTTCCGATTCCTACACAGTGCAGATCTCTCTAATGACTGTTTTTTACCCCTTCAGGTACATAATGAATATGGTGACATAACATGCAAAAGTAGGTAGAGTAAAAGGCATCTTTCATTACTATTTCACATGCATTTGATGCTCTTTCTGTGGCTACCATAGGTTGATGCAACTACTGATAATTTGACTAAAAAGCCTGAAGAAATATTGCCAACACACACACAAGGATCGAAAGGATGTTGGAACAGGAGTGGAGTTCAATCCAAAACATTTTCAGTCTATATATTCCTACATGAAAACAGTGTTATAATATATTCGTCACACATGTTAGGGTTCTTAAAAGACATTGTTCTCCTGATGGAACACCCTTCACTAGGTACTTGACACAGCAGGGGAAAGAACATAAATACATGAAGAAATTACACAACTACCACATCATTTAGTTTATGTTGCTCAGATGTTCTCCGTTCATTAACAACACAAAAGTTTGGTAATTATTTAAGCAGGTGCCAAGATTTCTTGTTTGGCCAAAATATTCAAATCAAGAATGAAAGCCATTAATACCTCCACTCTATCCCATGCTCCTTTTCTGAATCCGGTTTTAAGGTTCGTAACAAGAACAGACCCCACAGTTGCAGCATGCCCACCCGAATAGCCTGCACAATGGTTAATCATTAAAGTTTTGAAAGCGTAGAAGAGTAGCGATTGGACTGAAAATATTAACACAAACCTTGTATAAATTCACGTGCTTCTTTCTCATTGGCTGGTTTTTCCCTCACAACACCTTCATAGATCACCACCTCGAGATCATTTAACAATAACAGTAAGGAATAAAAGTGGAAGAGTTATTTTTTCTACAAGATGAAAATATTAAATATGTCTATGCTTACAAGCATGAATTTTCACCAATTGCCATCTATATTTGAGGATACATTGTGCAAATATATTTAGGCACACAAAACATCAGTGCAAGATATGTCCACACAGTAGTCCTGCATAATTTACAAATTATCTGGTTTCTTTCACAAAGAAAGTACTTCTAGCTTAAAGGCAAACGTAAATCTGATTAATTGTGAGTGAGACATTGGTTTGAAAATAGTGGGGTCAAAAGAATCCACACTAATTAAGAAAAGGAAAAAATGCCTTGCAGCATTCATATAAAGAAGCATTAAAATTATAAGGACCCACTGAAAGGTTGTAGGGTGGATTTAATTAACCTACATATGATTTAGGCTTTAACTCCATTCCAAAGAGCCAAATAACATGTGTCACAGAAATAAAATAGATTTTTATCATTAAAGAAAGGGTTTATGGTGGCAATAGATAACTTATAAACTGTTCTTCAAAAGTTTGACACATGCAACACAGACTGTATCCATAATTAAACATGTCAGGAAGTTTGAAGCATATCAAAGGAATAGATTTATACTTGGTCAGAAGTAATTAGCAACGTTGGATCTGCTTCCTTTATGTAATCACCAACGGGGCCCCTGTGTAAGATGGCTTCTGCCTGAGACATTTTCACCAGCTAAGCGTATACCAAGACAATACAATGCAGCAAGCAACAGCAGCAGTGGAAACAGTAAATATAAAGAGCATGCATGTAAGTGAATCAAACAGGAACATAGAAAAGCCGCACTTTAAATGTGTATGTTTGTAGGAAACTTGAATAGTCCCTTATTAAGGCCCACTCTTATTCTTTTGCAAAGATGAGAAATATGATTCAACCTAGGCAGCCCATTAGCCTTAAGTTGCAATTAAATCATGAAACTGGAGCCCTAAATAGCACTTATGCCATTGATATTGAAACAGATGATTTATTTTGTCCAAAAATATATCCTCGGACCATAGATGGCATTTGGTGAAACCATGGCCAATTGCCTAAAAGGGGAGCACGGTTGGTAACTAAACAAAGTCAAGACATACTGTGTCAGCAGCAATCAAAATAGTTGGTATCTCATCCTTCTCTTGATTATCGATAGTTTGTAGCTTTGATAAAATGGAATCAGCCTGAGATATCATTCACAGTAAAATCAATAAAAGAAACTCGAAAAATCCCATCTCCAATTTGACATCCTAAAACAAAGAACTAGACAATAAACACACCCACAAGCACATAAAAAAGGATAAAACACTGCTCAAAGCAAAGAAACATGACATCAATTTTAGGCTCTAAAATTTTTCTGTCAATCAAAACAATCATTCCAAATAAGCACTCCACCATTAAGTAAAAAACAGAACCTTTGCTTCAGCAAGAGCCATGACCAAATCTTCCGGGTTCTCCTTTCTGATATCCTTCTCATCAATATCTGCACTCTATAGAAACAACCAAACTGAAACTTTTTAATTGTTCTAATAAATTAGTGACATTGAAATTTCCTACAGATATGAAAATTACTACCATTAGTGTGAATTCATATCCCATTTCAGCTAATATTTTACGACGAGCTATGGAGGAAGATCCTAATATTATCTGCATTACAATAACAATTAATCAGTTAAATTTTCAACAGAGTTCCAAAATTTTTGGAAAGCAATATTTCTTCTTCTTTTTTTTTTTTTGGATTTAATTCTTGATATAAAATTTTTAGGACAAGACAACAAAAACAAAGATACTTTCGAGTAACCGACCGGTTTTCATCGTACCTTGAACGGACAACTTTTGTCTTCCATTTTAGTTTTGTCTTCACAAAGATCGAGCGAACGAGCGATTGTAAGTAGAGAGAACAGTCAGAGAACGAAGCAAAGAGGCGGCGTGGTGGGCGTGTTTTGTACGCGGACTGAAATGGGACCCTGGACTCGAGCCCTAATTGTCCGTCCAGGGCACAGATTATGGGCCATTCAGCCCTTTGACAAAGCAAAATTAGTTCTTCGTGGAAGCCCAAGACCAAGCCCAAATCCATTAAGACTATTGGCAAGGAAAAATGGGGAAAATTTTTTAAAATTTTTTTATTTATTTGACTACTCAATTTTGAGGAAAAACCAAAATACCCCAATGAGAAAATTAAATAAAAAAAGCTTAAAAAATGGTATCAATATGTGATAAGCTTAGAAATTTATGTTAATTCTTAATAAAAAAATATGGTTTTCTACAAATTTACATAATTAATTAGAAAATAAAATCCATCTCTCAGGAATTTGTAAAGAGGAGTTGAAGGATTACGTGTAGCTTAAAATTTTCAATAAAAAATTAATTATCAAATTTAAAACTTCTTCAAATGAACCACTTTTTAGATTGAATGCTATCAGACAATTATTATATCAAATTATACATAACTTATTCACTAAGTTTAATTAATTGGGCCCAAAGATGCATCAAAATGCATGAATCATAGCCTCTAGTTTCCTTAAGGCAGGATATTACTGCTCCATGGGATAATATCTTTGTTAATTAATTTCTAAAGCATCTAAAGCTGATAAAAATTCCATTGAGAGAGGGAAGAACAAGAAATGAAATACGTGAGTAATTCGAGATTTAATCTAATTAATTTATATGATCATTCTTAAATAATAACATTCAATATTTTTTATTTTTTTTTATCTTTAGATTATTGCTTGTTTAATATAAAATATATATTTATTATACTTGCAAACGTAAAATTATCTTTAGATTACTGTCTTTTTTATATAAAATATATATTTATTGTACATGCAGACGTAGAATTCTACGTGTGTATATGCAGCAGAGAAGTTCGATGGCTTACCAAAGTTGAACCAATTATTAATGGAAATGATTTAACCGAAGGGGAAATGGATTTTGCTTAGATATGACAACTCCCCGGCCTCTTTATTTCTCTTTAAACAAAAAAAAGTGACTTTCCGTATTTCCCACATTGGACGGTATTTAAAAAAAGATTACTCTATGTTTAGGTTAGGGCCAAGGCCGTCTAAATTTTAATATTTCAACCTTTTTTGTTTCTGTTTATGGATATGAATATCTAAGTATTAATTTTACACAAAGCCTATATATTTAATTATATAATATAGTTTTTAGAATTCAGTTCTGATTATTTCTGCATTAAGGTAATTCAGGATACGATCTGAATGTATCTACGTATGGTCAGATAGAAGACAGAAACATTAACCAGAGGATAATATATCATTAAAAACAGGAGCATTACATAGAACTTTGAGTCATGTACCAATGCTATGATCAGTTATGAGTCATACTTGGTACATATAACGAAGCACATATATAAAACAAGTACAGGAAGGTACAACTACGATCAGGAAATGAAAGAGAAACAAGAGCAATAATATATCTGCTTCTTGTTGCGCGGGGCTGCATTTGCTTTATTAATGGTTGTTTCCACCGGCGGATTCTGGTTCATGCTTCACTGAAGCCTGAGATTCCTCATCCTGCAGGAGAACAGAAGAGATATATATCAGTCATATGGCCATGTGGAAATACTAAAATTCATACCAAATAATGTTTGAAACTTGTCCTTTTGACTTACGTGGCTCAACGCTAGCCATGCATTTAGTTAGTATTGCATCAAGTATAAGTGAAAAAACCGGAGAAAAAAGGTCTGAAGAGCGGGAATTAAGTTAATTGGTACTAGTAATGGTAATACCTTTGTTCTTCATCCATGAAATTGCATCCTTTGTTCCCTCCTGCTTTCTTATAAGGGGGTAAGGGCACATGGCCTGCCTCAATCTGCTTGATGTCTTCGACAAGATTCTCATAATGCATCTTCACTTCCTCCACAGTTTTCCCTCCAACTGCCTTGGCTAGATTGTGCCAGCGGTCTGGAGTATCCTTGTCATAGATAGCCAAAGCATTCTCAAACAACTTGTTTTGCTTTGGTGTCCAGCTCGAACCAGAGGCCATTGCAGAAATAACTACAGTGATAATAATTACAATAATAACAATCAAAAAGGTCAGAGAAAATTCAAAAAAGAGAAAGAAATACAGAAGATTGTATGCGCAGAAGAGACCGTCAATGCTGCTCCTCATATAGTAGAGGGAGGAGAGAGAAAAGGAAGAGAGAAAGGGAGGTTTGGAAATGGTGGGCCTGTGGGCTTCTGTCTGGTACTTGAGCTGTTGCTTTCCTTGCAAAACAGCTGGACTTTGTAAGAAACTACGTGGTTTTACTTTTGTTTCCGAGTTAATTTCATGGATTCGCCCTAGACTAAACCTCAAGAAACATAATTCCTGTCCTGGTCGGTTTTTATTTATCAAAGAATATTTCTTCCTATTTCAGTCTCTTTTTTCCTCGCACATTAATAATCATTACTAACCATACATTATCAGTTGGCTAGCTATCTGGGATTTTGTTTATATTCATGTATGAATTCAGCCTTCGCAGTCGCCACAGGCTGGAAAATTTTACTCATTAGTGCCACGTAATGCACCAGACTCGAAGTTTCCCTCATGATAAATGTGCTCAAACTGATTTTTTTTTTTTTTTGCGGGGGGGAGGGGGGGGGGGACAACATTTCACAGAAAGGATCAAAATACATGTATTTATGGTGTTAAATCTGCGGCTAAGGTTAGATTTTTTGGCTGAATATTGTGTCCAAATCCCAAACCCCTTTTTCCCAGATATGGTACTAATTGATTCCTTATTTAAACTTAAAATATTGTGTACAACACTTCACACTTGAATTCAAAGGAATACTTACTATAAGGTTCTCAGATTTCCAAAGTCAGATTTGCATGAAACTTGTTTAAACATTTAAGTAAACGTATCTATATCAAGAAAATCTCTTCCAAGTGAAGTTATCGAAATTACTTTCACTAAGCGATCAAGTTAAAGTACCAAGTGTATACAGAAGTAAGCAACAGCCTTCATCAGGTGGGTCCAGAGTTAATCCAGCGGCTGTGCTCTTCAGCATTCACGGGTGCACCATTGCTAACCAGTGAAAATCTTCACGTTTGAGAGTGCTGTCGAGCTGTATTAAAAAAAAAGTCCCCTTTTTAGTTTTTTCTTTTTAGGTGTTTCTCCGTTGTGAATTAATCTTAAAACGTGACACTGGCTGCCCTTATTTTTAGTCGTTAGTCTCTTCTCAATAACAATATTCCAAAACTTTTTAGCTGGCTGCTAGCTCTTTCCGTACAATTTTGTACTTTTTTTTCTACTGAAAAAAATCAACAGGTGTATCTCTTTTTACCGTGTAAAACTTTGCAGCTCTGCTGTAACAATCTGTCAGTTCTAGATATTGTGGTAAAATTCTTCTTCTTTTTTTTCACTTTATTCAGTTGTTTGTTTGTTTCATTAATTTAGACCAATTATTAAAGGAAAAACAGCGTAATTATTGAAGGAAAAGGAAATAAATTCATACTGATCCTTGGAATCTATGGGTTTTTGGATTCTGGAAGGATAAGCATTGGAATGCTAGCTAAGTTTCATTCAAATTAGCATTTCTGTTTTCATAGGCTGCAATCAAATTTTTTGAGCAATTAAAATGTTGGTTAATTTAAAGCAGTCTCTACTTCTACACCGAAAATCAAAACAATCTTTGCATAATTATTGACATTTTCTTCTATCTTCTAATACAAATTAATGTGGATTCTTACATTGTAGCAGCTATAGTTTAGCTGTCATGACTTGTCGATTTTAAAAGAACTTAATTAAGCATTTGAAACTCGATAGTCCACTATCTCCAGCTAGCTTTTGGCATATGGGTCATAAGCCTAAGCTAGCAAATGATTGTGTCTGACAAGATAAGAGTCATAGTCTTGTGGTGATTATACCAAGCATGTCATGCATTTTACTTGACAGTGTCAATGCTGGAAGTAAACCTATTAGAGTCGTGGACAGATCTTGTATCTAAACTCCCTGGAAACCACCATGTTGTCCCATAATTAATCACTCATGTTCATGTACCCTAAGGGAACAAAGGCTAATCATAGATTTGATCTCAAGTAAGTTCAGTAATTGCTGGTAGTGGGCCAGGCAAATGTTTCACTTTTGAACAACATGATCCTAGAGCAACATAAGAGCAGCCGAAAATAGCCACTGGATCATATGTTGAATTGATCCAGGATGGACGTAAGCTAACTGATCATACTACTATATACTAGTCCTATAATTAGTTTTAGCTTGAGTCATGATTTATACGACCATTATATGCTGCAGTGTTATCGGTCATAGAGCCATGCTTGCACCCGGTACCTCTTTGACGCTTACTGTCAAACTTTACAGGCTGCTAAATATAGCACACTTTCGTTATAGCCCAACAAATATTTTAAACACATAGTAGAAAAAATTCTTGAAAAACCAGTTGATCATAAATGAAATGGTTAAAATTCATTAGTGCTCTTTTTTGCATGAAATGACATCTCACTTTAAGTGTGAGTTACCTATATGAATTATCAATAAAGTCTAATAAATAGGTCATGAGATTAGCCTAGCATCTCATACTCCCCTTGTCGCAGCCAAAAAAAAAGTTAGAATCAAAATTATCCGGGTAATTTCTTTGTGAATATTGAAAATGTATATCGAATTGTATAGAGTAAAGCTCCCTTTACTTTAGTTTGGATATCAATAGGAACATGACAAGAGCTTATGTGATTGACCATGGTGGTTCCCACTTTTTGGAGAATATCTACAAAGAATATCCATTTCAGGCACATATATTTGTTGATGATTATAGAATCCTTATCATCCACTTCAAGAAGAATTTTATTTTTTCACCGGATGCATTTCCTTTCTATTTCAAGATCTTTTCAAGGCCTCCATTTCCCTTTTCCCAGGGTAGCCTAGCATTCGCTCTGCAAGTTGGAGGCTTGGGGTTACGGAATCCAGGACTTTATTACAGGAAAGAACGGCCGCCACTCTCGACCTATCAGTACCAAAAGCACCTTAACCTGCAAAGGTGGTCCTGTTTAACTCATGAAGGAATTTTGCATTGATATGCTTGCTGAAACCAGGGAACCTTTGAGTTTATCATTGTCAGAGGCTCAGAGTTTATTCAAAAAAACTGGTTTAAAGGAAATTAACCACAACAATTCCTGCATAAGTTTTCCGCTAACCTCCAGAAAAAAATTGGAATGCCAAGTAAAATCCATTTGGAAACAAAATGTTTCTTCCGATTCTCTGTAAGTATAGCAGGCCATTATTTCTCAATTCTAATGATGTATAATTAATTAGGTTGATATTGATTAATGTCGAAGAATTCTTGGAATGGAAACATCCAATAGGCAGAAATCTCAGCATTGGCTATCATCTAATAACAGGTGCTTCTTTCTACTTCGTCTTCTTTCTCCTTTATGTTAGGAAAGTGAGGTTTAGCGCCATGTAATTATTTTTTGACCAATCAAAAGTCATGGGCTTTGGTCTTTTGTTTTACACAAAATCCTATTTACTTAATAAAAGAAGGTAGTGCCACAAACCTAGAAAACTAAGTAAAAAAAAAAAGGAGAAAAAAAAAAAGCAAAAAAAATAGAGAAAAAATAGAAAAGAGAGAGTTGATTGAATGAAAGTTGATCCGTAATTCTATTGAGTTAAAATTTTATCAACAGGTTTATGATTCAGAGTTTTATATTCTGAACAGTAAAGATCGAGTTTGAAACTCTCTGTAAACAAATCCAATGTATATTTATTGATTCACTTATTTGATGAAATTTCTCCAATTATCTCTCTAATTGTTGATTAGCTCTAGTTTTAACTAGAGAAGAAATTTATGTATCCATTATTTGACAGTGAGAAATTTTTTTTTTGGTGATTCATGATTTTTTCACGTAAATCTTGATTTGTTTTATTTTTTCTATATTGTTAATTGTTGTATATCACTGTGGATTTATTGTGATATATTGCTTCTGCGTTATTATGTTTATTGCTTTAGACCCAACACTTGGTATCAGAGCGAGGGTTATTTTGAAACATCGATATAGAAGTAGCCTAAGACAGAAGTAAATTCTATTTGAGATCATGAAGAATGATACAGGTTTCATGATAAAATTGACAGCATCAAATTATTCAATTTGAAAGCTTATAATAGAAGATCATTTATACTGCAAAGATTTGTGTGGGTCGGTATTGGGTGATTCAGTTAAACCAACAAATATGAAAGATAAAAGCTGAAAAAAAGTTAGGTAGAAAGACACTGGCAACAATAAACAAATGAGCTTATATCAGTGTGTTCCATCATATAGCATAGGAGATAGATGCCCACACTATTTAAAAAAAATTGACAGCATTGTATGAGAAAAAAACAAGTATGAATAAAGTTATGCTTATTAAAAAAGCTTGCAACTTTATAGTACATGGATGGATGATCGATTATAGAGCACTTGAGTGATTTTTAAGATATATTTAATCGAATAACTACTATGAAGCTTAAGATGGATGATGAAATGAAAGCATTATTTTATTTGGGTTCATTACCAGACAGCTAGAATACTCTAATTGTGACTATTCTTAATTTAGCTCTTAATTATAAAGTGATATTAGAGATGGTAAATGACAATATGCTTAATGAAAAAGCAAGGTGAAAAGATTCAGACCCTGAAAATCAAGCTCTGATCATAGAAAACAGGGATAAAAATATCGACAGAAGTCAAAACTCAAAAGGTCATAGTAAGTCTAAATATAGATCCAAGTTCAAAGATAAAGTGAAGTGCTTTCATTGTGAAAAAACAGGTTATATAAAATGATATTGCAAAATCCTAAAGCCAGAGCAGAAAGATGAGAAAGGTGAAAGTTCAGATGATGGCAATGTTGTAGCAGTGAATTCAAATAGTAATTCAATTATTTTGATTTGTACACATGATAATTGTAATCATGTTGGTGATCCCGGTATTGATTGGATAGTTGACATAAGAGTGACATATCATTGTGGTCCTAAAAGGGAGTTATTTACAAATTACAAAATAAAAGACTTTGGTTGCACCAAGATAAAAAATAAGAGTGTGTCACAGATTATTAAAATTAGTGATATTATTGTACAAACTAGTACGGGCTGTATGTTGACTTTGAAAAATATTAGACACATTTCAAATATAAGAATGAACTTACTTGCTATTAATATCTTGATGAAGAATGATATGAAA